AGTATAGAAAAGGAATGTAAAGACTTTTGTTCTTACCAGCATATTGAGCAGAGTAATGCGAATGATACCAGGAACTTCCATAAAGATCGGCTTTGAAAGTATACGTGAAAGAAGCTCCAGGGGCGATAGGGCATTGTGTTACAGCAGGGACACCATCCATGTATTGAGTTCCCTTTTGTAATAATCCATGCCAATGGAAAGCTGTTCCCTCCTCAGGTCCAGTGATTTGATTGTGTACTGTAATCACGAAAGTATCACCCCAATTTGCCTCAATCGCAGGTCCAGGAAATTGCCCATTTACAAGTATGACGTCTTTGGAATAGCCATCCGGGGCAATTGTGCCTCTCGTGACAGTAAAATCGTAGGATCGAATAACTCCGGTGTGAGGAGCTGATGTGTATGGGTTATTCCCACTTGCAGTCAATGAACCCCAGGGATATCCATTAGGAAGAGGATTATCTGTGAGGAAGGGAGGAAAAGTTGGAGCTTGTAGAGTTCCCCAAACAGAATTTCTAGACGAAGAGTCAATAATCAAACCACTACAGTATAGAATTTCCTCGACTCAAGGACTGAGACTCACCCATTAGTTGCGGATTGAGATAAAGTGTTAATAATTCCGGCACCTGCAGTAAAGATGCCAGCGAAGAGACCAAACCAACTCATTTTGAAATGACTGTCGCAACAAGATTAAACGAAAGACTGTGAGATGGTATGTAGATATCGATTGTAGATGTTGGCAAGTGGTGATACTATATAGATATGAAAAAAAGCTTCTGAAGCGCCCATCATTTCCCGGGGCGCTAAGTCGACGAAGATTTGCTCTAGTATAGTATTGCACAGACTGAACTCCCCGTGTAACTTAAAAAAGATCAGACACTCCCTACATTTTATTTGGGGCTTGACATCTAGCGTAGAGTGATTGAATAATTCTGTACTTTGTCATCATGGAAGAGACTGATGTAAGCCTGGGGTATAATTCGTTCTAACTTTGGACACATCTAGCGTGGATCCTAGATATGCTACAATAACAAAATACGGGAAGAGGTTCCTCAGAAATTAGCCTGCCTCCCCAATAGAGTTGGAAACATGAGAAGCATATTCTGTGCTGCGGCAATTTGCCTCCAAACTCTGGTATAAAGTATGAAATTTGAGTTAGCATTATCGAGTACCGACATCTTACCTACATTGTACCTACATAGTTCCTACATAGTATCTAGGTACATGGTCAATAAAGATTGTGAATGGTGCTTTGCAGATAAGGTTACCCGGAGATCCACTCCGCTCCACAAACGAAAAACGCATGGTCGGTACCGAGTGGCACTAACGAGATGTGATGAAGGGATAATATAAGACGGCAAAAAGACTAACCTTAAGGAAGCGAAACTAATCGACTTTCCGCCGTACTCTGTATATTAGAACTTTCTAATTTGAAACAAAATCCCTTAGATTCGGAAAGAAGAGAAAGGGAAAAAACCAAAAGAAAAAAACCAGAAAACCCAAAAAAACAAAAGATCCCTCTCCTTGACTTCTTATTTGATTTGAAGGATCAGAAGGATCATTTAGGGCGATCCACTCCGTATCCCAATGTAAGAAATCTCGTTTGTGTACAGTGACCATTCCCGTATGTATCTCGAACAATATTCCGATAACCAGTTGATCACTGTTCAAAAGGGGACTAGTGTAGATCTTCATGATGTTTCGAAACAAAGTCATGTCCAGATTTGGTAGTGGGTACCCAAGCAAAGATCAAGACTTACATTGAGTATTGAATAATGCTATTTGTATCAGGTACCGAGGTATCAACCCACATCTATGGGCCTCGATTCTATGCGATATATCATGTAAACAGAAATCATATTGCAGTCGAGTAGTAAAGAAGATATTACTAACAATGATGTGTTTCATGGTTTATTTGTATACAGTGATATGTTGCTAGCCGTGATAACGTGAGGACCCGTGCAGAGGTCAGCGTTGTATTTGATTAGCTGGAGGATCTGGTGGTAATTGAGCCTGTTGATGATTTAAAGTCAGTATTGACACGAGGAAACCACGATTAATGGTAGAAGCCTCAAGGCCGTGATAGGAGTACATAATACATCTTATTGAATCCAGTATTGGACATCAATTGGCTACAAGAAACGTGGTCGTTTATTATTAGCACACAACGTCGTGGTTTTCGCATGCAGTTCCAAATCGTTAGCTCACGTAAAAAAGGAGTTGTGAAAACTTCCGCTTTCGATAGTAATACACAATTGATGAAGTTTGAAGAATCATCATGTTGTCATTCGTCGCTACCTGTGTCTTACCATCATAGATAGTCTTTTTACGGTTCGATTGGTTCTAGAACTAGAGGGTGCAAACATGTAGATGGATAATAGTTTTCTCTCTTAGTTATCTCAGACGTGCCAAGCGAAAAAAAATACTTACTTCACGCTAGGTAGGCATTTTGCCCAAGGAACAATCTTAAAAATCGGAAAATATTCTTAGTTGGACAAGTACTCCATAAGAATGATCACTTCCCGACGGAGCGTCACTGCTGATCTTTCGATGGATACAATTGAGTTCTGATATTTTTCGACAATGACAATCAAGTTGTACGGACATGTTACTTCCCGAAGCGATATTGATGTTGCCAAATGAGTCGAATATTGATCATGTTCTCTTCAAAATTCTTGTTGGTTCAACAGCGTAAATGAGATTGATTCAAACATTTGCTCGATGAATCTCAGCTGAAGCCAACTCGATTGTTTAGATGGTAACGTGTCATTGCTCAAGGCAGTTAGTCAAAGTGAGGTTTCACCATGAGAACTGAAGGGCCGAGTACCTCGCCCAGTGGCGAGTGCCTACATATCGACACCTGTGCAGAGCTAAGTCGACGTCAGCCACAAAGCGAAGCACTTGAATTAAGTGGTTCGTGTGGATGAACAAGCATGATTCGTCTGATCAAGACTTTATAAACCCTCCAGCTATGTTCTTTGCTGTACCGAGGCATACAATTTCACTCCGAGAGGGTCTTTCGATGCGCCTTATAATGGCTAGGGGTCCATCATCGAAAGTACCGTCGGATTTTTAAATTTTAGGAATCGGGATTGGCATCTAAGATCGAACTCATATTCTGCCATAGCCATGGTTCTTTGATGGTTTGTAGTACATCAACCTAATAAGAAGACTTCGGTTTCCGTTCACGCCGAAAGGAATATAATTCATCAGTACGGCCGAAAGCGCGATCTTGGGCGAGTATATACGTCATGTCGAGAACAAATATTAAACAATTTCACCAAGCCACTGCGTCTGTCCCATATGGCTTCAAGAATGCGATTGCGAATCCGTCAAGAATGAGTGTCTTCATCAAGAGTAAATGATACTGTGAACATAATTTAGATCTAGAGCCCTCATCTAATCGTTGAAGATCTCATAAGGAAGGCCAAGATAAGAGGTCAAGAGCAGCGCTTGCATAGCTTGCCCCTTCATATGATCGAAGTCGCAACATAAAACACGCACGCTCCATGGCCATCTCACGTTAGTGGCTAGCAAGGCATCCAAGCCTTTTGGCCACAACATAGGATTCAACCTTTCATGACACCGATGAACCAGTGATAAAGTAGTAAGATTCGTTTATTGTTGAATTGAGCTCATCAGGAGGCTCGAGTAAAAGAAAAACGCTGGGCGAGGCTTTGTTGATACAGTTTGCCCCCATTAAACTCCACCCCTATGCAAACAGTTGAGCGGCGAGACCCGAGGATCGACAATTGAAATGTCTCTACCTATTATGTATAATCATATGCCTTAAATTACAAAGCATTCGCCAGGTTCCATCTTCTCCAAAGATAGAAGATGGGCTTTCCCTTCCGACTCTACAGTCGAGCATTTTTCATTATGATGTTCGCGAAGGACGATATGGTCGATTCATAACCAGGGGACGTCGGTTTGCACGGCCGAATGCTGCCAACGTTTCTGGAGATGCGATACTATCGGAACGGATGGTACTACCAATGGCCATGAAAAATCTGAGTGCCAACTCATTAGCACATTGAAACTGATTTGACAGAAAGGAATGATGATAAATACCCGAAAGTGGACCCGGAAGTGAGCATGTATGTGCGTAGAGTCCTCCAAACTCCATTGGGGCCAGGACCAAATTTGATGATAGTAAGTGTGCCTTGGCCTTGTCAGAATGGATTCTTTTCATGCCTCCTCCAGCTTCAACATACCGTACATAAACCCCAAAATAGCGCCGACAGCTGTTATTGAATGCAGTCAGTAACTTGCATATATGAACGAGATCATGATCGCATACTGCCACCCATCATAGCTCCCATCTGGACTATTAAACATACATGGTCAGTAAAAGTCCTAGAGAGAGGGGTAAAACCACAGCCTTACGCTTATTCCAGATAGTTTGGCCACCGGGATGGCCTTGAGGTTGTGGTACTGGAGGCATGTTTGGCGATTTCAAAGGATTTATTTGACGTATCTAGTACCGCGAAGTTGTAAGGCTCATCAACTCATATATCGCAGCTTCGAGCTTTCAAAGTTTCAAATGTTCAAATCTACCTACTAAAATGTAAAATGATCACGGCATTTACCGAAAGCATAGACCATACACACACAAGGAGACAAGCACTAGTATATTCCCCCACATTCTCAACACATTGTGGCCTTAATACCTAAGGCACAGAGGCGAAAAGAATCATGTATGTCACGTGCCAATATTCATAGTCCAATGATGTTCACTTAGAAAACTGGAATTGTTGTAGTGATTCATACTAAAACCACCCTATTTGTAGACAAAAGAGTCTTTTGCGATAGCTCTAAGATAAAATGATTAATTTTTCATGATATCCAATCTCTTCCTCTTGTCCTTTCGTTTCTTCTCTTCTCTCCTCTCTCTTCACCCATCAAAGACCCTTTTGTATCTGCAAGAGAGCGCGTGCGCAAGTGCTCTTATCCCCGATCTCGAACTCTGGTTGGCTAAACATAGACCTCGCGTGTCTCAACCTGAATGTCCAAACTTTCCACCTTGGCAACATCAAATTGAAATAGGTTTCCTTTTCTACCACCAGCAATTGTCCTACAATACCTGCATTGCATAGATGTAAGTGTTCTTATTCTTTGCCTCAATCACAGAGTCCACTTTGTATGATTCTTGATGCATTCCAGTTTTCTTTGCGCTCCCTTTCTCGACTATCTCGTCACTCGTCATCATGGCGCCAAAACTTTGTGGGCATCTACTAACGATCATCATAACTTCCAGTGCGATACGATACCTCTTCCATCCAGTTTATTAGATAGAGAGTTGCGGACATTTAGCATCCACAATATAGACCAGAGGGTCATCGAAGCGAAGCATCTTTGTTGCAGTTGAGGTTGAATGGGGGGAGGAAAGCAACAACATTCCAACGATCTTATTCAATCAACATCGTCAGGGATAAACTTATCTACTGTGAAATACGGCCAATAATCAGTTTAACCGATGACGGCAGTCGCAAATCCACCAAGTTTCCCGCAGATCAACAGGTCGGCATGGGGATCTAGTGTTAACCAAGGAGGAATGAATGCTATTAACGGCGACGAAGTGGGCAGAATGTTTATGCCACGAAAAAGCGCTCAGCGTGCCAACTCATCTTCGTCGATAACTTCATTATCTTCAATTTCTTCCACTTCATCCAACTCGACGGTATCGCAACAGACACCGCAGACTAATGGCGTACCGATGTCCTCGTCTAATGAATCAAACAATTGGGGTACGGCAGCGGCACGGAAGAAGGTCCCAAGAGTGCAACCGCCATGGACCAATAAATCAGACTCGGCCCCTGGTTCCCACACGACACGGCAACCCCCATCGGCCTTGACAAATGGAAATTCTGGTTCATCTATGACTCCATTGCATCAGCCGGCTCCCATGGTACCATCCCAACATGTTACACCAAATGGATCACAGCCGATCAGACCCCAGGGCCAACCTACGGAAGGGGAGCCAATGCTTTACTTGTTATCAATGAACGGCACATTTGATCACAAGAGGATATCAGTACCCTTCTACCCGGATAGCTTGAGGATTGGGCGTCAGACAAATGCTAAAACAGTACCATCGCCTGCGAATGGATTTTTTGATTCGAAGGTACTATCGAGACAACATGCAGAGATTTGGGCAGATCGTAGTGGGAAGATCTGGATTCGAGATGTTAAATCATCAAACGGTACCTTCGTCAATGGAGCGCGCTTATCGGCCGAAAACAAGGACTCAGATCCGCATGAGTTGCAGTCGCAAGATCATCTCGAGCTTGGTATAGACATCGTTAGCGAAGATCAAAAGACTGTTGTACATCACAAAGTCGCTGCGAAAGTCGAACATGCTGGTTTTGCGGGCTCAACTAATAATGTTCTGGATATGAGTTTTGGTGATTTGAATCCTGCCAATGGATCAATGATGTTACCATCTCAAGGTCCCATGCTGAGGGGAAGAACTGGAAGCCAAAGCTCAATAGGTAGTAATGGTCGCGTGGGACTACCGGGTAGCGTAGCTGGGAGTCAAATGAGCGTGATGGGTCAGCAACGCCCGATGAATTTCTGGTTAACACCCGTTACAACAGAGCAGATTGTGAAGAGGCTTTCTGTAGGTTCATATATCTACATGCATAATCCATTTTGACTGACATACAATTTAGCACGAGATGCGAACAGCTCGATTGCAAAATTCCGACCTTGGGCGAGCAGACAACTTTTTTGGCGGCCTGTTATCGAAAGATAGTGTGAAAGAACTTGAGAGTGCTCCAAATGTAGAACTAAAGCCTTCAGCAAACGGTTCCGCTTTATCTTTTAGGGCTGAAGGAAAACCTCGATTTTCTGATCCTCCAGCGCCGCCGCCCCAACAACCTCTTCCTGAAAAGCCAGATGTTGCCCGTTCTCACAACTTTGATCCCTCTTCACCTACTGCCTCATTGAGAAGATCCAATACAGAAAAGCAGAGGTCTTTAGCGAATGGTTCTCCTGTAAGAGAAGTCAGTAGTCAAATAATCACGTTGGTGGAGGCATTGGCATCGGCAAAGAAAGAGATCGACTCTCAAAGTGCTCGGATGCGGGACTTAGAGGAAATGCTTCAAAAGGAACGACAAGCACGAGAAACTGCGGAAGAAATGGCGAAACGATTGGAGCTCCACACACCGGACAAAAACTTGAACGGAAGTGCCAGATCTGGGATGGAAGGTTCAATACTCGAAGATGCTTTTGAGCCACCCTCAGATGATATTTCATCACAAGAGAAAGCCGATATACAAGTGGACGCTAATGGCATTGCCGACTCATCTCGTCTGTTGGAACAGCGCCTTGAAATCATGGTTTCTGATATGCAGGAGCTGCGATCCCAGATGGAGTCATATAAGAAAAGAGCAGAAAGCGCCGAGGGGGAGAGGGATACCGACCGAAAAACCTTAGCAGAGATGATTGAAAAAATTCGTTTGGATGAGCAACTCAGACAACTGTCTTCCGACCGATCCCGATCTCCATCGAAGCAGGCTTTTGAAAAACATGTCAACGGGACTGCGAATGGAGGCGATCTGGCACTGCATTCCACAAGACGACCAAATGGTTTGAAACATACCTCATCGGAAAATGATGATCTTCATGCATCGCTCACACGTGCGATCGCTTCAAAGAATGTCAAACACGATCCTCTATTATACCACTCGACACCTTATGTCTCGATGCTTGGCGTTGTCATGGTTGGTATGGGGTTGATGGCATATCTCAACGGTTGGTCACCATCAAAAGCGGACCAATAAACCGCACAATCTTTTAATACACGTTTTCTTTTATGTTCGAATCAAGCGCAAATACCATTCACGCGTCATACATCGGGTCATCGAGACCAAACCTCTGTATTTAGTCTCTTTTGTAATTTTCACGGGGTCCGAAGATTGTTTAGTTTTGCATGTGGGCGTTGTGGGGTTGCGGGATTGTTGGAATCGTGGCATTGGGGCAAGCGGGCATGGGCAAGCGGTAGGGGCACAACAATACCAAGATTCTGGTTTCGTTTGATTGTTTGAGGGGAAATGGATAGGTTCATCCATATACATATACCAAAACGGGTTAGGGAATGGTATGGACGCTTGAATGGGTTGAATGGCCATTTATCACTTTGGTAGAATAATTCCTTACAGTTGTTGACGATAGCACAAAGTGGACCCGTTACTGGCACTTTCGATATTCTGAAAATGTTCAGCTGAAGTGGACACTTGAGGCTCTATCGCTTTTCTCCTTTTTTTCATTTCTCTCGTGTTTTTCTTATGCATGGAAATAATTTGCCCCAAATTAAACTTGTGGGTCATGAATAGCCTTTCTCGTGTCTTGCAGACTCTCAGTCAACTCTTTATCGGACGCTATGTGCTTCTTAGGTTTATCAATTAGAAACTCTGAAGTCTGTACTACTAGGCCTCTAATAGTATGCATTATGTTCCTTTCTATTAATACCTTGACTGCAATAAAAGCACTACAGGCTATGAGAGATATCATCTCCAATGGCCCCAAATCGAGTTTAGAAGTCCGGTTCGAGGTGTTTAGATGTATTCTGAATGGATGCTAACTAACAACATATGTATGTTTTATATTGGCCGGATGATCGTGTTGTTGTCTGGAAGTTTTGAGACTAATTAATTTGAAATGCCAGATAATATAGTTGAAAGTCAGATTGTATGTTCTTTGAACTGGACATTGATATCGGGACAGGTGAGTTGATTGGTATGGATTCAATGTATGATTTTAGTCAAAGTCTAGTTTTACGGCTCTGCTATACAAGGCCCCTCAGGACATACCTTGAATTCGTCTTTCCAAGCGAAACACTGTTGAATTCCTCTCACGGACAAATACCAACCTGTCTTGACGCGGTTCTTGTGGTGGTACTTTTGTGAGGTTTATGAAGAAGGTGCGTAGCGTGATTGTCCATGGTAACAATGATTCATTCAAGGCAAGCGCTTTCGATCACACACCATCTACAATGAATTGTGACTTGAAATCGATTGAATCGACGTACACATTGCAGATATTTGTTTTAGCTAAACAACATTTTTCTTCAATCATTATCATCATTGTTTTCCGATTAGCATTTTGGGCGCGCGCAGAGTCGCATTTTAAATGAAATCAAAAAAGATCAAATAGACTTGTTCCAGGGTTTGGAGAAAAGCTTTAGAGAGATCTTTGAGGCCTATGTCGGCTCAAAACAAAAGTATTTTTGGCGCAGAGTTCGCGGTAAAAGAACCAAGTCCTCATTTTCAGCACGAGAGAACAATGGCTGTTCATATGATAGATGTGCCTGTGACCAGAACATCATCTACTCCTGAAGCTTCCAGTCAACGGACTCCCCATGCGCTCACACCCCCGCCGTTCAATTACACACAATACATGGAAAGCTCGTTTGATGAATCCAGCCATGCTGGCTGTAAACCGGAGAACATCGAGGATACATTCAACGTACCGTACGGTGTTGATGCTCAGGGCAACTGGTATGGTGATGTGCCAACCCCAGGGGCTCATAAAGACGAATATATGGGTCGTGCAGAAAATTTGTTCAAGGAACCAAAGTCTTCTGATGTCCAGCGCGACGAAAACAGAGAGAAACATCTGCCTTCTTCTCAATCTGATCATTCTGATCTTTGGCACGCACCTACTCCGGGCAATTATGATAGTGCAGAGGTGGAAACCAACGAAACCCCTTTAGATGAGCCGAATGCTTTCAATACGCAAGACACTTACACTATTCTTCCGCCTCCTACCCCTCCAAATATGAGGCCTGATTCTAGCCAATGGGATAGCAAAGTAGGAAATACTGTATGTTACAACCCGCTCAATGGCAGGTCCAGTTTCTCATTCTTTTTAGGACCCAGAAGTCAAAACTCCGCAGAATATACTTCGATTAAGCGTTAATAAGGGCTGTGAAAAGATTGAAAAAGATTGTCAGGCTGGGAACCTACCAGAGAATGTTGCTAACAGAGCAAAATACTTTTTGAAAATGCTCTCCCAGGCTGTTGCAGAATTCACCTATCTTCATTTGGACGAAACCATGAATAAAGTCCTAGCAGTCCTTGTTGCCTGTTGTATCTATATCGCCTGTCAACAGTGCAAAATCCCCCGAACCTTCATTGCAATTCGGGTGCTCACAGAAACTTCTTCACTGGAATTCAAACAGGCTGTTCGCAAATCTTTTGAGATTATACAGAAGTATATCTTTGAGACTAAATGCTCTTGCTTGAGGGCATTCAGTATGTTTCCATGTCGAAGTATACAACAATGATATATGCTAACGGCTTTAGGGGCATCTTCTGAGGATGCTGTCAGATATGCCATAGGCTGTATAAAAAGGATGTCGTGAGCAGAATCTCCGAGTCACTAGCGTTCTGTATAGAATGTTCGAGTGCATATCACATGAGTTGTGTAACATCACTCAGTGCGACGATTCCGACCCCCGACCCTAGCGGCTTAATTTGTCGAAGATGCGTTCCATGTATTATTCATCCTGACGTTGAACAAAATCCAGGAAAGCCAACAGAGAAGCGTTTAATAGCCGCTCGCAATAGTGTTAGTGTCAAATCCAATGATGGCGAAAATATTGAGAAGTCATTCAAATTGCGCGACGATCGATCCCAAAGCCCAGACTTAGTAAGGGAAGATCTCAAAGCCAACTCAATAGACAATAAGATGATAAAATGGCTTATGAAACGTTGCAGGAATCTCCAAAAAAGACAAGATGAGGACATTGTAAAAGTTCTCGCCTCTGTCCAGCAAGATTTTCTGGCACGAATTGAGAATGCAGAAAATGCGACAATAAAACTACTAGAGCGGAAATACCAGGCGCCCCGGATTAAATTGGGCAAGGCACAAGAAGTCTACTTGTGTGCTCTTCAAACCGAGTTGTTACAATTTAATCTACAGTCTAATTTGGAAAAGTTCCTCGCGGGATTACAGCAAAAAAACAACAAGACAAGTGGATTTAAAAGAAACCGCAGTATTCTTGAGCCGTCGGATGAAACTTGCGAAGAATTCAAGACCGCTCTTGTGAACTGTCACTCTGAAACTGCTACAGGAAGACCCGCAGAATATGCCGACAGGTCCTCGGAACCTAGAAGGGGAGATTCCCCGCAGCATTTTCAGGTTGCTTCAGCAGGAACTCAGCGCTCATCACGATACGAGCTAGGCTCTGAATTATAGGAGGGTGAAATTCAAGAGCATCCAGAACCTAGGTCTCGGAAATTTGAACCTGGTATGAGAGATGGTCAACAAAGAAAAGCTAAAAGGGCAAGAATTGACATGCAAGAACAGATGTCGCAAAGTGCCAGTCAGACCGCAGCTCCAAAAAAGTAGATCAAGCAAGAGCTAGCGTAGATAAGCTATCAAGATATAGCAGCATACATGGGGAGAGTTGATGGATTGGATGATGTCAACACAGCCAAACATTGGGACATGCATATGTCAGAGATTGGATACTAAGCACTTGTTGCTAGATCGCTTTGCATTAGTTGGCCATGACCGACAGAATTTTTCAGCGCATAACGTATTCTTAGAGGAAGTATTGGAAAGTTATTTGGGTTATAGATTCAGTTGTTTTGTGACTATCATCCCAGAAGCCAGAGCCTTATAACTGTCATGGCTGGATTAAACCACATGTTCACAGCATACGCATTAATCAACAAAAGACACTTTATTGAATTTTTCAAAACGGGAATTGATATTTCACTGATTGATATTGAATGCAATAATAGCTAAAATCTCTGTACTCAGATTGTTTCAAACATGTCACCAAAGCCTCTTCCAGTAGTATCGTCCAACGCTAGCGTTCGTCCCATCTTCTCAAATTTCATTGCCTCCTTGATTCTCTCAGCCCTCCATTCACGAGTTTTCTAGATTATTTCTTCATTTCTCTTGCAAATTTCAGCAATAATTTTCTCACTTTCCTCCTTGTAATTTTGATAAAGAACTCCCATCTGATCCAGATGGAAATGTTTTTGTTGGTTTCAACTGATAGTTGATAAGCGTATGGTACTTTAATCTATTATTTCTGTAGTATTTCTTGATTATTATTAATTTCGGGAAGCTATTACTTATATAAGGAAGCGCTAACGCCTCCCTAGCTAAAACAGTGCCCTCTTATGATCACATGGTTCATATCCTGATAGTATCTCAATTCGCTCAGCAGTAAGTCCCACAGTCGGCGCACCATCAAGAACAATAACAAACGTCCACTCATCGATTATCTTGAAATAAATAACAGGCCGATGAAGAGTAAAGACAGTACGGGAGCAAAAGCCCTGTTCCTCGGTAAATTTCTTCATGTTAACTTCTGCGAGGTCCCTTATTTCTGCCATGTTGTCCCATCCTTCTGCTACTCGTCGGTAAGGTTCTCCAGCTCTTGTTATAGATGGAGCTTCATCCACTGATAGAGACCGTAGTTTATCCTCATATCACCCTCTCAATAAGTCGTTCAATGCATTCGAAAACAAGATTTTTTTGCATTTCTCTTCCGCCCTGGAGATCGATTTCCGCATTTCTTTTCTGATTTTTGACAACTGGAGTCGATAGTTTTCAATTGTCTCGGCTTGATCTTTGTTTTCTTTCTCCAGAATTGCGTTATCATCGGATAGTTGCTGGAATCTTGACATGGCTGCACTGGACTCCGAGCTCATTTGTTCAAGTCGTGCTTCGAGTCTCTCAATCTCTAACGATTTGGCCAGTAAGGTTTTTCTTATGAATGCCATTGCGTTGTCAACATCGTCGTCAACATCACCCCGCTCTGAAACATCGGTTCTTGCTCTTTTATTGCCTTGAAGAATGTTAAATCTAATCATTTATGATATGAGATTCCTGGCATCCGTGTGCACTCACGATTGGTCCTCGAATTTACCATTTCATCTTTTGAGGGAATCAATGGTTTCGGTTTTGAACGGGCTGGTTTTGGTAAAGAATTCTACACGAGATGTTAGAACCACGGAGTATTGCAGACAGCCTGAGATGAAATTCACCATATTTCCGACTGATATCGACAAGTTCTAGTCTTTTTGCATGCTGGGAGTTCGATGAGAGCTATTCCATACAAAGTATCCGATTCTTAAGACTCAAGAAGAAGGGGTGAGCGAAAGCATCAAGTCAGATGAGAAGCAGGCGTTTGTATGTTACACAAACGGGATCCAATCAAAAGTGATTCTTTTTCTGATAGGTGACAACATCTACTCGCCAACAATTCTGCTGGATATCAATAACGGGGAGGTTTGCAAAGAGATCCGAGCGTATTATTCAACCAATCCCGCCGTAATTCTATGCGGATTGCCGAGAAGCCTGAAGGCTTTCAAATTGCGCACATTGATCAATCGGGAGAGGTAGCGATATCAACCGGCATTAGCCAGGTTACCTAACTGGAATCAATGAACATAATTTTCTTAGACTTGCAGGTGAAGTTGTTCACCGAAAAACCTGTAGCTAAAGTTGCGTTTACATTCGAAGTCAAGAGGTAAATCCTCCCCCTTACTTTGCGAGAAAATATAGCGACTCCCACTTCCGCTACTGTTTAATTTAGTGATGGATACTCCTATGCAAAAGCCCAAACGTTCATTCTATGAGTCGGACTCAGAACAATATATTTATTATGGTCCAGAAAAGGAAGAGATCAGAAGCAACGAAAGGAGGCGATAAAGCAAGAATGCGTCTCAACACAAATGGTCAGAGTACCAGCAAATGTAGGAGCTCAGAACCGTATGCGAAAACATATTTGAGAAAATAGCTAATCTAACTATCTGTAACTCAGCTCCTATCTTGAATAGCCCAGATACATTTAAATCGACCAAGAATAATATCCCTGCGCTGCCAGATCTACCTTCGTCTTGTATCTACGATGAATTCAACTCAACCACAGGTGATATTATAGACTCGACAAAGAAACGTGACGAACTGCCAGGTATTACGAGAGCCGGTATGGTCTAGAGAGTAGCATTTCACTTCATAATCCTCAGAAAATACCTAATAACTCATTCAGAACTAAACAAACGATTGATCGAATTCTAGAGTAAGATGAACGAAATCAAAAGATTGTTGGATATATTTTAGAAAAATACTGTCGCTTATTGGGATTCGAAAACAGAACTCAGCGCCAAGGCGAACGTTGTCGCGACGGAAATAAGAGAATTCTACGGGGCGTGTAGAGAACAAATAGGATCATCCGATGAAGTTCTTGCAGCAATGGATAATGATATGGTGAGAGAAAAATTAAAATCATTCGATGAACTTCTTGCAGCAATGGGTAATGATATTGCGAGGTTGGGAAGGCAGACTGAGGAGGTAGATAAGATGGCAAGCCTTGTTAAAATGAATATGGAGTTGGAATTAAAGGTGCACATGCAATCTACAAAGCTAGATAAGCTTGAAGATTGGAGAGTGGAGATGCGAAGGATGGTGAGCAAGTGGGATGCTGAGTAATGAGCTGGTATAACTTACTCCTGTTTGATCTGCTAATGCATGGCAATGATGGTTTCTTGGTCGATTGAAATTGAAGTTGTTCCTTTGATAATGGTCTTTAGTGATGCGCGACTATTCCTATGGCTATGTTGCCCAGGACTTACGTGCTTGCTCTTACCATTTTCAGTCCACCAGTGAGTGCATGGACTAACAGAACACTACAAAGAATTGACTTATAAATATCTTTTAATATATCAATTCGTAAATCTTAAAAATTGTTACAATTGTTCATTGGAGATGCAACAATGCAAGTGTGAATTCTAACATTAAACAATCGAAGAATGAATTTGTCAAAGATTTCGAAAGTTGAGAAGTGTCCCGTCAGTTCATGCACCCACTGGTGGACATCGCTCTTTCCACTTCCAAATTGCTGCGGGTTGCCACTAATCGATATAGATGCATATTTTAATTCTGAATTCCCCCTTCCTAACATGCAAGAAACAGGAAATCAAATCATCATTTTTTGCATTCTTTAATTCAGTGGAATACTTACCCCAATATCGATTTTGATCTATAACTTCAGAGCCCCAGATATTCCTACCTTTCGATTTCGCAACTACGAAATATGCCGTCTGCAAACGCGGAAAGACGTCGTCCCGAACAAAAATCTAGTAACGGTCTCGATGGTGAATATGCACGAAATCAAGCGGGTGTTTTAGAGCTAGACTATGGCTCACCGCCTCGGAGTGCACAGTTTCCTAATCGTACGTATCACGGATTTAAACTATGTTACTACGCTAACACGGCGAAGTCTCCAAAGGAAGCGATACAGAAATGGAGGAAACGAGAGACGATATTGACGAAGCAATGCGGAGACGTCATGTCGCTAACGAAGAAACCGACGAAATTGTTGAGAAGCTAAAAAACAATGTAGATGCTTTCAAAAAGAAGATCTCCGCTTTAGAAGACCTGCTTCGTGATGAAAAGGCCAAGAGTGAGCAGGAAGTAAAAAAGTTGCAAACAGATATGGCCGAGAAAACCAGAGAAAACCAAACTATCCAGGGATTTATGTCGATTGCAAATCAAAGAACACAAGAAGAGATACACGAAAAAGTGCAGCTTGAAAAAAAATCATCAAACAAAAGACCGAGATCAATGATCTGACAGCTGCAAGGCAAGATCTTCAGAGACGCCTGGACGAAGCGAATCGAAAGTTAAGTGTCGAGGTCGAGAATGGAAAAAATCTACAATCAAAATTCACTGCTGAAATCGCCAAAACCCATTTATTGCGAGAAGAAAAGCATACACTGGGAGCGGAGTTGGAGGATAAGAAAAAGCTGCTAGATACACTTCGTGGATGGTTCAGAACGATTAAAGCGTGTGCGAATGATGAAACGCTCGATAGCTACTTAGCTTAACTCGAGGGTTGGGTTCACTAAGTAGCGGGAGTTATAGCGATTAAGCGAAAGTAGTTTGTTAATAATAGCCTTGAAAGTTTACTTCAATGATCATCCTTTTTCTTGCAATTCTTTCGTGATCTATTTAGTCCTCCTCAACAAAACCTACACATACACAGAGGTGTAAGCTAGTCGGACCTCAGTCTGAAAAGCTTTGTATTGGACCCCCAATACCTTCTTCCTTTCTCAAAACAATCATAAGATCGACCCTCGCCCCCTCCCCCCTCTCATTGCAGCGGGCCTAAATCGACTGCAGGAACACAATGTGCACAGTAACTTCTCACTCGAGGGTTCGCGTGAAACATGTGCTTAAACCAGGCTTGGAGCCAGGAATATCTTCATTACTAAATTGGTCGACACTTCACGCACTTCGTCTTACCTCGCCGCATGCAATTCAAGAATATATTCACCAATATCGATGCCCATTCTCAGAACTCATAAATTTACTACGAGGGGGAAAAATGCTATGACAGGGGTTGCTTTAATTACTTCTTTAATTACTTGAATAACTACCTAGTTATTCAAGTAATTCCTGCTATGAATTACCTAATTCATAGCAGGAATTATTCACCACTGTTGAGAGAGTACCTCGCCTGCCTCAGAACGATTCAATCAATGAAAAGATAGAAAAAGATAAATTCCAATCACCACAAAAGAAAAGTATAAGAAATTGCAAACCCACTGACAAAATCACCAAGCACACTAATGCCCATAGCTCCAAAGTCAAAAGATTGCATCATGCGCAAGGGTATTTCTGTTATAAACCTTATCATCAGTCAGTATATCTATTTTTATCTTTCTTTATAAACCAAAATTTCATCTCATCCATAAATATCCACCGTAGATCTCCAGCCATATACACATATATCCGATGCAATCAGATAGATACCCTTCGCCGTCCTCATCTCTCAGTTCAAATAATCTATCCAAAACGCCCGCCAGAATCTGCTGGCATTCAATGCACAGATAATTCGTATCCCTTTTATCCAAAAACGCCCATATGTAACGAAACCCTATGTAACTGTCTGCTGACACACGAATATATACATGCCCTAAATCCAGCAAATCTAATCCAGAAAGATTTGAAATAGAGAAGGCAGCAAATAGCCCCTCTCCTAGAATAGAAGCTCATGGCATAAATCTCAAAACCACAACGTTTTCCCTATCTTCTTCATTCTCATGTTGACCAACCCACCTATGGTCACCCCTCCTCTTGACATAAACCATATCCACCACACCGTCTGCTCTTTTCCTTCCGCCAAGCGCCTCCCACGCTCGCTTCTTGCCCGTATAACTCAATCCCTCACGAAGAGCGCCATAAGCAAAAGCTAATCGCACATCTTCCTTTCCAGAAGCCCACATATCTGAGTCGCCCAGATCGAATGTTCCTTCCATCTTCGACATGTCCCAATGAATACCAGTGGGATATTCGGCGAGAGAGTATCCGTTTGTGAGAACCCACTTTGACGATCCCTTTCCGTCGAAACCGAATCTTTGGAAAACGCATGCTTCACCACAGGCATCTGCAACAATGTGAGATATCTCGGGAGTAGCATGATGCCAAGATTTGTAATGATGTAAAGAGAGGGGCTGATGACCAGCTTCGTAGAAACCGGATGGGTCACCCCATTGATCGAGTTGATTGAGTCTGGGGAGGTAGTTCAGAGTAATTGAAGTGTGGTTCTTGATACAGTGGTAGAGGAGTCGATCGCCCTGGAACCCAGATTCGGTGTATTCGCCTGTAGAAGGATCCACGTCGAGACAGGGGAGTCCAATCAAAGTGTGTGCGAGAGGGGCAGTAATAAAAACACCAGCTCCACCGTAAGCCTACAGTCCGTTCGTTAGTTGACAATTGGCAGGAAGGATTTTAAGTTCTTACCATGGGAACACGATCATGCATAATAAAATCCACCCGCTCGGTGAGAGTACCGATATAATACTCCTCGTTAGGATCATAACTGTGCAATTCCTTCATCAATGCGCCAAGCGAGGGAAAGAAAGTATCGTCATCAATCAACGACAAGTATTTTCTGCTTGATCTTGATGGATGGCTGTAAAGAATTGGTACCAGATCAACATATCTACCCGGCATATCGAGAGAAGGATCCGAGTGGATGACCGTTGCATCAATTCCAACATCAGTGAGCAATTTTTGAGCAGCTGCCAATTGCTCTTCGGTGGTATCGTGCAATTGTAAGACAAGTCCAGCTCCGTTCGATGTGCCATTTCCATCTGTGAGCCATCGTACCCATTCCTTGACTGGCCCATCAACTTTGTCACTGAATCTCTTGTAGGTGGTTGAAACTCCAAACAATAACTCGGAAGCGTCAATTTCGTCTGGTCGTGGAGTTTTCATGACGTGAATTTCCAAAGGCTCTAATGTATCCGCTGGTAGCCTCTCAACATCTGAGAGCTTAATCTTCTTCCACCCATGAGGAAACAATTCTTGGCTGGTATTCGTCAACATTGGTCTTTCCTTCGCATCTGTAACATATCGTATAGTTCTCATCACGTAGTTGATCTCCATCTCAACATTGTTCTTCGCCAATACATCTCGTAAAAAGGCAGCGTCGTCAACATCAGTAATATTCAATTCTACCGGTGCAATTTGAGCTTGCTTTGTTTCATGAGTTTGAGCAACTTGTTTTGCAGTTGCTTGTGACTTTTCTGGTGGTGCTGCATTTTCTTCTTTTGGCGTTTCCTTGAATGCAGGTACGATGGTCTGGGAAACGTTCTCGTGGTAGTAAGATAAAATGAGGAGAAAAGCTACCGTCGCAACAGCGAGGAAGCGGTGCACAGGCATCCGAGGCATTTTTGGGGGCTGTCTTCGGGCTCTAATGGCGATTATCGCCTGGTTTTCGCTAATCACTTCCTGTAAATGCTAGCGATTCTTATCGTAATGATACCCAATCAACAAATACTCGCTCGTGTCGTAGATAATTCAGTGCAATGCAACTGCAGAGCAAGAACGCAAGATTAAAAATGAAGGTGTCAAGGAAATGAAAAGAGAGGGAAGAATAAAGAATGAATTCTAGATTGATGGAACAGGTCGGACGAAGGTCCAGGTGGGAAATGGGGAGAGAAAATAGCTGAATGAATAGGAGAAAGGTGGAGACGATGGAGAATGAATTCGGACAGGATGACGAAGCGTTTGATGGTCCCTGGTCGTTGGTGGCACTGGTGCAAGATGGTAAATTAAACCATGGGGAATAATCAAATTGGAGTAAAGAAAATCCATGGTTGGAAAATTCGAGATGCTTCAAGTTAATCATTAATTACTATGCTCATCGAGCTCATCCATCTAAAGGGGGTCGCTCTCGGTGGAGCCGTATATCTCTAAGTTTTGAAGGATTGGTCAATGTAGCGGTTAGAAAAAGTAGATCTACCTAGTAGGCATCCAAAGATGAGCATCCCCATGTAGAGAGAGTACCAGTGAATATAATAAAGTTGTATACCTACCTAGTTTCAAGGACGGCTGGAAAAGAATCCAAGGTTTCAAGGTTCTACAAATGAACATGTTATTGCATACCAACAAATGACTGGCTCGACTGGCTATCGAGGTAATTTGTTTAATAGGTGTTATCTGTAGGTAATTTGAGTGATAGGATCCACAAGACAATGTCTAGGGTAGCAGTTCATGATTAGCGGATTAAAGTAGGAAATTGAGATAAAATCACTGAAGGCATGATTTTTTTATCAGACTATCGATTGAGGCTGGCTTTGAGACGACGAAACTGTCATGTCAGTTTTATTTAAAGGTTAGTTTGATACAAGTTACTGCTATTTTAGGTCCCATAAAGATGTTTCCAGAGACCCACGAGATTTCTGGTTATAGAAAACATAGGGACACGCAAGTGCCAAGGCGGTAGTTGGGAATATGCCTGCTATTGCCTGAGCGCTGAATAAATAGCGTAGGAGTGTAACAAGGTTTGAAATGCTTAAGTTAACCAAGCATTCCGTGAAGCTTCTTGAATCCCATGAATTATCGAGTCAGTCCGACGAGAGTAAGAAGACACAGGTAGAATCAGAGATTTATTCCTCGTAAGGCGTGATATTCCTGGGTGACCCTCACCAGCATGTCAAAACCCATGTTTGAGGAAGTTGCAAGTTCCTGATCGGCTGTGGAGCGTTTAATATCGAGATTGTCGACAATCTCAGCAAGTGGACAAATCACGTTTTCCATGGATGAGAGCCGGAGGGGGCTGAGTAAGTGCCTATGATAAGAGCTCTTCAGATATTCTGACGATCTTCTCGAAACGTTTTTGATAAACTGCTTATCACTGGCGCCGATCAGGACTTCCGCTGCTGTTGCCTAGGATATGGGATTTCAAGATCCCGAATCAAAATAACCTCAGACCCAATTCTAGGGAAAACTGTAGGAACAAATACGGAAGAGGAAATGTACGAATCCCACGAGTGAAAGTTGCAACGCGGTAAATTCTAACATCAGATATCCCATCAATTTTTGACAGACCTGTGTGCTAGTAGGTTACATAGGCAGGTACGATAACGCAAATATATCATTCATCTAGTCGACGCAGGAACGACAGTGATTATCAAAGCAGACATAAAGGTGCCGCCCCACTTAGAGCAAGTCTGTGATGTTGAAATTCGAAAGACATTCCCCTTCTCTTCCCCAGATAATCCCAATAAGGATGAGATTCACGAGAAGAATACCTGGAGAAGAAAGGTCAAACGTAAAGGCCCGAAAGGTCCAATATAAACAGTACATCAAGTTGGGAAACTGCATTTGTGAAACGAGCTGTCTTGGATTGATTATGGGGAAACACGTTGAATGCGTTTAATCGGCAAGAGTTAATTAACATATTTCGAGCTTTAGTCATGAAATTCCTCTGTTGAAGTGCGGTGATTCAAAATGACGCCACTAAAAGGAATTATTATTAGATTGTGTCAAAAATTCAAAATATAAACAGCACTTTTTCTCGGGCCAATTCCGAGACCTATTCAACTTTATATCGTGAATTTGAATGTACGAAGTACTGACTCTGATGACGAAGCACAATCGGCTAATCTACCCTATTTACACGATTATCTAAAAAGCTCGTATGTACAACTTCCACCTCCGGTAAATCAGATCCTCAAGATGAATTTGTTAGAATCTGTGCTGTACCGTTACCGCCATTGACGCACCCTTCCAGAAGATCAAAGCCTCAAAGGCGATGTGATTTGCCAGTGAACAGTCACATGTCACGAATAAAGTTGCGCTAACTTGGATGTTTACCGACTATCACTCTCGTTTTCGTCAGAGGTAATCAAAGATGGCTCCATATCTCAATTTGACTGATGACAGGTTCCATCTAATAACTTACCCTCGTCTTGGATCAAGCCGATAGACTATTCAGTCTGAAATTCAGACTCTGAACTTCTCTAATGACGTTGTCAATCCGTTAATGACTTGCTTTGAACTCGTGCTTCGCAATTCCTGCTTCTCTCTAAAGTTAGTAGGTTAGAAGTTTTTCCACTCCAGTATACATTCTATAATCAATCTGCCTGACCGGCAATGTATGACTGATATCAGAGCCATGAGCTGACCGCAAGTGCTCTTGTTGACAGCCTTCCAAGATACAATGCGTGATTGAACGTCTTGATGCATTACATACACTCCTCTTAGCTAAAGTGGTCACTCTCTCACTGATCCAGATGTGTACGGGGCAATCTGTACGCAATCCTGTGGAGGCTATGGGCAATTTGATTCATTTCTCGACATGCGTACCTATTGCTTAACGATATTGCTTCAATGGTGTAGCACTCTCTAATATCCTACCATTGTTGACAGTATCTTCGAACTTTGCAAGTCGAAGACTGTCTATTCCAAGTCAAAAAACCACTCATTCATCTCAAAAGAGGCTCATGGCTTCCTTGACAAGAGCACCATGCCGAACCCATTCGAGAGAATAAGGAGAGCTTCCTAAGCCATGACGAAAATTGAGACATTTCTCAATGCTGACTACGAAGAGCAGGACTGTCACTCTTTTGTGAGGACACACCATCACACTAAGCTCAATCCCGACCATTACAAATTCTGATCCACGCCTTCACCAAGACCTTGTAGATAACAAATAGGAGGGTTCGAAAGATCAGAAAGACCCTCGACCTTAACATTATATCTTTACCCATTTATCCTCACTTGAGATGTTGCTGAACGGAATAGACTTATTGCTTGGTGAGCAACACGATATGCCCCAACTAGTTGACACATCTCCATCCTGTCCGCAAGGAGGTCATGATATAGCTGCAAGTCGACCCCGACATCTTGTAGCAGATAAGCGTAAATGGCGGTGTTGCATGAAACGTTCAAGATCGGCAACTTAGTGGCCGGAATTGCAAGAGAGGTCATCGTTCGCCGTATGAGATTGGAAATGATCGGTAAATTGGAGAGAAAAATCATCTAGCAATATTGACCCCTTCACTTTCTGCCAATTCTGAAATGGATATCAGAAAGACTTGCTAAATCATTTTGGTGTAATGGACCACGATGCACGGGGTAGTAAGAGAGAGAGAGAGAGGTGAGAATTTGATAGGACAATGTAGGTCGGCTTACCTTAGCACCTTATTGGTGGCTCAACCCCACCCAAAAATGATAAGCCGAGCACCTCATCTGCTATCACGACAGAGACACCCCCATGTTCAAAAATTAATCGCGATTACTCACATTATCATCATGGCGTTTCGTTCCATAACATCCTTCAGGTTCATTTCAACGTCTTGTCGAGATGGCAAACTCTATCCCTTCCTCTAGCTCTGACGCTGCATGTAGTTCCGACAATGATACCGAAGTTACTGACAGCAGTGCTACTACCTATGCTTATCTCGCCGATGACCCTGTACATTTCTCTTATCGGGATGGTGACCTTACATGGTCAGGAGCTGTAGGAATTGATGGCGGCATATCTGGTGGGAAAATCAAAGGAGAAGATGTGATCTGTGTTACTGAGAATGAGGGACCAAACGGTACTCTGGGCTATACAATCTTCAGTCTGCTTCCAACAGAAGGAGGAACTAAAAAACTTCCATTCGATTTGAAGACAACATCTGCCACCAACCTCCCCCAAGAATGTCTCGAAAGTTATCTGATTAGGAGTTTGCCGACATATCTTCGCTCCGCGGAAACGCAAATATACGTTTTGGTCTCAACGTTGTCTGGGACAGGGTTGGCGCCAGACTTTTACGACACTGTATTACACCAAGTTCTCGGATCTATCGGATTGCCGGAAGGAAGCTACACCTTGATCAGAACAGATAATGCGGATTCCGTAAAGGACTTTGCAAGCTCAACATTGCTGGAGGGCGCAAATAAGGGTAAAAAGCAATCGATATTGATGTTAAGTGGTGATGGTGGGATGGTGGATACAATAAATGGATTGCTTGAGAGTGGAGAGAAATCAAGGTGGGCTTCTCCGCACACCTATCTGTACTATTCACTACTAACATCTTGTTCACAGATCGTATGTAAAACCGACATTATCTCAACTTCCTCTTGGAACAGGAAATGCTCTCTTCCATTCGTTGCATCGGCCTTCTCCGATCCCGTCAATATATATACAGGGTCTACGGACATTACTTCATGGTACCCCTTTACCACTTCCAATATTCGGTGTGAAATTCTCTCCTGGGGCACGAACCATTACGAACGAAGGTCAAACAGAGACACCACTCACAAACAATATTGTCTACGGGGCAGTTGTCGCGAGTTATGGCCTCCATGCAACTCTGGTTGCCGACAGCGACACAGTCGAGTATAGAAAACATGGAGACCAGAGGTTTCACCTGGTAGCTGGTGATTTATTGTTTCCAAAAGATGGAGCTCTACCACACGCTTATAAAGCTTCTGTCACATTGACCAGATCTGATGGTACAGAAGAAGTCATACAAAGAAAAGAACACGGATATGTTCTCTCAGTACTTGTGTCCAACCTTGAGCGAACTTTCACAATATCTCCTGAAAGTAAACCCTTGGATGGCCAATTACGAGTCATACACTTCGGAGCTGCAACTGGTAAGCAAACAATGAAAGTAATGGAAGAGGCATACAAAGACGGAAATCACATTGGTATGCAATGGGATGAAGATGGCCAGAAAGGGGGAGTTGGATACGAAAGTATCGAGAAGCTTAGGATAAATTTTGAGGAATCTGGAGATGGTTTCAAATGGAGACGATGTTGTGTAGACGGTTTGATTGTGGGTGTTGAAGAGGGAGGCTGGATGGAAGTTGAAAGGTTAAAAGGCGAAGGGACATTGGATGTTGTGGTTGATTTGTGAAATCAACGAGGAGTCCAAATTAGAATATCATGTTGCTCGTGAAAATAGATCGCTTAGCGGATTAGACGATTTAAGGGCGGTTATTTCTGGGGGCATTACGTGTTGGGATTAGACGTCACAATGGCTGAGTGGCAGATTTTAGATTGAAACAGTTAGCCTGGAGTTTTGAGTATAGCATCTTACTATCTTACATATCATATTTCGCATGTCATCTCTCTCATCACTTGTCATGTATCTATATGTCAGCAATTGCTTCGGTTTTCCGAAAAGCCGACACCCAAAGGCCCGTAGTCATCCATTCTCCACGGATCTTTGGTCAATCCTTAATTCTTGAATTTGGTAGTTCGGGTCGGGTAGTAGTGGATTGTACAGCAGTGAGTCGAAAACACATGGAGGCAAGTATTTTTGAAAAGGCATGTCTCTAATTCCTTCGCCTGGTGGCGTATCAATATAATTCACATGTAAATACCCACAATTCATTCTTCGTTTCTCGCTCTATGCGAATCCATCTTTATCATTACCTTTCAATGCATGTACATGCACTCTTAGCATCTGGTATACTCCACACAGCCATTGAAAAGTCATAGACTGTCGGGATATCGATCATGTGATCTAAAGAGGGCACCGTATTGCACTAGCGTATGCACTAGCGCTAGCACTTCTACTATATTAATTACTAGCTTCCCATAGATAACAATGATCAAGAACGAATACAACCATAATAGACTAAAGTACTTTACACTTATCAACCAAGTTGATACCAACATAGACCATCTGTTGGTTAACGAATAGATTCAGAATATTTTTTACAGGAGGAATTGCTAACAAGATTTTCCTAATCCATAACGGCAGAGTCACAAGAATCTTGCTCAATTTACTGACAGAAACTGCAATTATGTTCAGACCTCGGACTTGTAGTCCCAAGGCTGTCTTGTTGATACCGGCGTTTAGAACACGATAGTCATTCAAATCTTGCTCAAACTAGCGCACTCATCTGAATTATTGATACAGGCGCTTAGAACACGACAGTTAATCAAATCTTGCTCAAACCAGCGCACCGATCTGATCCATCCAAAGACCAATTCGCAGCCGATTGGCCAGGTGCGGCACTGATGATACGATTCTGTCTTGGTTGAAATAGATGTCCTCGCAGGGAGAATTTTGATAACCTCGCTTTTTTCTCAAAAACTGGTGGCTATCTAGTCCTCTTCTTTTCTTTCACAGAGCCCAAAGTTCCTACATACAACAAAATTGTACAGCGGAAAAGCAAAGTGACACGCTGATTAAGTATACATGGACATGGGAACATCAAGCATGAGCATGGGAGGTGCGACGGCGACTGCAACCGGGACAATGACTGCAGTGACCACCGCTGCGGCTATGGATATGGGAGGCGGATGTCAAATTTCTGTGAGACACATCAGTTACTTTCTATTCTTTCAAGTATCATACGAATTATATCTAATAATCTTCGTCTAGATGCTTTGGAACTGGTATACCATTGACTCGTGTACGTCAAGTTCTCTTCTACCTTTTATATCTGTGGACAGATTCCAAAGCTATAAACTATCATCTGCGTCAGCATTGTTGATAACTCTGTAGGTTTTATCTCGAGCACATGGCACATTACCTCGAATGGAATGTTCGCTGGCTCTTGCATTGGCGTGATACTACTCGTCATGTCACTAGAGTTCCTTCGTCGAGCATCAATAGAATACGATCGCTTTATCGTCCGTCAAGCACGAAATCAACATCAGTACATCCAGTCTAACGCAGAGATCAATCCCAAGATAGACGGATCCGGCCCTCAGTCGACTCAAACTGTCGTTGCTTCACAAAAAACTAGGCAAAGCTTTCGACCAGATCTCTTGCAACAGATAATCAGAGCACTCTTTCATATGATGCAGTTTGCAGTTGCATACTTCGTTATGTTGCTGGCTATGTATTTTAATGGATACATCATCATCTGTATCATAATTGGAGCTTTTCTAGGTGCTTTTGTGTTCAGTTGGGAGCCGATAAATTTGAGGTTAGCTATTTTCGTAACTCGTTTGAAAAACGACCTAACAATTGAATAGATCTAAGGATAATGAGGAAGCAACCTTCTGTTGTGGTTAGTGAAGTTGTTGAAAGACTGAAATGGTCAACTTAGATCGGATTCGGTGGCACTGTATAGAGGTATAGGGGAACGAAGCTGAGAAGTGTCAGGAGTTGAACGTGAATGAGATTCTAGGACTCAATGTTCGTAGTGGAATACCAATAGAAACTATGATAGAAGAATAAACGAATAGCTGGCAATTAATCACACCTAAAAGGTCTAGTCAGGCAAGTCACTAATGACCTGTAGACATATACCAGCAACAATCAAATCTTACTCATGTTATCTTTTCTTCATTCTGAATGTTTCATTTTCTGGAGAGTCAGGGAGTTTATAAAACAACTGGTTCTGATGCGCCAGCGGATTATTTGAAGATATTTTATCAATGTTGAGCCACAGCTTGATTCTCTATGACCGACCTTCAACTTTGCATCACGAAAATGATATCTCAGACACCAAATCTTTCAAACCAGTCTGCAACCTGCCTCCAACCACAATTCCAAATACTGAGCTTTTTTCAAAAATCACCCCAGGCCCTCATCAATAGGTTTTCGCCATCAGAAAAACTACGTTCTCTTTCCACTTCATCACAAAACTGGGAGGCCGAGTGGCTAGAAAACAACTGAGAAGCCCAAGTGTTATAATGCTATAATCAAGCACTGAAAACAAAACCAGTATTAAAATCCAAGAAGCAAAACAAAATCTGCCCTCAAAAATGAGCAATCGGTTCTCGATATAATTTCTTGACGTAAATAGAGACTTCCTCACATAAACACAAAAGTTAAAGCATACGAAGCTTGCGCGCCATAGCACGCAGCTCGGTTTTGCGTTTATGCAAAACTGCAGCTATGGTTCAAATAGCATGGCACTCGACTTGGATGAGAAGGATCACTGTGATCGGGTGATCTCTGGCTGATACAGCTCATGACCCAAAACGAAAAGACGCAGCTGAGCAGATACACTTTTGTTTGCGTGCTAGTGGAAGTTGTCAGTGCTAGTAGCTGTCTAGTGAGGAAAAAACACAGTGTGAATATTCCGGCTGCGAGATTGGACTCGATATATCTGACCTCTGAATCTTTGTCAGATATTTCTTTTATAGTCAAGAAGAAAGGAGGTATGAACTGGTGCGTGCTAATTGATCGAAAAGAACACAAAATACCGTCGAGACCAGATGAAAGGGATTTCTGGCGGTTGCAAGTAGTTTGCAAAAAAGTAGATGCGCATTTCAGGGTCCGAGTTAAATCTATGTTGTCTACCTTCTTCCCATAGTGCTTTTCGAGTAGCATCGGATATTCTACTAGAAGTAAACTGATGATGATTATAATGATTTGAGCTTCTATTAACATGAAGTATACTCGACCTTTTGGTTTGTGCCAAGACATGTCTGATTCACAGGGGAATTAAAACTCGCTTTGGAAGTGGTATATAATCAGGATTCATGATGAGGTTAAAAAGAAGTAGGACTATCATCCTGAGCGTGCAGCTCAACACTTCGATATAAGAGTTCTTCGTCAACAGACTTACTTGTGACGGCTATTGTCAATAATAGGATATCAAGTGACCGCAGCTTTTTCAGTAGGCAATCTCGGTTACCTGTGAATGGAGCATATTTGAGTGTATTTCTAGTACGAACACGTCGCAAGGATCCTGCCAAGCGATACCAGAAACAAATAGGCATGACAGATCATATCATAATCTTGCAAGTACAAGATAGATAACCATAATGTAATAGTGTGGAATAAATCGCACTAGATTTCACTTATGTGATGATTGATTCTATCATTCCTTGCCCTGACTTTAGAGAGATTTCAATCTCTGAAAACAGAATGTCTGGAAAAGTTTCTAGAACCTCATAGTTGGGTTGGTAGTGTTGGTAATTAACTACATTAAGAGAAAAATTTCGGCCCAAGATTCATCAAAGGTTCCTCTTCTTTGAGCTATTAAAACCAGCTCTGTTTCACAAATACAAACGTAGTCCTAGTGGAACACACTCTTTGATATGTCTTGACAGTAGAGATAAATTAAATACAACACCGATAAGAAGTATCAGCGAACTTCAAGGCAATCACAATAGCTATTGAAACATGGCACACGCGTTACTCCACCATTATCCAGTAGCGGGTTGTCAGAAGCAACACCTATTGCGTCTTTGAAACGGTCCATGGGGTATAGGAGTCAGTATCAGTAGGTCAAATAGCCCATAATAAGATATTATCATAACGAGAGGAGATCGTACTGAGAATTGCAAAGTCGAAAATGATCGAGACTTAAGAACTGGATTAAGTCAGTGTACAAAAATACCTGCATATACGGGATTTAATAACTGTTGTACTGTAATGATCATCCTCAATTCATCAACAAGAAATGCCCTTAAAAAGTGAAAAATCAAGCAGTGAATGATATCGACTACTACCTAGTCACAGATACCGAGCTTGCCAATCCATCCTCTCTCATGCCCACGAGAAGTGTTCGGAATATAAGTACACCCCACCAGAGCTTAGGTTCTTCATAATAATCAAGTTCTCTTTCGCAACAGCATTGCGGATATCATCTTGCATCGTAAGCGGCCCGCACACGAAGACGCCCATTGTCTGGCCTGTTGTCCTCGCTGCGGCGGCTTCTTCTCGGATAATTGAAGGTAGATCTGGGCGACCGCGCACTTCATCTTTCGGTTCACTTGCGTCGGAGTTTCTAAAGGCTCCTGTATTCTTATCGATGACGTCTTTTTCTGTCGATATGATATTGGGCCTTTCGAGCTCAGAAGCAGATTCAGTCGGAGGTTGCACCATAGGCTCAGCTTTGCCAGTCAGATGTACCTCGACACTTATGTCTGTACCTAGTGACTGGTAGTCCGATAGCATATTGTTAACGATTGTATGGAACCATGTGCGGGTCGCTATGTCTCGTGTTGATAGTATGAGCCGCAACGATCGAGGACTGCGAAGGTCTCGCTGACATGATGGCTTGTCAGAGGTCTGCTTATTCTCTTTTGTTTCTTCATCTAGAGGTTCGGGAACCCCCTTTAGAGAGCTAAATCGCAGGAATTGCTCGACAAAAGGTAGCATCCATCCAGCTCCAGAGCCACCAGCAACCACAACAAGACGATCGCTGTTAAAGTACTTCTGATTGTCTATACCACTATAAGGACCATCAACCAATACAGGCACCTGTATGCCTGGGCGTTTTATTGCATGATTGTACAGCCTTGCTGTAAAGCCTCCTTGATGGCGGATATAGAAAGTAATTTTGGACGGTTTATCAAGTGATGTAGATGGTAGCGAGCAGATGGTGAATGGATGAGAGCTAAAATTATGGATACCGAAGCTCCGGAACCGCAAGAAACAATGTTGTCCCGGTTGCCATTTGAAGTTGGCTGGTATTGTAATACGTGTAAACCCATTATCTTCAATGAATATTTCCGCTTTCTGATGCGTACCGTACTCAAACAAGGTCCTAAGCCATGGATACGTCCAACAAGGTACGTACACTGCTGCTGTTGCGACAAAATAGTCCCTACCAGTTTGTTAGGAAACTCTTGAAGATATAATTTGCTTCACGGAGCATACCATGATGTTAGTGTACCGCTGCAGTGCCAGAAAAAGACTACCATGAATACTACAGCCGATAAGAAATGTGTTGCTTTGAAAAACTCATAGCCAAGATTTCTGGTGAGTGATTAATCGTCTGTGGAATGTTCTGATATCAAGATTGCTTACCGAATGGGACCATAGGATGCAAATGTGAGCCACGCCTGAAACACAAGCGCAACAATGCCAGTCCAATATTCGAAGATGTTACTCACAGTGAACTGATTGACCATATCTCCATTATGAATATGCCAAACAATAAATGGAAATGTGTGCATCAACGCCAGGATGAAGAAAGCATATGCAATCCACCGGTGAAAGACCTGGAGCTTCTCATATGGTACTCCGGTCACCATTGTTATCCAGTTCGTCTTGGTTGCAGTCGCACTATGCATAATCAGTCTGGGTTCGCATAGTTGATTAGATGAGCGTACAAGACGAAGGGCATACAAGCTAACGCCAGCCAGCCAGACCTGGTACCTAATGGCGGCGAGTTGCCCCAAACGGTGTCCGTCCCCGGCCAGTAATACGGGGATGGTATCAAATCCATGCCTTCAGAAGAGGTTAGTCCATGTATCTTTCTACCAATTGCAAATCAGCATCGTACTTACAGAGAAAATATGTGGCCCCTATAGCTCCTAAGAATAACACTCCCACGGGCGCAGAGTTCCACCTTAGACCTTCGATGCGAAAACCTCGATATGACAAATATCGAACGAATGCGACGCCCCTTCGCCATATCAAAGGCTCAGACCTGTGGGACAACGCAAGCACTTGTGTCAAGACGTAACCGATTGTGAAAATGCCGATAACGCACATAAAGAGTGCTACTGTTGGCAGCGCGAATGTCCAGTCTGCTACATACCTAGTGTATTTGTCAATCAAACTTCTTCGTACTGAGTGGTATCTTGTAGAAGGTGTATGGCTCACCAATTGCGCCATGGTTCTTTGTAATACTTGCACTGGTCGGAGTCAAAGCCTTCACAATCGAAGGCCCGACCAGACTCGAACATAACAGGTTGATATATCCATGCAGCCATTTGATTGTAGTTTTCTTCGCGATAATGTTAAAGCTGTCTTGGTGGTTCGTCCCCTTGGCCTGAAATACTATGGATTTATTCACAACGGTCTTGGATCATGAATAGCAAAAGCTTAGAAATTCGAAGAATATGATTGCCAAGTAGCATCGGAAACTTTCAAGCTTCCAAACCCACTACATTTGGAGAATAACGACTCGTCCCACGCTTGGCCACTTAGATTTAGCGAAGGTAACAATTAGTTAATCGAGTTTTTTAGCGCGCGTAATATCTCACTCAAACTCGCGCAAATCGATCAAATCCCCATTTCGAGACAAGTCCCGTAGATACTCACCAATAAAAAGAGAGATGTTAGGGAATTTGAGCAAGTTTTCTTCCGAATTAGGAAGATTCGTCAATGAGCTACGACAAGGATAACTGGGTAAACGGTATTAAGTCGGGATTGGGCGTCTTACGACGGATGATAATAAGAATCTCTAAGCAGTAGAAAAGAAGCATCTGTTAAACGCTTTGCAATTTCGAATATTATGCAAACTCAGCCAACTATGAAAATATCAATGCCCAGCTCAACAGGCTCAACGGCCATGTCAATGTCACCAACCAGCACAATGTCAGGCATGTCGATGGCCAGCTCAACCAGTTCTTCGATGTCAATGTCGTCCGATACAATGATGGGTATGGACTCTATGGCAATGACATTCTTCACCTCTTCAACCACACCTCTTTACTCAATGGATTGGACACCGAGCACCACTGGCCAGTACGCAGGCACATGCATCTTTTTGATCGTATTTGCGGCAATCTTTCGAGCACTGTTGGCTGTCCGAGTCCACTTTTATCAGCTGTTAGCTGCTGCCGATACCCGCCGCAGTGGTGGTCTAATCTATGAACCACATCGGGAAGAGAAGTCGATTCGGCGCCAATGGCAGGCAAGAGAGGCAGTTTTGCTAGGATTGATTGACGTCGTACTTGCGGGCGTGGGATATTTACTGTATGCAGTACCACTCCCGGAACTTTGTTAGTAATAGATATGCTAACAATATTTAAGAATGATTGCGGTAATGACCATGAATGTCGGATATTTCCTTAGTGTATTGGCTGGCGTTTTCGTCGGGGGTGTTTTGTTTGGTCGTTATCTTGCCGAGTCATCGGCGCATTGAAAGGGAGTCTCCAGGCTTGAGATTACAATAGGTCTCCTTTAATGGTGCTGAGGCTGATGACACCATCTCAGCACAGTGATGCCATGCGCAAAAGATGGGACCCTTGAGATGGCCAAAGGCCTGATCATGGCTACCTGCGAAATACTTCAAGTATTAGGGTTTGGCACTATGTATTCTCTCACCATGAGTTCTTAGCCTTCCACGCTTCCCACTTAGGAATTCGATGAATACTATTCTATGGCTCGAAATGACTGCAGAGAGTACACATGTGCTTTGAAAGCGATAGTAGAACTCTAGAAATCTTGAGTAATAAATTGATTCATTTATCTAACGAGATGTCTACCAAGCAAGGCGATTGAGATTTCTCTTTTCATCAAACAATTCATTTATTCCATCGCAAAGCATAGAGTAGCGCCCTCAAGTTTCAACTCGCTCAAATCGAGAAATTCACTCCCAGTTGAGTCCAAAGCATGCTCACAAACTTGCAAGCACAATCACATTCGTGATAGCTTATCCATCGCACTCATGAATTGCTAATTCGCAAGTGTGATAATTTGTCCACCTTCCCAAGTCTCTCCAGCATCCAATTTTTGCCATCCACTAACAGATCCAGCTTCGACACAGATCATGGTTCTCCATCCGTCCTTTGGAGCAAAATCGCCGATATCCTTGGCGTCGATCCAAGGGTTCCAAACAACAACTTGGTTCATGTTATCTCTTGCGACTGTGTATTTCTTTTTTCCTCCCTCGGAAACAATTATTTCGGTGGATGGACCGCCGGCAGGAGTGTAGACACGATCGGTTTTGGCAGAGATGGTAAGGGGATCGGTGGGAGCGGTGTTTGTGGAAATTGGTTCGGTGAGTTTGTCGACATATGTAGCATTCTCGAGACCTGTGATGGAGATTTGGGAGATATCCTGTTGTTGATCGCACATTAGCATATGACGTCGTTTGCGGAGAGATTAGTATAAATAAACATACCTGGATCTTCAAATAAGTGTGCATCAAGATCTGGAACTCCCAAGCTGTAGTACCCTCATTTCTAACCACCATACTCGTTCCAAGGCCTTCTCTACTAAGTGTAACACTATAAATCAAACCAAACTCGCCACCCCACAACTTCCTTGTCTCCTCAGGTACGTTGCTAGCACTCAAACCAAAGTCCAACTTCACACTGCTATCACCACCCTCTTGTCCCTTGACGGTACTGCTCTCGCTAGTACTCTTTCCCAAAAACTCCCATCTAGAGTTGCGCGCAAAACCATGTTGAGGTAAAGTATCAACACCCTTCGCTTTACCTTCCTCGCCCTCTACCTTTCCGAACACCGGGAACACGAGAGGAATACCACCACGCACAGCTTTTGTACCATCTAGCACCGCTTTTTCGCTAAGCCAGAGTTTTTCAGTTCCGGCAGCATCTTTCCAGTTTATGATTGTAGCGCCGTAAAGAAGGATTTCGACCGATTCTCCGGTGGGGAGAACGGCGGAGACACGGGAGTTGGAATGAGTGGTATTTATTTGAGCATGAGGTGCGAGGCCTGGAGTGGCAGAGAGAGCAGATGGCTTCTTGGGTCGGTCCATTGTTGAGATTGTTGCGTGGATGATTGAGTTGGGGATTGTTAGATCAAATGAGGGGTAAATTGATCGATGAAAGAAGCTAGGTATGGATGAGATCTTATCAACAAGGTGGGATATTTCGATGTATTTATACTTCTGTGTGTGTAACTGCAGGTGAGATGAAACAAGCGTATAGTGCAGTTGTACCAGCTGTGTATAATAGGCTGAAAGAGGAGTATCTTATGAAGTTATTCAGGTGCGGTGTAAAGTGTTGGAGTGAGGGACGAGTCTTAGAAGTACCAATTGACGGGAGTTACCTAAGACAATCTAGTACATCACACCAAAATGTGGGATGTAAGCGAGAAACCTGAAACAAGAAATAATGACCAGGGTATCCAGGATGAAGGAGCTGAAAATAGATTAGTGGCGAATAGAAATCAGACTAAAAGTGGGGCTGATCATCAACAAGGACTAGATCAGGCTAAATGATGATTGGTCTAGGAATTTATGTATGGGAATGGACAAGAGGGCATTTGAGGGCGAAGAATTTGAAGAGATACTTCTCTGTGTACGAGGAGGTGTATATGATTTGGTTTCACGTCCGTTGACGAGGGCTAAACAGGTTAGATGGGATAACACCTAGAGGGCAAAGATCAAGAGCGAATCAACATCAAACTGAGACTACAAATACATCATTTCCTTACCGATCATTTGAAGACTACTAGGTGATATGGGCAAATCTTTTTTGTTCTTATCTAAGATCTAATTCATGGTTAGTTTGAGACTCTCAGGGGAACTGATGAAATAAAAAGTGTTCATAGGTGCAACATAATTGGCATTATTTCTGGTATCTAAGCTACAAATTATCCACCAAAACTCCTCCATGCAATCATGTCATGTATGTCTTCATGTGACATTTGTTAGCCAACCACAAGCCAAAGCAAAACGCCATCTCAATGCAAATGTCCTCAATCATCAGCTGATTGTCTTCCTCGCCTGATTGCTCCATACAATTGGGCTTTTGCATCCATAAATATATCCTCTACCTCATTTCCTTGCTCTCGATTAAGAGCAGCATCCCCAAGATCTCTAACTAAGCTCAGCAGCCTCTCCTTTATAGTTTGGTATGTGGGAGCGACTGTAGCAGGCTCTACTATTCCCTCCTGTTGATCGTCGTTGGCTTTTTGTGATCCGAACTCCATCTCCTCAGCTATTTGCGATTGTAATAAAGTTTCCTCCACAAAATCTAGCTCCGGTTCATCGACTTGCTCAAGTGCTTGACTTGTTTGTTCCACATGTTCTGAATCATCGCGAGTGATATCGTCAACAGCTTCAGTGCTAGAAACTGGCATAGTAGGGCGGTTATTGGCGATTACTGACGAACCGGTCTCGGTGATATCTGGGACAGAACTGAATTCTCTCGATGCACTCATGCTTGAATTGTTCTCAAGAATACTCTTAGCTCCTGACGATCGTGTATTCCTTCGAGTGGCTCGTTCAGATCGTTGAGATTGAGCAGATTGGGCTTCAGAAATACTATGTGTTGCAACAGGCTCTGGTGTCTTCGCGGGACGACCCTTTCTCTTCTTTATTGGTGGCACTGATAAAGCTGTACAATCAATTAGTATTCTTTTATTTCACATAAAGAGAATATCACACGTACCGTTTTGAGATACCTCTTGTCTGCCAAGCACCGCACTATCAACTTCGAGGGTCTCGTCGAATTTTCTCTTCTTCGCTGGAGTATCACCATCACCATCGCCTACAGTTTCATTCTTAACCTTAACCTTGTTTGGCGTATTCTTTTTATTGAATGTCTTTGGACTCTTGCTCGTATTGGTTAGACGCACCTGCTGCTGCCCTGCATGAGGTACTGCACTAATAATAGAGCCAGAGACAGAGTCATCAGCCACGGGTCCATGTAAAGCGTTCTCTTTTCCATTCCTTTTCAAAAGCTGTGGTGCCGGAGTCTCAGGAATGACAGATTGAACAGCCGATGATTGAGACACAGGGCGTATTGGAGACCAACGTTTTGGGCTCGGAATTTTGCGAGTGGGCTCGGCATGAACAGAGACGGTAGCTAATTTTGCAGATGCGTGAGTTTGACGAAGAACTCCACCTTGATTTTCAGCTAACGCCCTATCCACAGATTTTGCTAGTTTGATAAAGCTAGATTCGTCAATATCGCTCAGAGGAGAAGAACTGTTGTTAAGCATAGGGTTTGTCATCGACAACTCTTGTATCCTGGGTGGCAGTCCTCGTGGAGACGATGTAGCATCTTCGAAAGTCTCGTCATCGCTTGTGGGTCTGTCCGAATGTATAACACTTGGCCTAGTATCAAGATCATAACCTTTTGAGCTGTTTGGCGCTGGCAGCATCGCTGCTGCACCACGTCGGCTTCGTCTTGGGGTGGATGGTAGGATTGCCCTATGTTTTTTAACTGGATCCATAAAGATCTCAGCAAGTTGGACACTCGAAGCTTTGCTACTTCTATGGTCAGCAAATATTTGCTGAAGCTCTTCAGCCCTAGCCTGCTCTTCGCTACTAGTAAGTTCAACGGTTGCGTCCACATCTTCATCCAGATCTGAATCTCTAGGCGAGCTTCTGTATGTAGACAAGGTTTGGCCCAAATCGAAATCATATGGGTCGACTTGTGTAGGAGCATTTAATGAGCGATTGGTGGTTGCATTGTTGTTAATCTCATCCGGAAAGTTATTAGGAAACGAGGTGACATTGAATTCGTCGGAGGAAGAGGGGAGCATCGAAATACTTTGATACATTGATAGAAATGACGGTAGAGTCGACTGCCCAATGCCATTCTGGCCTTTATTTACAGCGTCTTGCGGCACATCATTCCTTGGATTAGCTTCGGGTGGGGAGGACGTGATTGCCATATCACTATCTCTAGGTAATTGTATCTGACGCTTTTGTGAACCAACCGTTACAGCTGGCGAGGAAGAAGGAGAGCGAGAGACATCTTTTGACAAAAGCACACGACGTGCTGGAGTGGGCGATGATGTTAGGAACGTATCCTGGTTTTCGACAATTTTAGTATCGGGCGTGCTTTGCCTTTCACTATTGGCTGGTGTTTCTAAGAGTAACTTTGAAGCTGATTGACGGGAAGGTAGTTCAAGGTCGTTGTCGGCATGCTTGGGAGTTAGCTTGGAGCTCAGGTGAGGGCTAGACCTGATGTCTGAGAACATGGCTGCTTCTTCAGCTTGTCTTTCTCTGACCTCTTTCTGCCGTTCGGTCAAAAGTTGTGAGTCATACGTTGTTTCCGAAAAGGGAGAGGAGCCAGCAATCGCTTCGAATTGAATTTGGGAGTCTTCATGTCGTGACTTAGCAACGAAACCCCTCTTCCTTGACTTCCTCTTCCCAGGTTCCGGTGTTGTCTCACGAGACCTCTTTCGAGATGCCGCCTTACTGACTTCAATAATGACTCGTGGAGATGGATCTATCGATTTTTGCTGGTGTGCTTGAACCACACTGGACGAAGGAGCTTTGTTCGAAATTTTTGGTAGATTGGCTTCATTGGAGATGTTGGTGTCTGTCTGCGTATCAAGAATATCGAGAGGTCGCCTATGATTGTTTGATATTTGATTTTCGGAGCTTTCGGATAATGATGCAAGGGAGAGGTCCGTGATCGGGAGGAGTCTAGACAAAACTTCTTTGACCATGGGAGGATACTGTAAGTCACCCTTGAAAGAACCAAATGCATCTTTCCACATTTCTATGGCTGAGTTTGCAACATGAACACGCTTACTTCCCAAGCCAGCGCACAATAATGGCTCAAGATTGTTCAACAATTTTGATAGATCAGTAGAACTCAACAATGAGCAGATCTTATTCCAGAGAGAATTAACCTACGTAGTTAGCATTGCTATTTGATTGATCGGGAGACACCAACTTACGGTTCGGGATAAATCACTTCCACCATGCAGTTTTGCCTCTTCGTCGCTTATCCAGCAAATGATCCCATTTTGTAGTTGAGTCAAAGTTTCGCCAAACAAAACTTTTGGACATCGTACTAAAAGCGCTTCAACCTCACTAAGAAGACCACATATGGTGATATGATCATTGGATGAAAGCTCCGTATATGAACATCTTAAGCACCGAGAAATATATTGGTATAGTTGGGAATACGGATCGAAGATGTGAATTTTTGGACCAGCAGTTGCACTTCCCCAAAGACGCCTCCGAGCTGCATCCAAAGCTTGTCGGTCTTTCGGATATGATGCTTCTTTGACTAGGATTTGGCAGTATACTACTTTATTACCACAATACTCGTCATCCGGTCGCCAATTTGAGACCAATGTCTTGGCTATTGGCTCAATAACAACGATAGCTCTGCCTCCGTGCCCCGAGTCAGTGGTCGCAGACGTTACCAAAGCTTGAAAGAGATCTTCCCATCCTTTCAAAGGCTCCTTTGGTGATAGGTCAATCCCGACGTCGAGAATTCTTGCAACACTGCGATATTCAGCGCCAAGAGGACGAGAATCATGAATGGTGCTAGTCACGACACCGTCGTCTCGAAAATTTATCGCTGCTGTAGCAAGTTTTGCAAGAATTGACCAAAGAGTTCCGCACGACTCAGTATTATCCGTTGGAAGAATTTCTAGAAGGTCCTTGACCAAATCCATTTTACCCTTACTCGAACGTCGGGCTTCGAAAAAGGGCATAAGTATGGCTTCAGCCATTTCTGAAAAATTTACATCATGCTTAAAGCCGAGAGGAGGGCTAGAAATTAGAAGGATTAGATGATGAAGTGGTGATCTAATATCGCCTTTTGTTTTTCCGGGTCGATGTGAAGGGGTTGCAACGACAATGAAATCGTCTTGTTGCCCCATGGATAGGAGCCTTTCGGTAAATGGTAATACCCCCAAACCACTTATAGCAGTAGTTACAATAACTTGAAAGCTAGCCAAAAAGTTTGCTTCGTTTTTCCGATGAAATGTCAATGTATGCAAGCCATCTGGTCCCTTTTGCCAAATTTTGTACAATGTGCTAAAAAGAAAAGCAAGGCATGACATGGTATCATTCGATGTTTTGACCTCTTTTGCCGCTGCGGATGAGATTGAGAAAATGTAAGTTTCCCAAAGAAGTGATATTCTGCTTTTGGGGAGAGCAAGCTCCCAAAAAAGCAGCTCCATAAGTGGACTCAGAACAGAGAAGACTCGAGATGCACTTTTACGTAGCCATCGCGGATCAAGTCCTGGAAGCTCTCGAGGTGTGACAGCATTATCATCCAGAGCTCTGGTTGGTACCCAGGGTCGTTGGGTATGCGCATTGAACAAACCACAAAGGATATTGCACGCGTCACCCAAATCCTGCTTAGCCAATGCGGGATTCTCCACGAAGTCAGTGGGAATAAGTTTATCCCGGACGATCTGAATTATATATGTATCCCAGAATGTATCAAGCTGGGTTTGCGTTGTATTTGGCTTCACCGAGTAATAGAATAAATTGCAAATACTGCTCAGAGTTGACTTGCGATGCAGATTGTCGGAGTTTGAGATTTTACGAACATCTTTTCTTGGAAGTTGTAAAATCAAGGGTTGGCTCAATGTGTTGACCATACTGAAAGAGACCTTTTCCTCTAAAGTTATTACAAATATCATGCGGTTCCACGCCAGATTTGCCGCCAATTTTGTGTTTTGGTCACTGGAATTGAAGCAGACTTTGATCACGTCAAGCCATATTTTGATAAAGGCCCAGTGCTCTAGCTGTTTAGGTCGGGCACGGAGAAATAATATGACGGCCGCCCAGATACGTGGTGTGGAGCTTGAAGGTTTCTTTGCTATACTTCGCAGTCTATCGGCAAAAAATTCGACATACTTGACATCCTTTCCATCCGATCCTTTGAAAATCTCTGTGACTTTTGAAGATATTTTGCTCTCCGTCCCGAGTTCAAGGCTAGCCTCTTCACCAAACGCAATAGCAGCAGTCTGTATGTTTGAATAGCTGTTGAGCATATCGCTGAAGAGATCTCCAAGCCAATCTGAATTAGAAATCATGTGAGCTCTGGATTGCCTAAGAAAAGTTCGGTAGATGTTGATGCGCTGTTCTACGATGCTTTTGCCTCGCACATAATCCTCGATATTGTGAATCGCAGATATCAATTTTGTAACCCTATCAGCTGTCATGATCCTTGCCGAGAACTTTTGCTGTGCAATGATAAACATCAGATGCCTGACAATCTCCTTTGACATTCCAGGATTCTCAAAAGTCTTCAAGGCGTAGTCCATAATATAGCCATTGAAATCGGGGGTCAGCATATCTGCGATTGACTTCTTATAAAGAAAGCTAGACATAAGTACTAAAGCCTCTTTCGCAAGTTGAGTATCAAGAGCCCCAGTTTCAAGCTTGGCATTTAGGTCCCGCTTTATGAATTGAAGTATCAAGTCCATCTTGTCTGACAAAGCCTTTCTATCCGGAACATTGTCGCAAGCCTTCAAGGCGCCCGATAAGGTCGTGTATGCATCTAGCTTTGATCCCCTGTCTTTCCCAGCTAATTGTTTCGATATTGATTCCAACATTCTAGCATCCAGTATCAGAGGTTTTGAGGTTAATGTCGTGTCGTCACCTTCGGAAGGCACAATATTTTGTGTAGGGTCAGGAACATGGTGTGTCTTCAGTATTGATTTCGTCGCTTTTCGCTCCGCTGATGGTGTCAAAGGCGATAGAGCTTGTGCAGATAGTGTCTTTCGATCGGTGATAATTCTAGGAGGATCTTTGTAATCGTACTTTTCGGACCAGCCTACTTTCTTCCTGGTAGTCGATGGTGTACTGATGAGATCCGCAGATGAGTCTGGAGTATTTATTTTAGGCTTTCGAGGTGATTTGTCTTTTGAATTCAAAAAGAATCGGAACCAGGGATGTCGAGGCTCACTGGATTCAGGCTCAGTAGGAGTTGAAGGTCTCGGCTCAGTGTTAATTGATTCTGCAGTAGTTGAAGATGGCGGTACCATGGCTGCAAGATCGCAGCTATCGTGAAGATGAAATAGCAGCTGTACCGAAACCCATCTTCTATTCTTTGAGAAGATGCTTGAACACCGGAAAGGTTTTTGGTAATTTGTAATTTGTCCTGTAGATACTCGCGTGGTTGGAGAAGATGACTTGGTGAACCTAGCCAGTGAAAGTTAATTAGGCAGAAAACGCGACAAACTCCCAGCGCGCGTCGAAAAACCACTTTAAGTATTCACCGCTTTTGGCGAGTCCGATTGATTACTAATGCATGCGACACATCTACACGTGTTTATGTACCCAACAATTCCGATCTTTTACAATCTTGAGAGCATTTGCGAGAAGTCTTGGAGCACCGTATGTATCCATTTTCATTTTATTTCTAAATGACTATAATAGGGCGATAAAAAGTTTGAAACAAACTGTATAGAATTATTAGCTGCATCCCTAGTAAAGTAAGATTGGTCACTTGATTCTAGTCAGGTCATGTGATATTGATCACTGATGAACCTACACCTCATTGAATGCTATATTCTCCTATGTTTCTCAGCCGTATTGATTCATTTATCCTATGTATTACCCAATTCACTTGACTACTTCACTTAACTACCTGGTAGGTATGGTATGGAATCAATACAATGGTGAGATCTCCAGCTCCAATCATGTTTTCATTAAATTATGAGTACATGCATAACTTTTATGGGGACTACCTAGGTAGGTATACAAGGGAACGAATTCACTCTCTTTTGTAGGGGGAGAGAAATGATTACCTAGGTAGCTGGAGGTACTTGAATATCTCAAAGTCTTTATTTTCCATCAGATGTTGAATATTTTGTTTCAGATTGCAAATTGTTAAACGCTCGATTTTTGAATAAATTTGGAAAGCATCTCAAATAAGGTATCAAGTCGAAGTGTTACGCACATTCACGTCGCGTAACCTTTGAAAGAGTGAAAGTAAACAAACAGTCAGTTATCTCACACAAAATCGATCAGACATGCCACGATCAAAAAAACCTTTGGCTGAAGCAACACCCAATGCATCGATTCCTTCTAAAGACCGAGGCTCTATGTTGCCAACCATGGAAGTAAGTCATACACACATGCAAGTTGTATCCCTCATCCATTTTAACAATAAACAGGGAAACAAAACCAATGATGATGATACTGCGATCGATTTCAAGAAATATGATCATTTGATAGACATGGAATTGGAGCGTTGTCGTTTAAGTCATGAGCTGTGTAAAGAATGGATGTCACTAGGTGTGACTGAAGCATATCATGATACATTTTTTATGTATATGGATCCAACCAAAGCACCGGATTATACCGTCCTGCGCCGAGACATACAAAAGTTCATTACAAATGCACTTGAAGAGCAGAAGAACCCTCCTCAAAGAGGTTCGTTTGTATCGAGAAAACCCGAGGAAGAGGTTTCTGGAAACAAAAGACCAGCTGTGGTTAAAGTAGGAGGTTTATCGCAAAGCTCCGACAAATTACCAATCAGTGAGAATGTCGAGACTCGGGATGATCACAGTATCGATAACGGTGATTTAGATGAAGGAATTGTGTCAAAATCCAGTTCTCAAGCTGCAGGTAAAAGGTCCAATGGAAGAGCTACCGGTAGCCGGCGCAATCGAGCTGAAGATAATGAGAATGCTGTGATCGAACCCGAGAACACCTCAGCAATTATGTCCACCTCTAAATCCAACTCAAACCAGTATGTATTTCAGTCACACCAATCATCCCCTCGTTTATTAACATTACATAGACAGCCAAATCTGTCCTTACGGACCAAGAAACAAAGCGTTGCCGCGAAAAGCTCAGAAGCATTCTAATGGCAGACGAAAAGGGATTTGGGAAGGAAGAAAATAAATACACTCCTTCAGCAGTCCAGTTCGAGTTACAAATATACCGCAATGGCTTCATGGGATTTGGTTACAAACTTTGTGACTTAATCGGCGTCTCGCAGGAAGATTTTGATGAGTTTATGGTTTCCGCCTTTGGTATGTCCAAAGAGGAGGGAAGTCAGAATGAAGTTTGTCGAAGAAGTTGGGACTTGCTTCGGGAATTGGAAAAAGAAAGAAGAGATGGGGCCAGCTCGAATGGAAATACTAAGCAAACAAGTTCATCAGGAACTAAAAGGGCCCCAGGTGGAGAAGTCGAGGGCTTACCAAAAAAGAAGAAAAGAAATATTCTGAACGAGGAAATAATGGATGCTATTGCAAACATTGGGCTGGAAGATGATGAGGATGAGGAGTATGGTGCGATGGAGGTATACGATACTTGCGACTCGCTTCGAGAAAAAATCCAGGAGTATTTGGATGAAACAGGTGTCAGTCAAGCCGCATTTTGCCGCGCACTATCGAAATCACTGGACGACCAGAGAGTAACCCCCGCACAGCTCAAATCCTTCATGTCAAAAACCGGACCAAAAGCTGGAAACACATCTCTGGCATTTTATGCAGGCTATTGCTTCATGGAAAAAGTTAGACTTTTCGAAAAGAAAGAAAAAAGTGAGTTTCGGTTGGAAATGGAGGATATCTGGGATGGTACTCAACCAATTACTTACGGACGTGCGGGATTTGATATTTGGACACAAGAAAGTCAATTCGTCCTTGGTTCTGCGACTTCAACATTGGAGATGGATGAGTATGGTGTGATGCATTACTTTGAGTGATTTTGGACAGTCATCTGTTGTTGGGAGCTTTTTCGGCGTTTTCCGGTTGTTTCCTGGTGTCGTATTCTGGAATTGAGGACTTGGGGCGCATAGTAGGAGAAGAGATAGCGCATGAGATTTTGGTGGCATTCAAATGACTTGTATTACGAATTCAACATTCAACAATGGTGGAAAATCGAAGGTGTGTACAATATAGGGATATTAAATGAGATTTGTTTATTATGTGGATATTGTATGTCATGTATAAAGGCTATCAGCAAATATTAGCAGTCTCCATAGACCGACAGTGTAATATCACAATTGAACCCACCCAAACCATATCATATCATTATATCCTTCCAAGAATCTAATCATACCACATCACTAAATCAAATCCTCATAATCCCCCTTCCCAAACCCGCTATAAAAAAAATCAAAAAAGAAAAGAAAAGAAAATCATAATCTCCCCCATCCCTCCCCTCCCTAAAATCAACTCAACTCATCGCAAATCCCCACCTCCCATCCACCCCCCTCTCATACCTCACCAAGACCCTCTTCTTCGCCTCCCTAAACGCCCTATTATCCACTCCCCCACTCACCCCAAAAAGCGCATCGGCAATTGGTCGCAACAGCAAACTCATCCCTATATACGCATCATCCCCCACCTGCACGGAATTACTCCACACGGCGACCACAAAACACATGACAAACTGCACCAGGGGGATGAGAAATACGATCAGCAGGAAAAAATACGTATGGTTTATGCCGAGGGCGAAGCCCGTGTGCGGCTCGAGTCCTTGGTAGGAGGAAGAGGGGTTGAAGGCGGCGGCGAGGGAGAGCGAGGTCAGTCCGAACGCGGTGATTTGAGAACCGATCAGAGAGGAGTTACCGTGCATGGGGGTGCCCCAGATGGTTTTCTGCGGGTACGATGAGGTTTGTTGGTAGTTCGTATCGTAGGTGTATCCGGTGTTTGCGATGGCGGCGGCGGAGACCCACGACATGGCGTCGCTGATGTAGGAGATGTTTTTCTCGTCGTGGAGGGTTTTGGAGAGGCTGATGTTGCAGCTGTAGTACCATTGCGTGTTGATGTCGCTGGTTTCGAGGGCTTGGATGACGGAGCAGCGGGGACTGTCCGGACAGAGATAGTCGCCTTCGGTGAAGAAGGTGGTGGCGTTGGGAGCCCAGGAACTTATGTAGATGGGATTGATGTCCGGGTTGCTGGTGTTGAAGTAGCCGGTTGTGTCGTTGAAGTGTGTGACTTTGTAGGAGGAACAGGAGTAATTCATTTCGAGAGTTCGCTTGGTGTAGACGCTTAATGAACCGGTTTTCTGGGTGGATGCAGAAGAAGAAGATTCGGTGAATACGAAGACCATTTTGTTGTTAGGTTGGTCTTGCCATATGCTATAGTTGTTGGTGAGTCCTTGGTAGATGTCTCCTTGGGTTGGAAGGTCGTCAATCGAGCTGCCGATTCCGAGATTCCAAGCTAAGCCCCCATAAGCGTGAGCTGTGTATTCTTCATCTTCAAATTGAGGGTTGGTGGTATTAGAGAAATGTCTCATATTTGGAATTATAACATTGCCGGGTGTGAATAGATAACTCTCTGTGCTGGTATCGAAACCATATGTTAGACTAATAGCTGCAATAGCTGCTTGTACAAACTATTATCCATTAGTTTTCTTCCTCTTCTAATTAGGAATACAATAGCCTACGATATTGAATATCAACCACGAAATAGCCATACCGAAAACCAACGGTCTCTTGGAAACAAACGCCAGTTTTCCAAGATCCATCAAACTATCCGCGTGTAAAGTAAGATCAAGCTAACCTTCCATAAGCAATTGCTCAAACATCGGAATTGCAGAATTTCCACCTACTTCATAAAGATTTCTCTTCCTAGCATGTAAAATTGCCCAACGCGCATTCAACGCCATATCTTTCAACGAAGTAGCAATATTGATACCCAGAGCAATACTAATGCCCGTGGTAATCGCATTGAAAATTCTCTTGGAACTTTCTGTCACCGTACCCTTCTTATTCCAATACCTCAACGCCAGTAAATAAGCAATACACAATACAAGCGTAATCAACCATCGTGCCAAACTTTTCAACAAGATATGCCAAAACTGTTTTCCGGTCTTGGATTTATAAGGCACGGTGGTAAAGGATTGTTCAGGTTTATGAAAATGACTTTCGAAATGTGAATAATTTTGCTCGTGAGGAAGTAAGGTGGCCGCGCTGTTGGAGTGGGCAAGATTACTGCTGGAGGTTTGGGTGGGTGGAGAGGGTCGGAGTGTGCTGGTGGATGTGGGACTGGTCAATTCGATTTGGGGAGAGGTATTTATGGGATCGTAAGCATGTGACATTTTGATCGTTCGGATACCACGATGGGTGATGAATTTCTCTCTTCCAATACTTCGAACTTTGAACTTGGGATTTTGAGAACTTAATATTAAAACAGAAATTTCAACAACATACGTAAAAATCCAATAATGGGATTTCAAGGAAATATCAATCCAGTAGGTAATATATATCTCAGCCCTGGGATTATAAGGTTCAGTATTCTACCCATAGATAAGACGAAAGAATGCGGCTCTAAAATGGATCCTTCGCTGCACAATGATATTTAGGATCTGACATTTGATGTGATTGGTCTATTCACGATGCTTCGAAGGATTCTGCAGGGATTTTGGTCTCCAGCTGAATGATTTGGACGACCTTGTATGCACGCCGAGCGTGCCCAGAGGCGGCCGCTCGTCCGCATCTTATGATACCATGTTTGCTTGCTGACAAGTTTTGTTTGTCATTTCGAAGAATGGGATATTGAAGTATTGAATATCGATCGGGTGTGCTCGTGCGGTTTTGTGTTCGTAATTGAAAAAACATCCGAGATTTCTGCATCGTGGTAAAAGTGGTGGCTTTGAGGCACAGCTTGCTGACCATACCTACCTAGTAGTTTACTACGTTTCATGTGCGTGGTGGATAAGCTATCCTTGTTTATAACTTTATCCGGACGCCATATGATTATGATAGAGAATATTAGGGGGCCAAGGGGCCAAAATCCCTTTCACGTATCAGAGATCTGCTGTTTTTACAAGGAGTTGAATGTTGTTTCTAGATTTTTCACGTACTGGCCAAGACAAAACAGTCTAGTGATGTGTTTGATTTAACCGGGGAAGCATAGAATACTACAGTATACTCATACGGCTACGAACAGAGAGTTACAAACCCTCTGCTAAGAACCCGAGGTTATTAGTCCTTCTGTAGTTTACTATTTTGAGGTGTGTGCATCTAGCTCCAAAGTTGCTTCCTTGCTGGCAGCATAAGTACCTTTCGAGCACATCTCAGTTTGTTCAACGCTGAGCTGGATTGTCAATTCTGACGAATTGTTGGGGTTCAATACCCTCACGTTAGGAGCTTGGCTTCCCCGGGCCCACTTTTGATCGCTGAAGCTATCAACTCGGCCAGATCGAGTGCACTTGTGACTTTAATGAAAATATATGATGGTAAGAATATATATCTGGCTCTAGATGTGTCGCCTTAGGTGGATTATGGAATGGAGTGAATAGAGGAGTTGCATTCTGTATGGATGGGCTGTTTGTCTTGGAAACTTCTATGATATTTTTTGATATTGTTATTGTTTTGAGAGATTCTACCTGATTATGTGGCTTTTATCTATTGTATTTGAATCGAGGAGACCACACAGATTTTGATATATGGCATCTCCAGCGAATATATCCAAATGATTTAAAAGCCACGCTCGAAATACTCTCCCCGGGTCCTGCATGTTAATCAATGGCGTCAACGAAGACTACTGCCATGTGCGATCCACACCAAACCGTTCTTGCGCTGATATTTCATGATATCCTTCTTTAGAGCTTTCCCTTCTTCGTCTGATTCAAATTTGCAAAGTTCAAACAGTTTCAGGGACTTTCGATCTAGGCCATTCCAACCATGATTCCCAATCTCTACCAAGATAAGTTTCGACCACTGCCAACAGTAATTTCCCAGCATTGCCTACTGCCCAGTTGTCTCGACAAACGTGTAGTAGAATACTATAATACGCTAGTACAATCAATGCTCCGGGCCTTCTTTCATCGAGAAGATCTGTATACTCCTTTGGCAGCGTAATTGGCCATGTGGTAATCATTCTAGGTTGAGGACTTCCATTATGAATCTCAAAGAAACTTGATATATACACCCATTTTAACTGATGTATAGTATCACACAACACCCCGAGTTCCGCTTCCTCCATACCAGGAATCTCAGGTAGCTTTTCTTGAAGTGCGAGAAGATGGTCCACATATTCATCAGTGTGCTCCAAATCTGCATTGCCAAATTGCAATAGTTCACGAATCTCAGATTCCATTAAAACATCCCACCACCCAGTGAAGCAAACTCTCACTCCACGCATCAATTTAATCGCTTGAACTAGTTTATCAATGAATTGATTCAAGTCCGAACCAGGCATAGAAAATGTGTCCACAAAGAAATGAAGTCCCAAAATTCCGGAATACACAAAGGCCGGGATCAGATTTTCATGATCCACCTCTTGTACCGATTCGTTAAACATTTTGATTGATAGTTGTTGCAATATTGTAGATTCATCGTGATAAAATTGGAATTGATCAGGACGAATGATACTCAAATGCAGTGCTGAGCAAGCAAGAAGCTCGTACATAAGAAACGGGGCCCTTTGAGCATGTTTGATTATCCTGAAAGTATGGTCTCGAAATTGCCCATCCCACATGAATTCTCGATCTTCATAACAATGTTGTAACAGCTCTAGATGTGTGAAGTTCACATATGACTGAGGTAATGATGGGGGCAATGATGGAGGTTCCGGTTGCAACAAGGGCCCATGTGGTATTTGTGGGTCACTTTGGGAAGTTGGAGTTGGTGAATTGGTAAATGTTGATTCTGGGGTCGTGACCTTGCTGGTATTGGTGCTTGCAGTAATCTTATAAGAGCATGTGTGACTCGCCGTCTTGCAATTGACACATTCTGGATGAGTTTCATCACACTATGAGAAGAATCGTTCACAAATATTAGCCGCATATTCTCGACGGGTTGATGGGCAATAAAAGCAAGAGTTTTGCTCCACTTTCTGTGTACTACTAACCTTGATATGTCTTGATTTACACTGCAAACATCCCTTCCTCGACTTTCTATGGGATCGGCGATTCATTTTTATATCTCAATTCGTGAAGGATTCAAGTAAAAGAACGATAAACTGGAGAAATCGCTCCTGATGAGTGCCCAGGTGTATTTGTGTGTATTTGTGTGTGTTTGATTGTGGCTGTGTTGATATTTATTAGAGGCAGGCATTCGTCAATGGAGCTCCGTATCAAAATAATGAATCAAGAGTATTTCTGAAACATTCGAATGCAAGTGTTTATTAACAAGAAAAGAAGGAGATGGAGTATCCAAAATTGAAAATATCTTGATCCTTACATAGATTGTTAAACATAGGATACACATGATATCCAAGTTCATAATGAATCGAGTGGTTGGAATACCCTTTCCATGCCTAAGGCATTAACCACATTTAGCGTACTTTCTGAAGGTATTCCAGAGCGCAAAGTCAATTCTCTGTGAAATACAAGTTATTAATGCTATAATTATCATGACGATTTTTGATCGGATATAGAGGAGGCTTTACGGGAGACTCTTGCTAGTAAGTTTGATGCAGAGTGAATCTATGAGATGCAGTATCAAATCACAGGTAACGGAGGAATGAGAGTGATGGAGTCTGAACTGAGGAAGAGTAAGTAGTCTAGATGATATCTTGGCACCACCGTTGAACATGACTCAAGTCACGATTTAGTACGTCGACAGCCTCCTAGCATGACACTCGAGACTCACTCGCCTCAATATCCTTAACTTACCTAATCAATCTGATAATTAACACCTAGGAATTACACAAACATTGTGTTTGCACGAAGGATTTAAGTTCATGTCATTTTTCACAAAGGAGGACTCTGCGGGCGAGATTCTAAGGCGCTTGTTATGCACACATTGTGAAAGCAAAATCAGAGAGGAAATCCGGACGGGTAGATATTTTCATGATATGTGTGTCGAGATGACCGACAACCGCAGTTACTCTGGGCAGTCGAAAAGTATGCGAGAACAGCCTGTCCATTATGTAGACTTGCTCTTGCTACACTCCAAGATGATGGTTCACCGCTGAGCGTTACATCTGACGGCATGCCTTTTGAGAGGGCTAGCTAGGTATTCCTTCGAATATGCAAAATTCTTGATGCCTCAGTCAGGTACATACACAGCTCACCATTTTACTGTCTCTTCTCCGTATAAAAAAAGACAATCTTCATTGCTGCTGATATAATAATTCTGAGTTAGTTCCAGTGCATCCAATTCAAAAATCGACTGACTCTATTGCCACTTTTATGCAGTCAAAGAAATGGGTCATGGAATGTATCCATAGACATCAAAAGTATGCAATAAAACTCGTCTTCATTATGCCATCACGATCACTTGAGGTTAAAGTTCCAAAAGGAAGACCAGAATACCAAGTGCGTCTTCGAACTTTCAATATACCACCTGGTACCCAATACACAACACACAGTCATGTTTGGGGCAGCCTGAACTTTGTTCAGTTGGTTATAGATAACATTTCTGGTCTTCAGGAAGAGATATCAGTATCCACTCTCACTAAGACACTTCACAATGCACTGAAAGTAATATTGGAATTCGGGTTGCATTACTTGTGGATAGATTCCTTATGTGTTATTTGAGATGATGTTGACGAATGGGAGAAGGAATTTTTTCGTATGGCTAGTGTTTATGGTGGATCCATTCTCAACATAGCCACTGCTGGAGCTCGAGATGGCAACGATAAAATGTTCATCGATAGAAATCTGAACCTTATTCGAAGCGCTGAGTTAATGACCCATTCCGAGTTTGAGTGGGGCGGGTCTGATGGGTATAACCAAAGCTTCTTTTGGTAGAAATGAATATTTACGAACGGTCTTGCATGGAATCACCACTATTTCAAAGAGCATGAACATTACAAGAACGAATATTGAGCCCTCGAACGTTTCATTTCAGTAAACATCAGGTTATACTCAACTGTCATACTCGCGCATACTTTGAGACAATTAATCAAGTGGAAGACGCCCGTTTTGGCACATCATCACAGCTGAAAGATCTTCATTCTGAAAATTTCTGGTTGCTGTTTGGAACGAAATCGTCAAGCTCTATACCAAGTCCAAATTAACAATTAGCAGCAATAAGCTTGTGGCGCTTTCAGGTATCGCCGAAGAATGCAACTATAGGGAGAGACATCTACCACTTCGAGGACCAACTTAATCTTGGTCAAGTGTAGACACAGGGATACATTATATTCATAGTCGTGGACTTCATTGTGAAGACAATGATTGGTATATGGCGACTTTAAAATACTCGATCTCCAAGTTCATACCACTCCGTCTGATCCATTTGGTCATTCTTTTGGGCGGCACCAAACGCATTGCGTGTGTCAAAGTTCTTGACAGCGAAGTTCTTATCACCGATCCACCAACAGGAAAGCCTAGCGGGGTACACCTTTGGTTTGATAATAGCAGCCATTGTACAGTTTACCCGCTGAAAATCACCAATGAGGCTCCAGAAACCCGTTGGCGTGGTGCTGAATTGCGTCTCTTGATTACCCCTGTCGCCGGTAGGAAAGTTTTCTTCGCGCGCATTGGAGCATATTTCCCTACCGATAAGTCGTGCCTGGCGGGTAATTTGGAAATTTTTCTTGAGGATGTACGAAGAAGTCTTGAGCCTTTACGCGATAATGATTTGTCATTATATAAAGGGATCACCAGATATACGGAATCAACGAGGCTGGGAAGCGAATGTACACCATCACATAATCTAGCACGGGGATTTGACCTCATATGCCAAATATTGAGCATCGCCTTCGATTATTCATCCACTACTCATCTGGGCAAGAATTTTTCGAATTTGTGATGGTCAATCTTCAAAGATGATTTCGGGCCTCGTTTGAAAGCGAAAATGGGTGATTTATCAAATTCTAAAAACATAAGATGGAAAGTTTTACAGGAATTTCAGCTTCAGAATGAAAGCATATTTCAATGATTCTGCGGGTGTTTGGTGTCGGAAATGGGACTGCAAATTATCACTGCGAAGTTTCTTCGGACTGTCGGATGCGAAAGGAAATGGGAAAACTCACAATTGATATGATGAATTGGATATCTTGTTTTCTATCCACCTGAAGTTTTATCTACTGCTGCTATCTGTTCCTCAATATCTCAATTTTTTTCTCAATATCAAACATTTATTGACGACATTTTAATAGTGTTTCATGGATGGAAATACTTCAAACAAACAGTTACTCAATATGTACACGTTGTATTATGGAACAAGAAAATGTGGACATTGGGTGCGAGAGATTTAGTTTCATCTCATTACTTTTCAATTGGCTACAGATGTTACCTTGCAAAGGTTCTATATTGCAATCCTTATTGCAAAACTATTTCATCTAGTTGCTATAGTGAATAACTCCAGACTCCTGTTTACCAAATGTCTTGCCCAGACAACCCAATACAATCATAACAGTGAGAGTAGATCCCAATCCCAACCCTAAATCTTTATCTCATTGACTCTATAGCATGTGGTGCCAGCCTCTTTCATCATAAAATCTTCATACCATGCTTCGAGGACCATAAACTCTTGTCTGAGTATTGCTACCTCGTTTTTTTCTCTGCACCATTCATCAATTGAACATTTTGCGCCTCTACTCCCGCCTCTCTTGGAGATGTTCTAGTTCCTGCCTGTACCTTAAATTGAAACGGATACCAGATAAAAAAGATAACAGTGACAATCCACATTGGTACTGTATCGAATGTGTACAAAGTCCATTCATGCATTAGAGGATATCCCTTCTGGCCCGCCGCATACTCGATAACTCTGAAGACTGATCGAACGAGAATGAGAGCACTAATGACGTAAAGACAATGCAAGTGATGAATCCAATTTGCTTCAACAACGAAAGATTCCGTTGTGGGCTCTCTTCTCATTCGGCGTTCGAATATAAGAGCAGTAAACAAGAAAAAGGCGAAAGCTATGATCTGGATGAACAAACCGACCAACACGACCTTTTCACCAATACTGGCAGTGCTGGTATTGAACATCAACCCGGAGGATCCTCCTTGCACGAAGAATGACAAGACATCTGCGATGACGAAAATTTTCGTAAGCCAATTGCTCCGAATGAGGGAATGATGTTCTCCGTGGACATATCGCATAATTCGACCGAGTGTCATGTAGATCGATGCGGCCAAGAAGGCTGGAGCAACGAGAGTGAAGAAACTTTGGATGATATATGGCATGAGAGTGCCGGTACTGTTGACGGCCATTACTCGACCGATGTAACCGATGAATTCGACTGTAAGGATTAGTATGTGTTCATATCTCAAGGGAGATGTTGAGGTACTCACAGAGGCCTCCGACGCAAAATGCTGTGCAGAACCAGGACTTAGTCTTAAACATACGCCAGGTATGTAAAGCGGTTGTTATGATGAAGAGAATTATAAAGATGACAGCTGCAGTCATAGACGGAATGTAGTTCCAGAGATAGTAATCTCCACTATAGGGTTCGAGTTTCGCCATTGTGAAGAAGTAGGAAGTCGGTATTCGTGTAGTTGTGTTGATATGAAGGGTGTTCTAGACTGTTCTCAATGAACGATCAAAATTGTATGATGTAAAAGGGAAGAGTTGGAGATGGACTTCCAACTCCAACTCGAGGTTATCAATAGGTTTTATTCTCAACATCTTGAGAATTCTCGACTATTGCTAAAAGAAAAATCGATAGTGATTTCTGTTTACCTCTTATCAAATACGCGTATTTGAAGATATGGAAGTATTTGACAGCGGTATACGTCGATACGCTCAATGCATTTCCCCAAAACTCATGCAGATTACTCAATTGAGTTAGCGCAGCCTTAAGGGATCGTGGGGCGTTGCATCTGCAGCTTAGGTTTTCCGAATACGCGTATTGGAATGCGATCCAATGAAATTCGAGATTTTGTAATTTGAGATAAAATTGAAGTTTTTCTTTTCAGGAGGTTGGTTCCGACGGTGCAGTAACACTGCCATGTTTGTTTTTGTTGGGAGAATGTCATTCCGCATGTATTGAAAAGATTTCTCTTGTCAAGTTCATGGTTTCGTGTGTGGTCAAAAATAGGAAACACCGACCATAAAACGAGAGGTGGGTGATGGGTCCTGTTACATGATATTGCTTTTTAGAAGTCTGGACTGCAAGGTCGTGCATAATCACGACAACCGTTCAAGTATCAATGCTCGCGCTGTGGATTCAACTGATATCGGAGATATTTTGCTATGGTATAATTAAGCTTATTCACAGCGAAAAAGTCGCTCCACTCCGACCAGTATTTTGATTAAGCTTCGTCGAAAATTGATTGCGGGGTAAGCTGAGTATGAAACCTCTTGACCTTGAGATAATTCAGGCGCAGCAGCGTTATAGAGATATTTTTGAAAAAATTTGGTCGTGGATTGGATGCTTATGGCATTTTGGCTATGTTCTGAGGGCCAGACCTGGTGAATTGAAGCAATTCCATTCATCCAGCAGGCCGGCGGCATTGGACAGCATATTTGTCAAGGGCTATCTGAGCAAATGATTTGGGTCTCCGATAGAGAAATAAAGAAAGTCTGTCTCTACTATCACCCATTCTCCTATTACGCTGTATCTTTTACTCCTTTGTTTCCTTCCTCCTGCTTCCAACCGCTTTGTTTTACCTCCCTTTCTTCCTCCCCCCTTGGCTATCACAAGCATGTTCTTAATTGCTTCTACCTCTCCCACAAAATCTCCCTTGTTAATCGATAAATTGTATCGAGTTGATCGTTCTAGATCCAATTCGATTCATCATATGTATCGTCTCTGGGGAAATGGTAAAGGGGAAGGAAGTCGGACACTAAACTCACGTTTCCAAACGACTTCCGATTACAACCCTTTCCATAACAACCCCTCTTCTGCTCGTTCCATCTTCGTAACATATCGCTGGGACCATTAATATGGTCAATTCAATTGAACACGCTCCCGTACAAATCATCTATGATGAACGATATATAACCCACGCGGGCATGAATATATCCGTCAGTTTGCCATTCACCTTCCATCTTGCGGCGTATGAGGCTAAGTTTCGAACGAACTTCACCACAAATTGTTACATCTTCTTTGCCAAAACTCGCCCAAGGTACTCTGCAAATTCTGGTCTTCTCTTCAGAGGAGGTTTTGCTAAAGGAGGTTTTTGCTTGAGAAGATTTCGCTGGAAATGTTGAATGTTCAGACTGATTCTTCATTTCCATTGCTCTTAGTAATATCGCTGAGCGATGGTTAGGATCAGCCTTTGGTAGATCAGCGCCCTTCATGTGAGTCTCATGTCCGAGACAGTTGTGACACGCGGCGACGGGCACAATCTCCCCCTCCTTATTTCTTTGTCATCCATGGCTCTGCGGGGGCATTCCTTGCATTTAGTAAGATCATCTCCTCTTAACCAAGTGTAGTCGCAGGTACTTGCGAAGTAGGGTTCGTAGTACGGACATGACTTATCACAGATGCATGGCTTGGTACCATCGCCACCGCATGACCTGTGATATATATACAACTCTTTGCACATTTTGAGATAATGTTTACTACAATACTGAACGGATTCGTTTCAAATATAAGTAATGATACTTTCAGAGGGTTTAAAGAGGTGTTTGATTTATGTTTCCTAGAATTCGTCAGTCTTGAGAGTAAAAGGTATCGGGATTGTAAAGATTATCAATGCTTGTGTCGCTGCTATCACGATGATAGTAATTGCATTGATCGCTGTCCCAAAGATTATAGGGTTTCTGTTCGTTAAGGGAAAGGGTGTTTTGAGGAGGGTGATGGAGGGGCAGTAACCTTATATATACCTAGGTATATGATATCACTCTGCTCACTAATTTACTCTAGCTAAATTATAGCGTGGTACAAGTCAAACTTTAAATATCACCATTCTGCACTAGGTTCCCATTAACTTTCCCTTCCCCGGTTTCTCTGCTCATTTCTCCATACCAAGAATATCATTTTTTGATACTCATCATTCAAAGGAACCTTTTCGATAGTTGCAGTAAAGAGGGTTATTCTATCTGAAGCTGTAACGATCAAACTAATGAAATTGTAGCATCTTGCATCGGGGCTAGTATTATAGCTTTGCCCTGTGATATGAATGGCTACAATTAAGTACCAATTATCTAGCTTTGATTCGGTGCCAATGGCTATTTGGAATTGGTACTTATCTGATCTTGTAGGCTATGGATCTAGGCTACGAGACTAATGCATAAACGGCACTAATTCCTGACCATCGTCATCGTGATTGCCAGTCAATGTAAGCTTCAATCAATTGATCGATTTCAAAAAACTTTTGGTCAAAGTAAAGAACAGTCAATTCAGTCCACTTTGAGATGAAATGGACTTGCCTATTAAATGAGTTCATGCATGTTCTCAGACTTGAACATTTTCGAACCCCCAGAGTATCACGGATTTCACACTTACTTTTCTCAAAGATGCCAACTCTAAAAGAACAAGGAATTATCTCTACTCACGACAAGATAAAGAACTCAATCCTTTGTCGCTGGCGAAACTTCAGTTCTAGCTATAAATAGTCCTCGTTGTCTTTGTATCTGAAAAAGGATGGTCAGACCTGTTGTTACTTTGTTGGAATGTTGTGAAAGAATTTTGCTTCCCTTTCATAAAATCAGTTAACTGTGCAAGAACAACCCGATTGTTGACTATATCAGAAGTCTGCAACTTTCCCGAAATTGGTTTTGGTAATGTACCTTCTGACATATTCATCACAAAACTCATCTTATCAATCATTCTAATCAAGATGCTTACCCCAACAGTATCGCTCCAGAAGCAGAGTCACGGCTTACTTTTGGTGTCGAACTAGAATTCCTCTTAGCTACTATATCCAAGGGCGGTGAAAACCCTCATCCAAGTGATCCTCGCGAGGTAGATCCAAGAATTCTCGCGGATGAAGATTCGATAATTATGATATTGAGAGGAAATTGGAGGAAGTTGGCATGCAGCGACGGTGAAGGAGTCCGACTATGGCAATGTGGGAGAAGTGAATAGAGCCGCTGCTATCGATTGGATATTGAACAACCGACTTCACCGTTGGCCCGGGCCAGCAAAATTCAAACGTCAGAAAGTATCTTGAATATGCATGGAAATGGCATCTCCTCCCTACTACTACGATGAAGTCACTCGAAGGACCGTAGAAACGGTTGTGAGAGAATTGAGAAATAGTTACTTAGTTCGCGTCAACGACTACAGGGCTGCATGTTCATGTCGGCATTGGATACCGTGGTTTCGACTGGCCATCTTGCGTAACTTTTTGGCCATTGCATGGACCTACGAACGTCAGATTTTGTTATAATAGCCTGAGATTCGGCTAGATAACCCACATTTGTAAGTCCCTCAGAGATTCAAAACTAGGTAGCTACAATCCTAGGCTCACACGCCTTGAGGTTCTAAATCGTATTCTGTCATTTACTAATAATGGGCAAGTAGTTAGGGAAATTGGAAAGCAGAAATACAGAGCTTTAACATAAGTAATTTGGCTCCCTCCTTTCCTTTCTAGTTTTGGCAAACGCACAATCGAGTTTCGTCACCACCCTGGAACTCTCGACTCGGAGAGCATTTTACACTGGGTTCAACATATGCGTGAAGTTGGTCGAAAAGGCATGTCTCATCAAGAACGAATCCGAGCTTTTTGAACAACTCCGAACCGATGTTGAAAAGCCAGTTGGATTGGAGACAAGAATAATGTTTACCCACGGTCGACTATCTTATGTGGCTTGGCTGCCCATCCGAAGCATACTACTATGGTAAGCAGCTCATATCCGACAAGGTCCGAGTAGAGAAAAGAATAAGAGATGCTGCAGAAGAAGAAGCGAAGAGCGTACCTACACAAACCCGCAGGACCTCCGCAAAATATTCTAGACATCTTGCGGAATGCCTCGGGACACCCAGAAATAGGTAATGGAGATGATGCAAACTAGTCCTTATAAAATATCGAGAGGCGTTTGAATCCATAATGTAATTATCCTCGTTGTCAAGGCCAAGAACTCGCAAGGATAATAAGAGGTAAGTCGCTCCCATATCTTTCTCCGCTCTGATATACTGGTGGTCGGCGTGCAAGTGGGTATATATGCATGCTACGAATAAAACGAAAACCATGGTAAGATATTCTCACTCATTTGTCCCTCGTTATCCCTATAATAAACATGATTTTTTATCTTTAACATCAATCTGAAAAGTTTCATTGAAAACGTGAATAGAGTGGAGTATGTGATGAAAGATCTGGTTCTTATCAGATTCGGCCCCCTTCAACCGAGCAATAGTGAATGCGTCATCTCGTTACAGCAAATTGAATTCTTATTCAGTAAATCTTTGTATATTTAGAAGCAAAGAATGTGTATACCTGTTCCAAATCAATATTTATACTGTGAAGAGGTGACTAGCAGACCATCAGGACTCCATGAAAGTTCGTGAAAGGGGCGTGCTGCAACCTCCAGAGATCAAAAACCATAAAGTGTCTAAGAAGACTCATTTTGGACAAAAAAACCGGGCACACTAATGAGAGGAGGAATCTAGGCGGTCTAGACTCCCCGGCCTCGAACAAATAATGATAAACACGTGCCGCACGCGAACGCTTCAAGATACCGCTTGTAATTTCCAATAATATTTTACTCTTTAAGGTCAGTACAGTTGCATTTATTGATAGATTCATTGAGTTCCATGATGGAGGGAATTGATGGTGAATTTTGAAAACCTCCAAATTGGTTCATTGCAGCAGCCATATCCATCGATCTTGTTTCATTGTGCATTAGGGGTTCTTTGTGTCTCATGTTGCGATGATTGAAGAAAGAGGTCTGGATAAAAATACTCCCGTACCTCGAAGAATGACGGCTGAGGTTCCCCACTCAATGTTGACATGTCATCTCATCTCACCAAGATAGGATAATATTAGGTCCTAGCTTTGAAACTGTATTGTGTTGTGAGTCAAATGCATCGAGCTTTCTGATTTAACAATTTTGGTGGTGCATATCAATGTGTTGCAGTATGATTGGTTAGTAAAGCCAGGGGTAAGTTAGTGTGGGCCCTCCTGCCTTATTCTTGACAATTTTTATCGCAAAAATGCACATTTTTGGAGGTATGATATATATGCATTTCTAAACGAAGAAAATCTTGGGATCGGTAATGTTACAATAAAGTTGAGGCTCTGAAAGATAGTTCAGTTCGTGACGTCGGTTTAGGTTAAGCAAGGAGAGGTGACAGAAATTGTGAACTTATGATCAGGCGGCAGCGCTTAGTTCTAACACCGATGAAGTAATACTAGCTGATAAAACTGACTAGTTACTACAGCCAGCCTTCGACATTTTTTACTCGACCAGAAAATCAATGATTGTTTTGACTTATTCCCTCGAATGGCCGTAAGACACGGGCTGATAGTATACCGAAGTATTTTAAGATCTTACACATGCTTGCAATCATAATCTAGGGCTTATGGACAACAAATTAGTGTGAGTAGAGATATAATGGATGTGGAGAACATCCACGGTAGAGAAGACTAGTTTCATGATCTGCCATGCTATTTTGTTTGCTACATTTCCTTTTGCCTCTCTTCGAAAGATAGGTGCGACGCTTCTAGCGTAATAATCTTCTTCACACTCCTATATCTCTCACCTTTTTCTTCTTCTTTATTTCTTGTATCACGACCTTCAAAATTGGCTGTTTCGGTGTCTGTTTAAGCACTGATACGTCCTCTCAACAAGTATGGCTGTAGATGTCGATGCCATGGTGAACGCAGATGGAGTCGAGGAGGTTATTTCAGATGTCTCCATGCCTTCATGGTTTATGGACAATTGTGTCAAAACTGCATCCGAGCTGAGCCAGGAACTGCGTCGAATTGTCATCCTTCCGCCAAATCCGCCCAATCCTACCGAAAAAGCCAAAGATACGACATCAAATGGTCAGGCATTTCAAGAAGAAAGATATGAATTAGATTCTTTTTTGTACGATGAACTTTTCAACCTGATCATGCCAAAACAAAAGGCTGAGGGCCTCAAATCGACCTTTAGTTCAGACAAAACTCCCAAGTTTGCGCTTGATGCTGTTCAACTTCTTCTCCCTGGAGGGTTCCATGCTTTTCTTGGCCAAGAATTCTTAGCAGAGGTGGCAAAGAAGTTTGCTAGTGATGTGCAAGCGGATTTGGTTGAATTGAATATCGACGATTTTAGAGATTTGGCAGAGCATTTTGGGAACGGAGAAGATTCAGAACACCGAGATGGGCAAAAAAGGAGTGACGATCACTACCTCAATCTACTCTACGATCGGTGTATGTGTGTGGAGCTCTGCTGCCCAGCTTCTTCTGTCTGCAGTACATCACGCTCGTCTTCTCCCGTTACAAGGAGTGAATCTAGTGATAGTGCATCTGACAACAGTGAGTCTAGCGTTGGAACGACAAATTCCCAGGAATATGGAGTCGAGTGCGTGAAAAGGACAAGAAAGTTTTCCGACAGGCTCTTCTTCCTATCGCAGTACCTTGGTCTTCTGACTTTTGCCGCGATACTTTTATTGACGGTGATTTCTGTTTTGACAGGCAGTATCATTTTCCGTCACAAGTTGATGTATCAAAAGACATCAGGAATCTGCAACGAGATGTGTTCAACTTTATCTCAAGATGAAGAGGAACTGTCGTCGGTTGATGAACAGCTGGAAAGCAATGAGTCGGTAGTAGGACATGGAATGCAGAAGATCCACCAAATCGAACCTTTCCTTGATAACCCCGAGGAAATGGAAATTGACGACGTGGAAAATTCTCAGTATACTGCTCTCTTGAAAAAGATTATTGAGTCTCATTTGTTGAAGAATACTCTGGGGAGAACCGGAGATAAAGAGGACGTAGAATCACCAGCGCTGGTAATTCTCGTCTCAGGTGTTGGCAGGTTTTGTAGTTACAAAAAGTATCTTCAGGTGTTCAAACATCTACAAACCGCTATCAGGACTTTATCAAAAGAAGATACAATCATTATGATGTCAGGAGGAGATGACGATGGTATTCTTGAGTCAATCAGTAATCACACCCAGAAAGGTATTCTGCGCATGTTTACTGCCAGAAGCCAGGCACAGTATAGACTCCTCGAAAAAGATAAGGAGAAGGCAAGATTAAGAGAGAATATAAGACACCTACAACGTTGCATTAGAATGTCGCCAGAAGCAAAAATGTCACCTTTGGCACAGCCTTACGCTATAGATTGGGAGACTTTCATTCCAGATGCTACCTTGCGAGCTATGCGCCGTCATTTCTTTCCTTGGGACAACATAGAGATTATCGCCAGAACGATAGCGAAACGCCAACTGGATATTGACTCTATGAAGCTAGTTATGGAAACATATGAGAAGCGAAGTGAAGCAGAGAAGCAGTGGCTCGAAAATCACGAAGATGAGGATGATCAAAAAGCGCCGTGGAAATCGAAGCTCCCCCGACGGGCTTGGAGCATAGCGGAACAGATATCGAAGAGTCAAGAAGACGAGCATTTGTACCAATTGCTCGACACTGTTGTCAGTCCAGGTAGTTATGCCATCACATTGCGTGTCTTGATCATAAAATAAAATTCTCACACTTTCACAGGCGATCTTAATACAACTTGGTCAAACATCGAACTTGACTCAGATATCAAGGCCCGCATTACAGATCTGATCTCACTCGGAGAATCTCAAAAAGATTCCTGTGGAATTCTTAAGACCTCGGCTGGAGGCGCACTTCTGTACGGTCCTCCGGGGACTGGTAAGACACAGCTCGCAAGAGTACTTGCAAAGACCTCTGGATCAATCATGTTTAGCGTCTCTGGCGCCGAGATGGAAAGCAAATATGTTGGCGAGACGGAAAAGCTCGTTGCAAGTTTGTTCAAGCTCGGGAAGATGCTTTTCCCATCTATCATCTTCATAGATGAAGCGGACTCTTTGTTTAGTTCTCGTAGCCAAGGTGGATCAGGGTCAATCTACCAGAGAAAGCTCGTCAACCAGCTGCTACAGGAAGCAGACGGCGTCTCCAAAGATTCAACCTCGCCTTTCTTACTTCTTGCAACAAACCTACCCCACCTGCTTGATCCTGCAGTGTTGAGACGAGTACCTTGTCGAATCTACATTGGACTCCCCACGATCTCAGCAAGAGAAAATATGTTCCGTATGTTCTTAAAAGAAGAATCCTTAGATAGGAGTGTCGATCTAAAGAAGCTTGCGGAAGTAACACATCGATATACTGGGTCAGACATCATGGCTTTGTGTGTTGAAACCGCTGTTATCTCGCAACGAGAATATCGCAACAAAGAAACGGGCGAGGCTTTGGATGTTAAGAACAATAGAATCTTGACTATTTCACACTTTCACCAGGCATTAAAAAGCAACACTCCTACAACATCTCCACAACTCATGCAAGAGATGCGAAGATTTGCGCAAATGTATGACAAATCTGCTGTATCAAGAATGGTGCTTTACCAGTATTGGTAAGATTTGATGATTACCAATGACGAAGATCAGGGGGCGCGACATAATTCATTCGAATAAGCGGTACTTCGTTATCCTTGTTGTATCTCTGGGGTTTAGGGCAAGAGGTGGTGCTAATCCCGATGAAAAATGAAGTAGCAGCAAGGTAATGAACGAATCGAGAGATTGAGCACTGGGAATGATGAATGTGTGTTCCAAGAGCTTGGCTGGGAAAGTGTTCAGACCTGGAAGTTGAACATTCTGGCTATGCTTAACGGAGAGTTAGAATCTTGATGAAGCATAGTAATAGGAGAGGATATTCTCCGGTAATCAGGTAATTTTTAATGTGCTTACCTAGTCAAATGGTATTGTCAGCGATAATGGGTGTGTAAGTAGAAGAAAGGGGGTGGCTGCATAAACGATTGAGTTGACTTTGTGGCTGAGAGCCGTGCGGTGAGGCTTACCTGAGCACGTCAATCAGACCAAGAATTATCAGATTTAAACCTCAGTATCTCACGAATTAATAATATCAAATATTTTGGTAGATTTAGTTTCCATGTAATGCTTTAATGACTTCCTCAAGCAATTTTCTACTTTCCTAGAGCTGTGGTTCCAATATCTCTTTCCATGTATTAGACGCGGTCGTTTCCATCCATTATTCATGTCGACAAATGATACATCTCTGCCTGAGAATAATCATTCAGACCTAATAACCAGCCTTTCGAACGAAAAGAACATCTGGGAAAGAGCTATTCGACGCATCTAAAAGTGGATGCGTCTCGATACCTTTGAGAGTCCAATCGAAGAACTCACGAACATACGAGGTAATGCCGTGAATCTCACGAGGTCCATCAATAGTATCAATGAGTGTCTCGAAGTAAGATTCATTGACTGATCGAACGCCAGCCACATCGATAACAAACGGTAGATCAGTGAATGAGTTATGAATTGTCTTGGGGAGTTCAAGAGATACCCTAGGATCTTTTGGAGTCAAAAGATCCGTCGTGTTCCAGAATGCAGTCCATGATGGGTCACTAGCAATAGTGTGATTATCATGTGCAAAGAACATGTAAGATTTTTTGATCTCAGATGAGTTACCGAGTCCAGTTGGCCCAACAGGGGGTTGCAATTTACCGTCCAAGTTGCAACCTGCCACGTATTTGCCTGTTGTGTCTGCTTGCAATACAGCGGTCTGAGATGAGGCTCCCAAGGAATGTCCGTATAGACCAACAACCTCAGAAGTTTCCGAATATACACCCGTGACGAACTCAATGTCTTTGACACGGATACTTTGGAGATACGCGCTAGTCGCGTCAGTTGGGGCTCCGCTGGCGTACGCACTGTAGATGATGGTTCCATCTAGAAATTCCACAATTGCTGCATCATACGGATGATCTATTGTCACAATTCTGTAGCCCCAGCTAGAAATTGCTTGTGCGATAGCACCGTACTGGAGACGACTGGTATAGAAACCACCAGTCCAGATGAGAAGAGGCGTATCAGGCTTGGTGGTTGGTGCTTCAAGGCAAATATCGGAAATTTGAGTTGAGAGAATGTTGTCAAATCAGGGCTTGGGAGATCGTTCTCATTGAACCACTTTGCCACGGCAGCTGGCATGTAGTCGATTTCGCCAATGCTAGCACAATCCTCCCTAAGATATGGCTCATAATAGCTGACTACAAGCTGACGGTATGGGGAAGATCCATTGAATGGGTTGGCCCGCGACGTGTCGGTAAGCTCTCATACTGTAATTGTGGAAGTATATGGTCCTTCCGGAACAGGAAGTGGGATGGCCGTGGTATTAAGAGATGCCTGACCAATGACGAGGGAGGGGACAAAGGACAGGAAGAAGGCAGCACGGAGAGCAAGCGATGCCATAGTGAAGGATTGGTAGATTCTTCTAGCACAGATTATTCTCGTAGGAGAGAGTAGAAAGATGCGAAGAGACTAAGATAAGCAAGGAAAATCTACTTTCTTAAATCAAATATTGACTTTTAGGTATCGCTAAGCTAGCTTTAAAAAAGGGCAATAGGATCTTAGGAGCAAGAGGGAGTCATTAGTCTGCCGCGTGTCGACTTAGCACGAATCGCACAAAAACCCTTGGAAACAATGGGAAAGTGGTCGAGGTGGGGGTGGGGCATACTACCAAAGTCCGCTTTACCTCCTCCTTGAGCCATTGTGGAGAGTATAAGGTTTCTCAATGACACGAGCTCGAGAAGAGACTTTGAGAACCATCGGGCGGGCTTTTCATGCCAGTCGGGGATTCTCAGCTTTGTGAATGTCAAAGAATCAATTGCTAATCCACGATGGACCAAGTTTGCCAGGTTTCCAGAGGTCACACGTAATTTCTACTACAATACGGAGTAAAGTTCTTCCCCATAACCGAACTTAATTGTGCGGGACTTGAGAAATCAGCATTGCGGTACTCATGGCTGCATACTTCCATAGCTCAAAAGCACATCAACTGTATAAACAATACATTAGCTTTCGGCCCTTCTTTCTAAACTAACACATTCCCACCTTAGCAAGCTTTCCCTATGGTTTCTTTTTGTATCGGTCCCGAGCTAGTGTACCGGTGTATCGGGTATAATGGGATTTAAGGCACGATTTCAGGGTGCGTCTACGCGAGTGGGGGCTTTAAACCCTTACCACTTCCCCCACCCTTCAACTAGCACTGACATGACACCGTCATAAGCCAATTATCGAACCCATTTCGACTTATGCGGGGGTGTAGGGTTTTGCGGAGAACGGAATGCGGGGAATTCACCTCAAAGTCTTTCGTAAAAAAAACTGCACTACTATGGCATGCAGCAAACGCACTGATACTGCATAAGGGCGGGGTGTTGGAGGATGTATAGTTTCTACAAAAATAATTTGCTATTAGGACCAAAGGTGGGATGATATCAGAGTTTCCAGTGCTTCTTGCTGATAATTATGGACTTCCGAACCTCTCCCTCACGTGTTATGGTTACCGAATCTTGCTAGCGAATATAAGAGTTGGGGCCATCGCTCACCACACAGGTAACGCTTTTCCAGCTAAAATATAAGATTATTCACCTTTCTATACCCTAGTTTATTCATTATAATAAAAAATTAAATTAAAAACTATATTATAAAAAGATTTAGAATCATCAAAATTATTTAAAAACATATCATTTATTTTTAAATATTTTTAGAATAATATTTTTGTAAGATTAAAGTTAGTATCACGGTGCAGGAGATAGGTATTAGGTAAGATATATGATATTCTATAAGGAGTGAAGAAGAAGGTGGAGAGGTGCTGACTATATGGAAAGCGGATGCCTAAGGCATCCATATAGCTACGTATTGAACCCGTGACAGTTAGAAATTTCAAGAAAAGTTCGAAAAATTCGTTTATTATATATGAGAAAAGCGTTACAAGTTAAAAATTCTGAGTTTTTTCAATTAAAAGTTCTTATAACTTTTTAATAAAAATATTTAAAAATAATTAAAGATTTTCTTATAATCATAATGATTCAAATCATTATGATTATAAAGTTTTATAATTTAATATCAATAATTGAATTAATTATATAATATTTTAATTTGTATAGAAAAATATGAATTTTGCAAAGATTATATCACAAAACGTCACGGTGTGCGGTGAGCGATGGCCGTAACTCTTACATTCGGGGCCAAATGCACTTTTCAAGCATCAGCACCGAGCAGCCGCTCATCCATCGATGATACTGTGAAAAGACACAGGAATAAAATCAGGATTAAAACCTAGATTATGGAACTCAAAAACTGGAGACTAAGGTGTGTCAGTGCATCGCGGAAAGTAACACTACGGAAGTGAGTTGATCAAGTCTTATAACTCCGAATTATATCTTAGTTGGGTGCATGCATGTACTTTGCATACATACTTCACACCACGGATTTAGAAATATACAACATTGTGATATCCGTCTAAGCCGTGATTACTAGTAGCCCCGCGCTACAAACAAGGAGTGCCTCTGTATCTGTAATGAGGTAAAGGTGACGTATCAATGCAGCCATTGGTAAGACGAGAGTGGTGGGTATAACTCCGCTTTTGTAATATTCCAACCTTGCCGATAATTCAACTTCAAAGGGCAATTAGCTCGATTTATATTTTGACTCATATTGTGTATATAAGGTCTCCAGATGTCTCCTGGGTTTCTTATCTGATCATTCATTTGCATCTGCATCTCTCAGATCATCTACTATTGTATACACCAGACGGAGCTTCTTCTTAGGTGGTGAATGTCGCTTTGCTTGGATTTTTCATTCACAACACCGAAAAGATGATTGGATTGATTAAAGCTGTGGCTTCTGTCTTGGCTATTGGCTCTGGTTCATTGCTTGCAAATGCAGGACCAATAGTCTTGAAACCAAGAAGCACGAATAACTCGGATAGTTTCAGTATTAAAGCTCCGCTTGTGGTTCAAACATCTAGTGGAATTGGTAAGCAATCAAGCAATCTATATGGATCAACTTGACAGCCAGGCAGAAATTTGACTAATGTTCTCATAAGTTCATGGTGCAATCAACGAAAGTGTCCCCTTGACTCGACACTTTCTGGGTATTCCATACGCACAATCAACGTTCGGTAAGAATCGTTTCCAAAAAGCACAACCACTTCCTGCGTCCGCAGCGCAACAAATTATCCACGCCGATGCATTCGGTCCCAATTGCCCCCAATATGAAGCAACCCCTGCATCTGTCTACACTGACGTGAGACGTGAATATTTTATTCAAGGTGTCAACGGAGATGATTGTTTAAGCGTTAGTGTTTGGGCACCATTGTACCCGACCGAGGACAAAGTCCCCGTAATCGTTTGGATCTATGGAGGTGGTCAGACCACAGGTGGTTCATCTGTACCTTACCAGAATCCACAGCGTTGGGTCCAGCGTACTCAATCGCATATTGTCGTCTCATTGCAATACAGACTGAACTTTTTCGGTCAACCAAACACACCAACCGAAAATGCTGGGCTCTACATTTTTGATGCTAGAGCTGCCCTCCAATGGATTCGAGACAATATTGCCGCTTTCGGTGGTGATACTTCGCGCATGGTACTTTGGGGCCAATCTGCTGGAGCTACTCTGACTGGAGCTCTCAGCATCGGTTAGCCAGATGATCCAATTGTCACTGGATTTATCCAAGATTCCGGCGCTGTCGAGGGCCAGGGTGTCCATACCGTTTACACTGATACCACTCACTCGAACTTTACCTTTTTGGCAAATGAGCTTGGATGCACTGGTAATACCACAAGTCAGGTTGAGTGCATGAGCACTTATCCACAAGCTGATATCGAGGCGTTTATTCAATATTGGACTGATGCTGGCAAGACGCCTGCATTGGTTTTTCAGTCGTATAATGATAACAACAACACATTTGCGAACTATACTGCTGCATATCTCTCTGGTCATTACGCAAAGCTACCCAAAATATTGGGACATAACTTGGTAAGCTCTTTCTCTTCTCGTCTTTCCTGCTTGCTCATCAACAAGGAACCCTCCAAGAATCAAGCCCACTAACATGTCAAACCACAGATTGATGGAGCTTCCACCGCTGCACTCTCCTCTGGCCCTCCTGACATCGAGGGACCAACCCCCGAAAAGGAATTAGCGGCTACGTTACACGTTCGTTGCGGCGTCGTAGCCGAAGCGCAAATCCGACAATCTCTCAACGCAACAACCTACCGCTTTGAATATTCCGGCAACTTTAGTAATCTCTCGCCACTCCCCTTCATGGGAGCGTATCATTCCAGTGAACTGCCCATGATTTTTGGAACATATGCTGATGTTGGTGGAGACGGAACCCGATTCCAGAAGGATACTAGTGAGGCAATGCAAGATCTTTGGTTGGCATTCGCAAGGGATCCAGAGAATGGATTGAGCAACGCGGAGTGGCCTAAATATAAAGAGGGCAGTGTGGAGGTACTGGGAGGTGAGCAAAACGGTACCCTAGTTACACATTATGCGACGCCAAAGGCGGGGATCGAGGACGCTTGTCTTACTTATACTGGAAATTGAGGAGGGATTTTAATATTAATATTTATGATGACGTTAAGGATCTCTGATGAGGTTGGATCAATCGTGCAACAGTTTATCATTAAATATCCCAAAATGATCACCTCTCTATCTATTTCTCTGCCTTGCAAATACAAAACACAATGTAGTCCATCGACAGGGCTACATTACATCACCTCAATGAGAGCTAAAGTTACCACCCAGGCCAGGCGATACGATTGAACGTACGCTCAGCTGCGTGATATCTTGCAATGGATCGTTTGTTTCATATTAGATGTTTGTAGAACGCTGATGCTGTCGATATCATTCAGCTTACAGCTGATAGGGAGGTGCAGTAGAGCCGATGGGTGAAAACAATGCCATACAATTTCTTTTCTTTTAATGTCAACAATTTTATATTGAGACCAGATACTAGTTCAAAGAATATCGTACCTGTAAACATCGCCAAAGAAACACAAAAAATGAAGAGTTGAGAGGAAACATCACAATATCAAAGATTTCGGGAATTGTCATGCACGTGATACTAGTCTACCGAGGAAGCGGGTTGGTGTGGGGAAGCTTAGGCCGAGCGAAACCGGTCGGTCCTTCATCATCAAGAGCTTCAAACTGTGATTCTTCCACGACGACGACGAATTTTCCAATACCCCTACTATAAATATGTCCGCCCTAAGAATTCTCGTACCCGTAAAGAGGGTTATTGACTATGCGGTCCGCATTCCCACTCTCTCCGAATTTTCAACGACAAATCCAATCCCTTGATTTCCGCCGCGCAAAGAAAAAATGCCTCTAACTAACCCAAACACAACAGGTCAAACCCCGCGTCAACAAAGCCCAGACAGCCATCGAGACCAATGGCGTCAAACACAGCATGAACCCTTTCGACGAACTCTCGATTGAAGAATCTGTACGAATTCGCGAGAAGAAATCCGCGCCCGGCGGCGTCGAAGAAATCCTCGCATTTTCCGCTGGACCGACCAAATCGCAAGATATTCTACGCACAGCTATGGCTATGGGTGCTGATCGCAGTTTACTGGTTGAGATGAAAGATGGAGAAGAATTGGAACCATTGGGAGTAGCGAAACTGTTACAAAAGGTTGTGGAGAAGGAGAAGAGCAATTTGGTATTTTTGGGGAAACAAAGTATTGATGATGATGCGGGGCAAACCGGACAAATGTTGGCGGGGTTATTGGGATGGAGTCAAGCGACGCAGGCGAGTAAGGTGGAGTTCAAGGATGGAGATATAGTTGAGGTTACGAAGGAGGTGGATGGCGGAACGGATGTGGTGAGGGGCAAATTACCTATGGTTATCACAACAGATCTGAGATTGAATGAACCGAGATATGCGAGCTTGCAGAGCATCATGAAGGCAAAGAAGAAGAAGTTGGAGAAATCTACACTTGGTGACTGGGGCGTCGATGGTACCAAGAGATTAAAGACTCTGAAGGTCATTGGTAGGTCAATCATTTTATACAAGCATTTGATGATTCAAGCACTGGGTGGGTATACTGGATATCTACTAACAACATGGATATAGAACCACCGCCAAGACAAGGAGGCGGTAAAGTCGACGACGTTGATGGAATGATCTCCAAATTGAAGGAATTGGGCGCATTATAAAGGGAAGGGAAACGATCATGGATGAAAATGGGTGTAAATATGTATGAATTATAGGATCAGGCGAAGAAAAGCGTTGGGCTTTAGACGTGAGTAGAAGTTAGAAATGATCAAGTCTACTTGCACATCATTTCGATAGATCTATGACGAGAAACAGATCTAGTGCGAAATCAGCGCTCTGTGTATAATGCTTGAAGGAGCTCTCACTGTCGATGATGCTGTGCCTACTATTCAACCCATTGATCGCAAATTCATCTGAGTCGGACTTCGTGTAATATACTACGGTTGAAATGTAATGATTCTTTGTGTATCACTCATTGGATACTGCAAGTGAAAACCAGCCCAACACTACTCGAACACCGTTGGAGAAGTACTCGTATAATGGGCTGTACTGGAGATTGAATAACTGTCCGAATTGCGCACCTCACCTCCGATGCCTCCGAGCGACCCGAACTTCTCCATATAGCTAATTTGTTGACGTCGATCTTCCCCAACTTATTTACTGTCAAACTACCTAGGTATGTCTCCCTACGGATTATCACCTTCCTATAGTGGCACCCTCCGTACATTACGAGAAGATTATTTTGAATTTGTAAATCATCTCTTCCAAAAAACCCAAGATCATCGTCATACATCCTGAGCCTTCCCCCAAAAAGTTTAAGAGCATCAATATAATTAAATTAAATTTGTTGACATGATGAGATGTCTTGATTCTCTTGGGACTTGGGACTTGGGTATTATGGGGAGTGGTATACATCAAGGTGTATTTTTCCTCTCGCTTACATGATGTTATACCGGTGGATGCTATTTAGTGTAATGATTGACTCTTGCTCTCCTGAGTCTCACCAATCATCAATTAGTGCCCATGACCCTGAAAATGTGAATCACCAAATTTTAAAAGTTATAAACTTTGGACTATTTAATTTTGAAGTTCTGAAAATTCCTATTGAACCTTATTGTTTTCTTTTTTCTATTTGAAGAATTCGATAATGATTTATTAGTACAGTTCGCATCGTGAACCGAGTCGAGTCCCTCTGCTTGTTGTTAGTAAACAAAGTTATCAATCAATATTGAACACAGCTGTGTTATTGTTATCTACCTACGCAAGACAAATCTGTAGTGAATTTACATTGGATTTCTTTCTTCTCATTGTTCTGATAAACGTGTCGTTACAGCGCGCAAAATACACCATATCTACCTTTCCCTCCTCCGACATCATACCCGCATGTCCACTTCTGTTAGTACGGTACGGAGTAAGCCACCAACCGGGAGGCTTGGCCCTACGCTCTATCTCCATACCCAGACCAGTCAATTTGCCCAGTCTCCCTAACACAACTCGCTTAGCAAGAATGCGTTCGGGAATGCGTATTGTGTACTAGCAAGACCCCTGAATAGGGCGGGATGCATGAGCCAATTGAAACTACTCGTGCTACCAGAAAGTATATAACTCCGACACTAAATACATTATATCAGCTTCAATAGGCCAATAAAATCCACTGCTTTTTCTAATCTCACTATATTAAATAATGATTTGAAAAATTGAATCAATTAAATCGCTTATTTATATTGAAGCCCTACTACTTTCAATACAAATTTCAATAACTTATATCCCTTTTAAGTATTAAAAAGCTTCCCTATAGTGGTTTAATCCTATTGAGACAGGAGTTGCATACTTTCTGGCCGCACGAGTACGTTTTATTTTCTAGATCTGTATTGTTTCTAGTTGTGAGAAAGAAGGCTGTGCTGATTGATGGGATAATCCGATAGGGAATATTGTGTGATGGGGAAGCGAAATTATGAGTGGTGATCTTGGGCGAAGAGTGTCGATCTGGGGGGGAGAGTGGAGTTCAGTGAGGCCTTGTTGAAAGTATGAATGGAATAAAGTAAAGAAGGTGATGGAAAGAGAAGAGTGGGAGATGAGGTTCAGATTTAGACACCCGTATCTATGGGAACGACGGGGGTGATCGAATGAATATATACGAATTTTACGTCCCGAACACAAATGAAACTCGAGATTTGAAACCACATCAATCAAGCCAACAACGCCTAAACCCACAACAGCCATCTTCCCGGTCATTGATAAGAAGAGACGCGATTTCATACTCCCTACAGCATCGTGGCAAAGAGTCTGTACCATGTGAAATAACCCTTTTCGGCGTTAAAAGTCATAGCAAATCTTTTGACGTTCAAGCTAGAAGTATCAAAATTGCTTCTAGCGCGCTCTTATCTCTGGCTCGTGATCTTCCATTTCATCTTAGAAACGTGCTCCCGGAAATGTTAATTTTTGGTATACAAGAATAAACTTCCCACTGAAAGTTGGCTATTTTACTCATCCTCTCATCTTGCATTTCATGTGCTATCTCTCCAAAATTCGCCCCGATCGCCATCCCGCTAATTAAATTCGCTGGTGCGCTTAATACTTCCTTCGTTCGAGCCTATCATGATATAAGAATTGTCGGTACATGCACGAGAATTCTCTTGCAGAATATTGCATAGGGGAACCGTGAATAAAAAACGACTGAGAAACACGAAATGCACTCACTATTGGTGGAATCGGCGACTTGGTTCCCGTTTGTGGTGTTGATTCTAATCCTCAGATAGTATGTATTATCACACATTCACAGTAGCATTTTGTCCACCGCGATTTGAGGTTGACACTGTGCTCCCGGCCACAGTGGGAACTGAACCAGTTGCGAATAGAACTAACGAGTCTTCTTCTCAGTATTTCGAGATGGCTACAACTTGGGTCGGTAAAGAATTACCAACTACAAGATTATGTTATGCTCGTTGTGTTTGTAAGTGATGCCTATTTCAAGTCAGTTTTCTAGATCTAACATACATCATAGCTCTTCTACACTACTCTCATGGTATCTATAAACATTGTATTCAATTTAGATACAAATCTCATCTCACCAGCTGATATTCCACAAGTTCGTGTTCTAATCCAAAGTCTTCCGAATTGGAGAGCTGACAGAAGCTCAATAGCTCACTCCTGAATCAATTGCATCTCGTGTGAAAGGCAGCAAACTCGTGCTCGTAGTGGAACAGTCAATGATCATGACTATTTGGGGTGGCAAAGCTTGTTTGTTGTTAATGTATATGCAGATGATGTTTGTCCTCTTCCCCAACGCATGTTGGCTATATTAATGAAAGATATAGGCAGGGTATTAAACCCCACAATTTTGTTGTAAAACTAGTCGCCACATACGTGGGTACAAGCTTGGTGGTCATGGAGATTCTTTATTTTGGGGTATGGTGCAGACCATTCTCAAACTATTGGGCAGTCCCTACTCCGAATGGTTTGTCTGAAGCAACGTCTTTTCCTCTGAGATCGTAGACTAATATGAAGATTACAGAACAGTGCTCAACAGCTCTTCATCACTTGATAGTAAACGCAACATTCAACATCAGTTCCGATCTCATGATGTTGTTTCTACCAATGCCGATGGTCATCAAGGCACAGCTCCCTACCCTGAAGTTCGTTCCCATCTTCATTTGGTCTCTGTCATTCGTTTGTGCCACTTACTAACAGTCTATTTAGGAAAGCGCTTCTCATCAGCGTCTTCTCCCTTGGCACATTTGCCATCATATCTGCTGCAGCTAATAAATATTATTCCTTCGTGCATCCTTTTGGTGTGATGTGGACCTACGTAAGTTCAATTAATTGCTTTGTCTTCAAAACACTAATATTAATTAATGAAGTGGTATATAAGAGAAGCATCAACTGTGATGTTCGTGACCAATATACCGATGTGTTGGCCATTGGCAAGAAAACTATTTGGTTGGAGATCATGGTCTGGAACTAGTGAAGGCACCAAGTCAAAGAGCAGAGCGGCTCCTAAGAGATACTTCACCAACGCGACCAGTTCAAGATTCGGGAATAAAAGAGACAACTCGATGTATAGAAGTGAAAGTAGAGATGTAATAATACACGGAAGTACACAAGATGGTTCAGCAATAGGGTAAGTTCCTTGTGCCCTCAACGTCTCTGTTGAGATATTTCTGTCTTCCGAATTCGGTCGTCGACATCCTAGAAAATGAACTAACTGTTGATGATAGGCTGGAAATATGGGAAAGTAGGGAAGTGAGTGTAAAAACTGAGCAAAAGAACCCCAGAGAAGAACGTATCAAGAATACGACAGCCGTCACTGTCATTGGGTCGAGAGGCAATTCGAGCGAACAAGAACAAGGAAGGAGTAATTCGAGAACAGAGAGTCGACAAGATATAGGCCATGCATTATAATTGTCTAGTTAGAAATGAAATAAAAATATAATAGACAAAATCCAGGGCTAGAGAGCTTTAGATTCATATACATCGTGATATTTACGCAAAGTCGATAGTACTTGGTGAACTATAGCAAAACCTTTCCATAAGAATATTGGTTTTTGTAGTCTTTTTTAAGGATATATAGAAATATCCTTATATAGAGATTCTACTTAATCCCAATATAATAGTAATTTTCTTCCGATTAATTCTGATCAGGCTAATACTATAACATTTTTGAATTTCAATTGAACTTTTTTAAAATTCTAATATATTTATATTAATTTTGATAATTTTTTTAGTTTAATAAAATATATATATAATTTTGGAATTAAAAAATATAAGAATATTCTAATAAAAGAGTTTTAAGAATATAGATCTTTTTTAGATTTAAAATTTTTTGGAATCGAAAAATATATCCTTATAGAAAGGTTATCCTTATAGAGGGGATCCTTATGGAGAGGTTTTGCTGTATTTTGATGAGATATCTTCCAGTTGAATTATAATCTCAAGACGAAAGACGAGAAACGAAAAGTGGCCAAGATCTGAAAGCCTGGATATCAAGGCAAAACTACCTGTTCAGCTTAGGTAATCGACCTCATCCATGTGGCATAGTTCGGATGGTTCCGTAACTTTTTTCAAGGATCAGACGTGATCCTGACGCGTTGAATTTGATTCCAGGCTTTGATAAATTGTTTGCAGGACACAATTTCTAATCCTACGACGAATTGAAGAAAGAAAAGTATCCCATCAAGATCACAATTACATAAAACCATTTTACTACCTGATTTTACTATCAATCAATTTTCAATTGACTTTTCTAGAAATGCGCATTTATTAAGTTGACTTTCACACCATTTACAATGACTGATTGGAATAAATTGAAGGTCGTTGACCTGAAGGCAGAGTTGAAGAAACGAGGCCTTCCACAAACCGGTCTCAAACCTGCTCTTGTCGCTCGACTTATATCTGCAGAGAACGAAAATGAGTCGGAAAGTGACATGACAGTTCAGGATGATGCGAGCAAAATAAACCCAGAGTCTGCGACATCTCCAGATACAATTTCACCCACACAAACATCTTTCGAGACTGGCACAGAGCCCAGACCTGACAACACAGAAGAATCGCAAGAAAACACAATTCCTGAAAATAGTGAATTGCAAACATCACCTCCTGAAATTGTCGCAGAGCAACAAACGAGTCCGACTATTGAGCCTGTCGATTTGAAGGAGGCGGCGACTACATCAACTTCGGCTACAGATGATAATCAACTCCCCTCAAATGAAACAAAGGAGGAGGAGAATATTCAGCCCGCACAACCGATAGATACGACAGAGTTCTCTCTGCCTCCGTCGCAAGCTACATCTCAGCCACCCGAACAACCTGAGGGTAATCGCTCTGCTGAGCTATCCGTGGAACCGCGAGAAGCAATTGAAGATCGACAAAAGAGAAAACGCAGATCGCAAAGTCCGGCGCCTACAGCCACCGATATTTCTCGAAAACGAGCTCGACCAAGCGACAGTATCGAAGAAGTTGCGACTTCCAATGAGGATGCGGAATGGGTGGAGAAACATAATGCGGTTGACACGGGCGAAGTCAACGTTGAATCGAAGGAGGTGACAATGGGTGAAGATGGACCTATGATTGTCGATGACTCCAAAGAAGAAGTAATAGTCGAACAGGCAATCCCAAATACAGATGCGGAAGAAGCTAATAAAATGGACATCGATATCGAGGAACCTCAGCCTCGTGGTGAACTCGTGACAGCTTCACCAGAAGTCTCACGGCCACGCGATTCGAGATTCAAAAATTTATTCTCCTCTCCACAGAAGTCGAATGATGATACAGAAATGCGACATTATTCGCAAGAGCCTATAGAGGATGAAGGATCATACAATCCGATTCCTCCCGCTATTCATCCTGCAACTTCAGCTCTATATATCCGTAACTTCGTTCGACCACTTCAAGAACCTCGACTTCATGATTATCTCACAACTTTGGCTACTCCACCTGGCAGTGATCCAGATCCAGATGCGATTTTACATTTTCACATCGACCGCGTCCGCACTCATGCGCTCGTTCAATTCAAAACGCTCTCTGCCGCAGCCAGAGTTCGCAGCGTAATGCACGATCGTGTCTGGCCTGATGAGCCAAATCGCAAAGCATTGTGGGTTGATTTTATACCAGACGAAAAAATTAAAGAATGGATCGATCAAGAACAAGCATCCGGCCCTGGGCGGAATACAAAAAAGTGGGAGGTAGTCTATGAGGAGATAGAAAATGACGGTGATCGTCAAGTTACTGCTGTCTTGCAGGAAGCTACGGGGGATCCTCAAGTGATGTCTGCCAGAAAGCAATCAATTCCATTTTCCGCACCGACAGGGCCATCAAGGGGCATCGAAGGAGCACCATCTGGACCTAGGAGCTTCAGTGGCCCAAGAGCTGCGCCTATGCGGAACTTGTCAGAGCTTTTTAAATCCACTACAACACAACCAACGCTGTACTGGCAGCCAGCATCAGAAGAATTGGTTAATAGGCGACTAGATGCGATTGCGGCCATTACCACTAAGGATACTTTACGTCATACTGGACAAGACATCAACAGATATACATTTGAAGATCATGACAGATTTGTTGATCGTGGAAAAGAAATCTTCTCGGGTATCAGACCTCCATCTGGTCATCGGGGACCGAGAAATCAGCGTCCAGGACGTTACCAAGGTAGAGGTGGGGGCGGTGGTCGCGGGTATGGACATGGAGGTAGGGGAGGTGATCGAGGCTACGATAGAGGCTATGATAGAGGATCTTATGACAGCTACAGAGGACCCCCCCGAGATCAAGATAGACGTTACTGAGAAGCAAAGGAGAAGTAAGATTTTAACAGGTGAAGTTCTCTATACATAACTAGAGAGTTTCACCGAAGATGAGAAGGGCTGTTGCCCGTCGATTTGTAAGATGATTTGATTGTAATGATAGAAAATACTCGAAGTGACTCTCAATACCTAGTACCTATGATTAGTTGGGTGCTTGAGATAATATCAATGTTGTACTACTGCTATACATACCTACGTACATACTCTTGGTAGTGCAGTATTTCTCCTCGGCAGATTAATGTTTCTCGGATACATAGGGAGTACATGCTGTACGTTGTTGTTCAAGAAATGCCCGAGAAACGAAGAATTTGGTAATTCGCATGACCTAATTCGTTTTGCTCTCTCCGCCCAGCCACATGGCGGGGTTCTCTTTTTCTCAGCCCCTGATTTCCTTGAATGGAGTAGTACCCGACAGCTCAGCAATGAATGGGTGGTGGAATGAGATGGGGCCCAAAGTGTAAAGATTTTGCAAATTTTCTCGGGGCTGCACTGCATGTTATTGTTGATAGATCTACAGAGTTTGTGTGAAAATATGGATGTGTGGAAGGGTTTGTTTACGCAATTGGATGGATGGATGATGAAGTAGAATTTTCTGATATGGTCTTTCCGAATCATGATGAGGATTGGCTTTATTTCACATATTACTGAGAGGAAGGATAAAGCACAATACTGTAGAGAACTTTGCTATCGATGATCAATAGGTCGTCGGTATCTACCTGCCTACCTAGCTATAGATAATACTCAATCCGTACATACTGCACACCTATTCCGTACAGATTGATGTTCATGCAATCCGAGGTCTCTTACCTAGGAAATGTTGAAGCTCTATTCGGTATAAACGGGAAGCTGCTTTTAACATCCATTCTCCTGGATCTACGTTGTTGCAATGTGATTGTCAAAAAAACCAAGAAAGGGAAAGATAAGATGTGATATCCATCATCTCATTGGTCAATTCCAGCTTGGGGTCAAAGTATTAAGAAATCGAATTGCGTTTTATAATTGAAGCTTCTAGCGTCCTTCATTGGTTCTTCTACCACTTTTTAGCATTTCATACTATTGAGTCCGTCATCGGCTTTCTAATCTTTCCTTCTCTTCCTTCACTTCCATCACTCCCATCACGATTCGCTTAACTTTTTCTATCTTCACTTCTTTTTTTTTTCCTTTTTTCGATGAGTACAAACCCACACAATTGACCAATCACATAATTCCAACACAGCATTAGCTTCATTACCAAAAAGAACAAAGCGGCATTCAACCTTTTTTCCACTTGATGAATCTTTTTGACTTTGTACTATCCATCTGTCACACCAAAATACAACTCCACAATTATTAAACTTCCCACTTCACTCAATTCCTTCTGAACATTTACATCTCAACATCTTCAAAACTCTTTCTTCTACTGATCTATCAGATACGAATAGAAAAGTCGCGCGTATGAGTGGTCGCTCGTCAGTTTTTACTTCTCAGGTATGTTCTATTTCTTTGTCTTCTGGATGTAATTGATGTGAATGATGATGTGGATGAGTCAAACGTCATGAATTCTCAATTCTCAATTCTCTTATCTTTGGGCTTGAATTTGGAAGCCAGACCTTCTACTATTCTTTTCCATAAGATATGACTCTTCATCAATCAAAATGTCTACAGCAACTTGATCATCTAAGAGCGATTTGACTAACAACATGTTCTTGTAGGATTATATCTCAGGTTCGCACATAACCCTATCCATGACCCCTCCCAACGAATACTTACCATGGCCAAAATTCTAACAACCGTCTCCTAGATCACATCTGGAAAGCTTCAGTCAACTGAAATAGCTTTCTCAAACCTACCGCCTACTAAATTATACACACACAAACAACTACAATCATGTTCTCCCGATTCGTAAAGCCTGCAGCTTTTAAGCCAACCGGCTATGGCATCCAAAGAGTTGCACAACAAGCTAGATTCCTAGCTACTGTTGAAGGAAGTGCTGGTCGTGCCATGCCATACACCCGTCCTCGTGCTACTCCAATCTCCCATGACCGAGCTACATTCACAATCAGGGTATGTTACATCGGTTGACCTGTGAAGAAATTTCTGAGTTGACGATCTTTGACAGGATGGCCCAGTCTTCCACGGCAAATCTTTTGGCGCAAAATCCAACATCTCTGGTGAAGCCGTGTTCACAACATCCCTCGTTGGTTACCCTGAATCCATGACCGATCCCTCTTACCGTGGACAAATTCTTGTCTTCACTCAACCTCTGATCGGAAACTATGGTGTTCCATCATCTGCCAGAGATGAGCACGGACTTCTGAAATATTTCGAGTCACCAAACATTCAATGTGTTGGTGTAGTTGTTGCAGATTATGCAGAGAAGTACAGTCATTGGACCGCTGTGGAAAGTTTGAGTGATTGGTGTGCCCGTGAGGGTGTACCAGCCATTTCTGGTGTTGATACCAGAGCTATTGTCACCTACTTGAGAGAGGAGGGTTCTTCCTTGGCTCGAATCACCATTGGAGAAGAATATGATGCCGATCAAGATGAGGCTTTCGTTGATCCTGAACAAATCAACTTGGTCAAAAAAGTCAGCACCAAGGCCCCATTCCACGTTAGCTCTGCCCATGGAGATATGCACGTCGCAGTTATCGATTGCGGTGTTAAGGAGAACATTCTCAGAAGTTTGGTCAGCCGTGGCGCAAGCGTTACTGTCTTCCCTTACGATTTCCCAATTCACAAGGTTGCCCACCATTTCGATGGTGTCTTTATCTCTAACGGACCTGGTGACCCAACTCATTGTCAAGAGACCGTCTACCATTTGGCCAGATTAATGGAGTCATCCCAACTACCAGTCTTCGGTATCTGCCTTGGACATCAATTGCTTGCTCTTGCAGCTGGTGCCCGCACCATCAAGCTCAAGTACGGAAACCGTGCCCACAACATCCCAGCTCTTGATTTGACCACCGGTCAATGTCATATTACCAGTCAAAACCACGGTTATGCCGTTGATATGACTACTCTCCCATCCGATTTCAAGGAGTACTTCGTCAACTTGAACGATGGATCCAACGAAGGTAAATATTTTCCAAAATCCTTTCTTGAACACTAGCTAACAGATTATAGGTATGATTCACAAGACCCGTCCAATTTTCTCCACGCAATTCCATCCTGAGGCCAAGGGAGGACCAATGGATTCCTCTTACCTCTTCGATATGTACATTGAGAACGTTCAACGTTACAAGAAGAACCAAGCTGTCTACCCAGCCGGCAAGGACAACAGACCAAATCCTCTTCTTGTAGACATCTTGTCGAAGGAGCGTGTTGGTGTCGCTCCAGCTCAAGTTGCCGCCGCCGCTTAAGCTTAAGGTTAAATATAATTTAATGGGAATCTATGGAGCGTGGTATCTGGGATTGACTTTCACTGGCGTTTGTAATTTGTCAACCCCTGACAGGGTTTTTTTGGGAAGTTTTTAGTTTTTAGTGGTTCCAAATTAGTGAATAAAAAACTGGAATTAACTGCGAAACCGTATCTTTTTGCGCAATACGTGTGATTGTGAAATACAAGTGGAAGTCCATTGATTCGTTTGAAATTAGCTCTATGTTGGCGAAACAATTTGGCTGCAGCAGAAGTAAGATTTTACTTTTAACCGTACCGGGATTATATTGTTCTGAATTGACCGATCGTTGTCGAGGTAGGGTATTTGGGGGGTTGGGGAGATTGAGAATACGCGATGTAGAGGTGTAGCGATAATTGGATAGGGGAATTGAAGAAGAAAAGCGAGGAGAAAAGGGGAGGGGACGGGGGCGAACAATGACGGAATGATGGAATGAAATAACCCCTTTTCTTATAGAACTAAAAATAGATTGGAGAATCCAAAATATTTCTTTTCTATTTCTATTCTTCTTCGTCTTCTTTTCATTCCCGGTCTTTTGTCCAATGAGGAAGGGACGGAATGCTTTCCCTTTCTCACAGATCCCCCTCTCGTAGTCCTTCTCTAATGCCAAAGAGCTTATTGTTTGATATTCGTACAAAGATGGGGACATACATCATCTTACTCTCATATTCATTACGCAAATCGTAGTGAAGAAGAAAAAAAATGAGTACCGAGGTAGGGATGTAAAAACCATTTGCAGAAACCTCGATATGATGGATTGATGGGTTTCTCGCGGGCTCGAGAATATCGTGTTGAGATTTCGATCGGCTGTATAGCTGCCCTCTTTCTTTTTGCGTACATGGAGAGGTTGAGGGGTTGTGTTTTCTGTTTGGTTTGTGATGGATAGGTGATGGATAGGTGATGGTGTAAGGTTAATTGGTGGGGGAAATGGGTGAGGGGTGGGTTGAGGATGTAGCTTTTTTTAGTCTTGTTTGAGATTCTGTGGGTTGTATTATGTTTAGAAGAATGAATATGACCTGTAAGTTTGATGTCAGGGTCTCTACAGAAGCCTCTCTCAAGTCACTGGGGAGTCACCTCAATTATTGGAGATCATGACACTCATTGGTAATGTGATGCATTTTGAAAACAAGATTTATCAGACGGCGTTTTATTGTACTTGGTAGGGTGATACGGTTAATAAGGTTTCTTAAGCTTGGGCTGTCATTTTTTGTGTTGATATCAACTTGGTTCATAGATATATGATGGTTGTAATCGTTCTTGATCATTAAATCTATATGTAAAGAATCGCCAGCCTAGCTCATACTATGCCCTCTTATGATCACACAATCAGTTTCCCGACAACTTGAGCACAGTGTCCAAAAGGAATTCGTAAAATTATCAATTCTAATTTCTCTCGATATCTTTTCGTTCTTGAGGCTTTCTCAAAGATTCCTTCAATCCATATTCTGTTTCTAGACTTGTGGTCAGCGGTATTTCCTTCTCTAGCAAAACTAACACGCAAGCTAGTCCGGCAAAGACCCTAGCGATCTGCCACACACGCTTTAATGCTTCGCGGTATCCAGCACGAATTTTTTCACTCCCCATGCCCTGCACTGCCCGGCCAGCGACCAACATGGTGCCATTACGAGCGCCACCACATATCCCACTCCCAAGTATAAAAATGGCGACAATGAGTATGGCGATCCAGCTTCTTCCAAATATATTGCACAACTGCCCAAACAAAGGCTGGAAGGCTGAACTGCACACGAAGAAAGCATTCGTGATCCAGATGAAATTCTGGCCCATCTGCAAATAGGATAAGATTACAGGGGCAGCGGTCGAGACGACTGTGTTCTCGAGGGCGCCGAGGAGATTGGTAACACTGATACCGATGACGATACACCAGAATTTGTATCCACGTGCAAAGTCGGGTGGGGGTGATGGAGGTACATTGAGAAAAGATGATGGGGAGGAAGGAAGCACTGATTCGATGGTTACGGTTGTGTGTGCTGTGATGTGAACGGAATCGCTCGTGTGGTTCATTGTTTGCAAATTAAGAATGCTGGATGGCAACGGATGTTCTTGCCTACTTTGAGCAGAATATTGGGGCTTAATGACCGGCATTTATAGGTGGTCTTTGAGGATATTGCGAGCCGCGCCTCTGAGATTGCGTTTCGGAGTTCCGAAACTCCGAATGCCTGGTTGAGTGGATTGATTGAGACGGGTTCATGTATGTTGGTGATCGTTGTGATCTTAATGAGCGAAGTGACCACTTGATGTTTTTCTTTTTGTATTCTGTTCATGACTTACTGTGTAGCAGACTTGCCTGGAAAGTTTTATGTTTGATAGAACACAATTCGATTAGGACACACAACGACTATGGATTTGACACAAGATTCATATTTCAGAACATTCGAAGACATAGCACAAGTTTCATACTTAAGATCACGTTTTTTGTGAAAGTAAAATGTCATTTAAAAGTCCATGCAAAATCTTTGAAATTCTCTGTAGTGTGCGGGACTTTGAGTTTGCCTCTCCAGGAGGCGCCGAGATGCACAAGAACAGATTATCTGTAACTACATTGTTTGACGTATGGATAATATGACATGCTCGACTCGTTGTCCTTCTTCACTCTTCACTCTTCACCGGTAAAAATCTAACCCAAATCTTTGGTTTATTCCACATAGTATAAACAGAGAAATCTCGATCAAAAGATAAATCTTGCCCTGGCACTGCTTCTAAATCAAACGCCCACAAGACCTTCGCAAGATATAATTTCATCTGCGTCCATGCAATTGCACAGGCTGGACACATTCTGGGACCTTGATTGAAGGGTAGAAAAGCCTTGAGATTATCATTTTGATATTTATTATTGTATTTTGGGTGGTTGGATGGAAGCCATCGCTGTGGACGAAACTCGAGTGGATCCGAAAAGTAGCGTGAGCTGCGTGCTGGTGCAAAGTGGCTGATTTGGCAGATGTCCTGGGAATGATAGATAAGTAAAGGGTTAATAAATTGGATGTGAAGAGTTACTTACTCCGCGCGGAATGTAGTTGCTATCGACGATGGCCCCGGGACTCATGCGCGGAAGACCATCATAAATATTCTAATGGATGTGAAAAGTTTCTTATAAGCAATTATGTAAGTGTTTCATATTCGCTACTGAATCAGGAGTGATCTTATAATAATTTTTGACATTGCTCCGGATTTCGTTGACAAGTGATTTGTAGGCACTCGGTTCATTTAGTAGGAAGAAAATTGAGGAATAGAATTGATTTGACATTAGTTCCCAGCCTGCCATTAGCAATTGACCCGCTATTTGCTCCAAGTAATTGATTTGCTTCTGATCTCTAGGAGCTGGCGCATCTCTTGGGATAAGTTGTTCACAGTAATCCAGGTGTTCCGTCTTTCCCCTGCGTTCAATTCGTGAATGGACTTCTTGGCTGTTGATCTTCAAAACCCGTGGCATGGTGAGCCAGAAGGATGGTAGAACGAATAAGTACAGAAGTGAACCGAGGAGAGGGAATTTTTTGGATACTGCTTGGATCGTCAAAAATAGGTTGACTTTGATCACAGCATTCAATAGAAGAGAACTCTTCTCTGTTAATAATGGATATGTTAGATTAACGGAGCATAGTGGTTGGAAATACTACATACCATTTTTCATTTGGTTCATTTGACGATTATATGTCATATCCGCAAAGACATCCATAGTCAACCAATGTGCCCACTGACGCAGCTCAACACCCTCCTCATCTTCCATTGCTTTCATCTTATCAACAAATAAGTCAATATATTTATGCAAAACCGCTTCCTTAGCTTTAGCATTTCTAGCGCTGAATGCGGGAGAAAGTCTTCTGGCTACATCGCGGTGCTTGACTGGATCGATCTCGAAGGAAATTCCTCCATCTTCTCCTAGATCTTCGAAGTCTGTTTTGACAAAAGTTTCGAGATGTTTCACATGCGTTGCGTGTATATCTGGAAATGTTATGTTAGCTGACTGCCACTATTGTCATCGAAGTCGTCAATATTCACCCTTTCCCGCTTGTGGTATAAGAAATACAAGCTCATTCGGGGCAATACGAACAACGTCGCCTATGAACAATCAACAGCTGGGTCAAAGAGAAGAAGATCCGAATTTGTATTTCCCACCATATTGTTTCAACACTTCTTCGATCTTCCACGGCCATTTTCTGGTGAGCCTTGAGTTCGTTAGAATTCTAACGCATGCTACAAAAGGATCAGGATCTTACCAATTGTATGCGTACCAAATATTGGAGACTGCCGCTAGCTTGGGACCTGGGTATTGGGAAAGTGGATGGAATTATAGATTATAAATGCCACGAATAAGCGAATAGAGGAGCAACTGAAAGTGTATTATTATTGAGATTGTGTTAGGTTACGATTGGATGTGAAAATTGACATACAATTACGACGGACACCAAGAGCCATAGAGAAAAGTTCGCCCGAAAGGTATCTATAAAATCATGGATCGCCATGAGTTATTAACTTTTGCGATGTGAAGATGAATGGTGCGGTTTTGGCGAGTGCTGCTAGTATTGCAAAGTTATCTAACCAAGGCGAACTAGGTCATGAAGTTGAACCCTCTTTTCTTCAAATATTAATCGTGAATTCATAGACAAGAGAAATAATATTAATATACTAAAAATATATCGACCATATATTTGCTATTATTTGCTCGACATCTTGTTTTTCTCCATTTGATCCCGACGCCGAAAACTAATTGTTACTCGGTTTTCGGTGCCGAATTACTACAACTGGTAATTATCTTCTTCGGAACTCCGTCACAGTTATTTTCTCAACCTTGGAACGGTCTAGCTAGTTTACTACAGATCTTGAGACTTTTCAAGCGAGCTCAGGTCAGCGAGTTGCGCGATAAACTTGGAATCTAGATGTATGGCGTGCAGGACTCGCTTGGATATACTTCAATGCATACCTGGGTAAGTGTTGGATTAGACTCTAGCCTGGAAAGAAATTGTAGAATTATTCAACTATCAAGCTCCGCTCATGCGTTTGGTACTATCTTTTACTGCCGGAATATCATCGACAACGAAAACACTTACGAGAGATAGTGTGGTCAAGATTAGTTGTAAATTAATCATATCGATGGATTATGTGCGCAGTCATACAGAAAATGGGATTTATTATTTTTTGATTGAGTGTTTCCCGAATCGTCACTGTCTTTCACGTTTGTCAATGCCTGAGGGAATTGTATCGCTGATTCTAATACAAATTTATATTTGGATCCACGAGATTGATTGACTGAATCTATATAATGGTCTACAGCCATTATTTGATTGCTAGAGATGGGTTTATTCGACTAATTATTCGAATCATTATTAGATTTCGAATTAGATTGTTTTCTATTATGCCCTTTATTGGATTTCAATTCAGGGTATTTTGTAAAGCATTTAGACTCCAAATGCCCCTTTTTAGAGCAGTGATTGCAATAAGGAACTTTTTTGAATCTAGTCTTATTCGCATATAGATCGATTTTAGATCGCATTCTAGCCTCTTCGGATATTAGCTCGGAAAAGAGCTTATCCAGATCAATACTAGCTGTGTTTTTAGCTAGTTCTTCGTATTTTCGAGAAGCGAAGCTATCGAAAGAGCTAGGTAGGCCTCTAAGAAGAAACCATACTATAAAAGCTTCAGGAACTTCGAATTTCATCGATTTTAGGTAACTATACGATGATTGGATCGAATTAGTATATTCGTCCATTCCCTTAGAGCTAGTATAATTAGATTCTATTAGCCTATTTAGGTATCTTCCCATTGATTCGATGGAAGACTCTCCAAAAATCTTAATAATGGAGTCCCATAGGCCTTTAGCCGAAGTTTTATCCTTGAATCTTTCGACTAATTCGAAGCTAATTATGGATTTGATAGCTTCTAATGCCCTTCTTTCATTTTCTTGATACTCTGAAAGCTTTTCGTTATATCTGATTGCTAATTCAGATGAAAGTGGCTGTCCTAATTCGTCTATATATAGATTTTTGTTTGGTGGCGTTTCTGTACCATCGATATATGACATAAAGCCATTTATTTCAAGAAACAGCGTAGCTTTGTTAATCCATTCAATGTAATTAGATCTATCTTTTAAAAGATCAGATTTAAAACTGATACTAGAAGTCATTTTAAGCCCTTTTTGTTATAGGCTAATTGGACTTATAGACTGGATTGGTACTAGTCTACATATATAGCTAGTTTTGTATTTGAATGGATTTGATGAATAAATCGATTTAATATAGATTTTAGTCTCGAGGATCGAATAGACCAGCCACCTCTTAAATTAGCTCTTTATCTTATTCTATATAAAATAAAGACTAAATAAGCTAGGGCACCATGGTATGAAGAATATTGATATATCACCCGCTTTGGGTAGCGTATAGTATAGATATATCGTCTAGGGACCTAATTTTATTCGCTCAATTAGGTTTAGCTTCAGGGACGCAGGCCTCAGGGTCTATTTATAGGCGAATTTCGATATAAATTCGATTGAATCGAATCGAAATGATGATTTTCGACAGCTGAATGAAATATTCGACAGCTCAATAGCTGTATATATATGATATAAAGCCTTAAATCAAGCTAATTCCCTTTTTAAGCTAGTTTGAGCTAGCCGGGCTCATAACCTCTTAGAGGTCAGCTTTTATAATAATAAGAATAATTATTATTATTATAATAGTAGAGGATCTAGTAAGTTTGAGCTTAGGGACGAATCGAATATATGATATAAGAATTGAATTGAAGTCAATTTATAAGAGCTAGGCTGAATTAAGGTGAAATTGCTTGCTTTTTCTTAGGTTTTCTTTAAAGAATATCCTAGGTTTATATAATTTATAATGAAATTCTAGTAGTTTCCATACTTATAAATAAGATCGATTTAAACTGTATCTTATAGAATTATATTGCATCATAAAAAGAAACTATACCAATTAATTTGATCTGTTTTATCAACAGTTTTCCATATGCTTCCATTCTATTCCGTTCCATTATAAATCAATTTGATAAAAAAATACTATTATATAACTATATGATAATATAATTTTATAACATAAAATCATATTATACATAGATTATTCATCAAGATATCTCTTAATATCACGCTAAAAGTGATATCACCGATAGCATTAAGCTAATTGGGTTTATATAGGCATATTCTCTCGTGACACACCCCCGAGATTGCTGACTAGCTGGTTGTAGGCAGTAATCTCCGTACTAGCCTCATTGAGTCATAAATGCACAAATCTCTTCCTATCTCCATGTGATGCCAAATCTAGGTTCTCTTTTGATTGGATACAACTAGTATTAGGTTCTCTCTGGATACATCTAATAGGCTGAGCGGAGATAGTGGGGCAACAGAGCAGGGTCCTCACATTAGCTCCAATAGGCCAAGATCAGATGACTAATGTGGGTCTGTTGAAATACCCTCTTATAAGTGGGCCCACGAAAAACCACTACAAGAGAGTACGGTAAAGTGAAGAATTATGCCACTGCGCTATAAACGCATACCGGGCTCATAACTATCACGCTAAAAGTGATATCACCGATAGCATTAAGCTAATTGGGTTTATATAGGCATATTCTCTCGTGACACTTAATTAGTAAGATATTAATAAGTGATTTATTATAGATTTTCATACTTGTCATCAAGTTGTCTAAATGAGCAGTAGGGTTATTCTTGTAAATATACGGGATCTGAGACCTCAAAAGCTTTCAGCCACCACCATATCCATGAGCTTAATCTATATAGACCATCATAGAGCAGCGAATGATTCTAGTAGCTGTTTGAAACAATGGTTTCAGAGGGCAACATAACTCGGTATCGGTATCTACCTTTAACTGTGCTGATTATTGCAACACAAAGAAACTCCAGGAGCAGCAAGAAGACCAATTAAAACCCCCACTCAATCTGGAGACTCGAGCGGTTAGAGCACTCAATCTGCCCATTGCATGCATGTATCTAAGCCCGGTGAACGCTCCAATGAGAATGAGGGAACGTGAATTTGGATGGTCATGTGATTCTCGGTAGATTGTAGGCAAATGATTTTCCAACTGCGCCGCATAAGTCGCATACAAACGGATAGATGGATGATCCTGTAATCCCAACAGTTGGAGAAAATTTACCAACACTGGTGGTAACTAGATTCTGAGAATGAGGGCGATTCTAGCTATCGAGTAGTGAAAAATGGATTTTGTAATTGAAATAGATAAGAGTGTTGGGTTACGTAGTGTAAAGTTTACTTTTATAAAAAAGCCTATCATTTGTTCAGATATCCAAAAAGAACGAGTGATATAAAAGCTTTGGAGGCATACAGAAATTTGTAAAGAATCTAGTTGTACGATTTCTCCCCTGCTAAGTGGCGCAGGCGCTAGTACGGGTCTTCATCCCGCATGACTGCATCTTGTTTTAATCAACTCATGTTGGATCTTCTTTTGTTCAAACTACCCATATTTTCTTTCTAGCTTTAAAAATCTGTTCATAGGGCTCCGAGAGTGATGGATATGATTGCGTGTGGAGTTTCTCCTCGAAGATTTGCGTGCGATCGTTGCTGTGGTCAAAAGCTGCGATGCATTCGCGAACAGACTGACCAGCAAAACTGCGATCGATGCTTCCGTACAGATGCTGAATGTCGCACGAGCCCTGTCTTCCGTGGACGTAGCTATGTGGGAGACACTGCCTTTGCTTCTACAAGAAGCATAGGGGAAAAGGCAAGAGTGCAAAAGTCAGTGCGAAAGCGGCGATACAATAATGCTGCGCAGCTCCAAATGCAGTCACAAGCCAATACTCAGCAAGCGGTGATAGATACAGCTATTGTCACGGAAACAGCAAGTCCTTCAGGATCCTTTGGACAAACAGGGCTGATGAATATATTCGAATCGACTCAAACATCATTACCTGTGCCAATGTATCCTACAGACTTCTCAGACACAATGAATGATATGAATTGGGCAGCCGAGGATTCTTTATTTTCCGGTCTCATACTTCCAGATGAAACGGATCAGACCTTTCATTTATCTGGTAACTCAGGTACAAGTAGCTCAACTGAGGGTTATCCGTCACAAGCACCGACATATACAGGAGATCTTCCCTCTCGACCTCCGCCATCATTGATACTTTCACCCCGAACGACGTCTTCCACTTCGACATCTAATTTACAAAATCTCGAATGCAGCAGTCACAAAACATTAGCTACGATATCTGAAAACAACACTTCTTGCGAAAGCCCCGAAGGACAGGTTGCAGGTAGCATATCTATTGACAAGAATGAAGAGGAGACTATTGTCCAGCGGTTAGCCAAGACTAATTTGGATCTTGTTTCGCTGCTTTCTTGAATTGATAAAGACACCCCAACTGCAATCGTAGAGATGCTAGTTGAGCCTATTAATGAGACAAAGTCCCCAAGAACGAGGTTGGACGACATTTTAAACGGTACAAGAGATTTCTTGCAAGCTCTTTGTCTGCTGGCAGGCTCGTCTGGTCGACATTCAGCCAGCTCCCCTCGATCGTCTACTGGTACTGTACTGAGTTCAAATCCTACATCAAACACCACAAGACCTAATTTCCAAAAGAGTAATAAAGACTATGCAAATACTCTATCCGGAACTGATGCAAGCAGCACATCCTCGCCCGTAGACAGTTCTTCCTCGTCGATACACTCCGCCCTATCAAAATCTGATTCGCGAACGTACTCAAAGTATGATTTCGCAACTTCAATCCTCATTCTTACATGCCATATGCATTTACTGCGGCTTCATGAAGTTCTATTCTCACGCATACATGGCTTTCTGACAGAGATCTCGGACAGTGATGACCCCTCTCTCTGCCCCCTTCCTGGGCTTAGCTTTTGTAGCTTTCTATTACGTAAGTCACGCACTTCGGCACAAGATGAGGCCCATTTTGGTTTACCCAAATGCTGACTTTCCAGAATCCGGTAATCTTCAGGCGACTATTCTCATCCAAATTATAACCAGCCTTTTCGAACAGATCGAAAGACTTCTGGGCTTACCACGTGAATACTGGATATATCCTGGCGAGATCGGGCCGGATGACTTTGTTTCGGGTGGCTTGTTCAGTAGCGAAGAGATGGTCGGCATTGTAAAGTTTGCATTTCGGCAACAGGAGTCGGGCGAATCTGAAAGTCGAAGAGGCGGATTGGAAGCATTACGCAAGCATCTTGAGGGGATAAAACAATTGTTGAAAAATAGCATAGCACCTTAGAGCCAAGGCGAAATGACTGAGCCCACAAGCAGCTTCTGACTCGTTGATGCTTGAATCTCGAATGATAGATAATTATGGTCTTCCTGGAGCATATCATATAGATCTACCATGTCATCCTTATCACTCCACTTATTTTAGGAAAAGCTGTTGCCTTTGAAAGTCTCCAAGCAATGAAATTTCTTTTGAGAATATCTTTACCAGAATAATGATATTTGTTTCTAAGGTGGGTATCGACAAGGTTATTCAATCATCTGCCGAAACTATCTTTCTTTGGACGCTGTGACAGGATTACTTGTCCCATAAAAAAATTGTATTGAGGTATTGATGATAACTAATGCGGGTATAGAATCCTCCCGGTGTATAGTGAAAATCCTAACTCGAAAATAAGGATGAAAATGGGCTCTCGAGGCTGAAATAAATGGCGGATAACTTTTGTACAAGGGACCAAAGAAATTGAAGAGAAGGGATGAACAGTTAAATTCGGGGAGGTTAGAGATGAAGGTGGGATAAGCGCCAGTGCGGGGTACGTGCGGGTCAGTTATATGGGTGGGCTAGATAGATCTGTGCGTATGGTTGGGACTAAGGAAAATTTCTGGGAGGTCTTGTTTCTCAGGGTGCCTTGAGTAATCGCAACTCGATGTTATGTCATGTGTGGATTGTCTGTGGAGAGAGATATAGGCAGCGTGGATGTATAGTACTTTTGTCGCTGAGGTATGGACAAGAGGAACAGACGGTTTGCATTGCGATGGATAGTCGCCTTGAAAGTATAACTGACAGATAATTATGTTGGATTTGTGAGGACCTATCTGTGAGTTGAGCCAGAGGAAGTGATTTGATGCGAATGTTGTCTTACTCTCGAATTGTTCTTGGCGTTTTCTGGAACTGCTAGTTGCGAGATTAGCGAGATAGGTATTGAAGAGAGGTCTGATCCGCGTTGACCTGATGCTTGGTTCGACTTATAGTTCGTAAATACACTTGATGACTTAGTTATTTGCTCTAGACAAAATTGCTTCTAGTTTTCATACCACTGCATTGCTTACTTTACAAAGCTAAAAGAAGAGGAGCAGGGTGGTCGGCACTCGCTATTATTTCTGTTCCAAAATTCGACTCAGACTTGGACTCCGTTGTTAAAAACATTACAATAGACGGCAAATACAATCAGAGGAGCAAAATTCATATAGCACTAGAAGTACTCGCACTAGAAGTACTCGCACTTGCAGTGTAACCCAACTAAAAATCATGCATCCTATAAACGATTTAAGCCTCGGCATCACCAACCTAGATATGCGATTTTCGATACCCATCTTCAACATCCAAAATCCTAAACTCCTACCAAGATACAAGCGAAAGGAAGAGATCGAAGCATGGATATTTTACGAGTAGCCAGATGTGATTCGGTGAAAATGTGGGGAATCCTTGAAGCGAAAGGATCGCGAGGATGGATGTCGAGATTGCGATAAAACCCGGATTCTGGGTTAGATATAGAAGCGGGGTGACATTTGAGTTGGTTGGTTGGAGGAGTGGATGATGGTATGCCGTGTACATGGGATTAGGGATGAGGTTTTGAACATCTCAATGAGATGTTGAGAATTTTCCATTTTAGATACCTAGGTACGTGGAGATATCTGCATTTGGGTATAGCTCCAGGATACTTTGAGCCTAGATTTTGATGTGATGTCATTTCTTAGAAGACCACAAGATGTTACCTTCAAGTGACGGGGAAATGTTATTCATTGAATATCCTCAGACATGGACCCCAATCGAAGTAAAATATACGTACCTATGTTAGCCAAACAATGAGTTCCACTTTTGAGCACTACTCGGCACCCTCAAAATTTGGCTCTAGACTTTCATATTTAACGGCCAAGGTTATTGAATCAAGGTTTGGTAGCGCGGCCGTGGGTCGAGGATTAGGTGTGGGGTTGAGGCTATTGAGAAGGAATGTATATACCTACTAGGTACCTAAGTACTATCAGACAACTGCCAACTACAAACAAACTTGTCTCTCTCAAAATATTTCATATTCATGAATATTGGGATGATGTAGAACTTCTTAGTTAAATGAGATAAAACCGGTGGCTAGCCCCACTAGTCAATCAATTTCTGATGAAGTTCAAACAATATGCAGCAATAGAAAACAAAAAATTAAGATAAATAGTGTTCATATTTAATCTTTTATGAAGACTCAATAGCCTTCTGGTGGTATTAATCTGTATCTAATAATACAGGATTCCACCAAACCTGTCCACTTCCACCATGCAAATCCCAAACCTTTCCAATTACTCCATTCCCAACGACATGATAAGATAGATACGTAAAGGTCATATTCATGTCGCAAAACCCAACCAACAAATGAAATCCACCCCAACTTTGAAATGATTGTGTGAAGCACTTGTAACTAAGTGCATTTTGAAAAACTCCCCTCTCTAACGCCGGATGCTCATAATTCTCCTCCTCATGGTTGAAAAAAAAATCAATTACGCCTGGTATCATTTTCCAAAGATAGCTTAAGAAATTTGACCCCCATAGTACCGACCCTTATTTCTCCGATAGATTATAGAAACGATTCGAAATTAAATTCACAGGATAGAGACAAGCTACTAAAGCCCAGATGGTTGATTAATGATAGCATCGATACCCATATCCATAGAAGGTAAACGAGAGTGAAATGACGCTCGGTTATCTTGGTGGTATGGACTTCGGTCGGTTTGTGGGTAGCCGTCGTTGCGGTCCGATTGTGGGTAGCCATCATTACGGTCTGTCTGTGGATATCCATCCGGTCGGCCATCCGAGAGAACTTGTGGTGCATATGAGTAATGTTGTTGATTAAGCGGGTCATTAGTAGAAGCTTCTGAGCCATTATCCCGATCATAATCGCCGTCGAGATTGATGCTAATCCCGCTGTCTTCATGAACTTCATAATCATTGTGGTCCGAGTATGTTGCATTTCCAGTTTGTCCTCCTGCTTCCATCATACGTTCGCGGCGAGCATAAGCTCGCGCAGATGTTTGCATATTTTTGAGACCAGTTGACATACACTTCTTCATGTTAGTATAAATCTCAAGTATATTCATTTGAACACATACCTTTTGCTCCACAACAGTCCATTTCTCCCCAGTAGCGGCAGCCAGTTCGGACCAAATCTCTTTGCGCATATCCATATAATGCTTCGCAAGGGTCTCGGATTTAACGTTATCCCAATCATCACTAGACTTTCGTTCCATCAAACGTTCATGGCGCTTTCGACAGGCGTTGGCCGATTTGTTTGGAAAATAAGTTGCCTGGATAGGTTGCCAATTCAATCCCTGTTTCCGTGCTGCTATCAAAGTTCGATCATCAATAGGTGTCCATGCTCCAGATGAAGGTCGAATTGAAGGTGGCATTGGACTACTCTGGACATAATGTTGAGTTGGAAGTGGTAAAGGAGGTTGTTGTACAGGACCTCCTGTTGCATAGCTGGACATATTCTGGTAGCTGTGTTGCAGTGGTTCATAGTATGGTGTGGCCATGGGTCGAGAGTTGATAGGTGGATATACGAGGTTGTTAGAGGTGAGAGGTGGTGATCGATAGTAATCCATAGCTTTGAATGAACGCTGTTCCTTTGGCATTCTAGGAAGACGGGTTTATGAAAGATCGGTACTACTTGGTAGTAACCAGGGGTCGAAACAATTGACGAGTCAATTAAGTATTAGATGTAAAAGAAACTTGCAGACCAGCCGGCAGGAAACGTAGGAAATACTTGACACGAAAACGAATGGAGTCAGATATGAGAATTGAAATCTAAAGCGAGTTGACAATAGGAAATTCGTAGAAGCCAAAAGATGATGTTGATGCTGAATGAGGACGAAAGGTCTTAGCCAGTGTACCGGCGACCGACCTTTATAATACAGAATTGACCAGCTCGATTATGTGTTGGAAGAAATAACGCTGGGGGCCATTTGGGTGGTGTCTATAGCCTCATTAACGCCGAACGTCCAAAAATGAGACCTCAACTAAATGATGAAACAAGATGGGTCCGATTTTAGATATCATCATGATAAATCCGACCCCGACTTCCTGGGCCTTCAAACTTTGGCAAATGCACGAAATTCTGTTACCAGGATCAACTACAGTAGCCGCGGATAGACTATTAAGTCTCCAAAACTCGAGGGGATACGAACAAGGGATGATTGTATTGGTCAACAGAAGAATACCGGTCTCTTCTAAGGACATTGGGCGGTAGTCTCATCTCGAATTTTGGAGACATATCTGATGGGCGCGTAAATTATGTGGGCGTCAACAAGTAAGCTGCGGATGAGGCGTTCGCGTACCGAAAATAGAATCAAACGGGAGAGATCTGTACAGGGGGGGATGACAGAAAAGGGCCAGTGCAGGGTATATTAAATTTACAAGGGCTGTGTATGAGATTTTTTAAGAATGCCTTTAAAGATAGTTAGATCTTGGTAGATTAGATGATGATGAAACATATCATAACGATCCTGTTTCGTAACGAATTGAAGATGTTGAAAATGGTAGGTAAAGATGAAAAGAAGGTATATTTGAAAGACTATATGGATTAGAAGAAAGAAAAGAGACGTTTATTTGATGCGCGCGTGTAAAATGATATGTCTAGACTAGACTACCTCGACAAGATAGACACTGTACATCGTCTACCGAGGTAGTAACTCTTGCGTAAATGGTATTACGAGAATGCCGTAATGGAATTAGTTGAACTTTTAGACATCACGTGAAAAGGTCTAACTGGTGGTGATATTTGGGCCTCTGTTGGTTGGAGCTTCTTCCTCTTCCTTTCCCTTTTCCCTCCTACTCCAAATCAGGAAGAACGTTGCTATTCGATTCCTTACTTGCCTGGTAAAAACGATTGGATGACTAATTTAAGAAATGCAAAATATTTCGGACGAATCTCTTTCACTTACTAGGATCTCTGCTTCCAAGACAGCATTGACACTGATCTACACGATATGCATATGCACAAGTGCACAGATGGGAAATCAACTCATCCCATCTCTACCCGCTCCTTCTCGGCTTCTATCATCCAAACATCTATTCTTTATACCCTGTCACAATTTACCCCCCTTGTGACATGCCTCCACCTTGATTTCTCTGCTCGGGAATCTACCAAAGTACCCAGGTATCCCGAGGTCCTCACAGATGCCCGAGATCATCTAGGTTTATCTAATCTCGATATCTTCATCCCAGGTCTTATCAAAAGGGATTCTGCAAGGGCGCCTAATGGCGATAAGCGGTATGCAGTTTGACAGGCACTGTTGCTATGCTTCAACAAACAACAAACAATCCGACCGGACAAAGGCCATTGAAGACCTCAATCCATTAGGCAGTGTTTATCTTCGAAGCAACGTAAAAGTCCAATGTTCATCCCCATAGCCATGGCCATGACCACAAAAAAATCTTCATGAGGTCGTACATCCAACATTGAGTGGAGTGCGGACCTACTATCTTCCAACACAACAAGATGAAGAAATCTCAACAACCGCAACACCCCGGTGAGAGCAATGAAGAGATTGCTTCATACTTTTCTTTCCCACATGCAGTCGATAGTCGTCTGTGCCAACAGCCGCTCTACCTGGGGTTTCCTCTTGCCTCACCCCGTCGGTGAATATCCAACGCTTGTGCCAATTCTTTACAAGGGCTCCGACTCACACAGACCAGCGTAATATCCTCACGCTGACAAGCGTCCCTTGAGCTTGTGGGATATACTCGGGAAGAGTCCGGTAATGGTATCATCATGCGCGGCAGTACAATTTTAACGTTCCGGTATCTACAAGTATAAAGTCAAAGAATGTGATTGAAACATTTCAATGGACCAGAGCACTCCATTGTCTTTTTGCACTGTTGCAAGCGGCGCCTATCTGTATATGAGAGAACTATTTTCTTCAAAATACTACTCATAACATATATCTGTTTCATCTGAAAATGCTTCAATTACGAATGATTCACCAACAGTTGGATGATTAGCATACAAATATATCTTGGGCAGTTTGTTTTTATCTCTTCCAGAATAGTTTTTCTTGGGTGACCAATCGCAGATTTTCTCATCTGTTTTACTTTAGACGCCGCTCTCCCGTGTTTCAACTGTCATCCATCTTGGGGGCGAATATTCTTTATAGTAGAATGCAACGAGATGGCATAGTATGCTTACTTTGCTCAAATTTGTTCGGGGAGGTTTCTTCTTCATGTTTCTTTGCATAGTTTGCATGCAATTCGCAATGACAGGTGCATGATATTTCAAACAACTCCAACATCACCACCACCACTTTTATCTACATTATATTATGCATGCCGAACCTTTGAGAAGATCCAATCGCCAGCAAATGCGAGGAATAATCCAAATTAAATCTCTTTAGATCCTTACCATTATCCTTCCGAGACATTCCATGGTACGTGCCCCCTCAATAAAATTTAATTGATCCTCAAGAGTGCCGTACGGGTCTTATTTTAACTACTAGGAACGAACATCTGGTCTCTGCGCAGTTCGATGTTGGGGTATGCAGCTGCTTATGTGTACTGCGGAACTGCGCCCCAATCAACATCCTTGTTAAAAACGAGATTATCAATTAGTTGCATGAGAATGATGGGCATTCTCCTGTCATGCAGTACCTGCATGCTCTCTGGATATTAACCGTCGAGCCATTGGGAGAATTGCTAATCAGAAAGGGACCATAGTGTCAGACCATGCTTAGCCTTACCCTTCTGGGGCTTAGGTGCTTGTCCTGTTTTCAATGTCAAAGGATCACATAGAATTCATTCCTACGAATCACTTTCAAGGAGATTTATCTCCAAGACTTCTCAATTTTGACCTCATCCTATCTGACTAGCCTTCGGTACTTTAAGCCTTGGATCTAAAGGATCAACTCATCTTCAACGGGATCGGAAAGGGCCCCCGAATGGCCTACAGATCTGATGACATGCACTAGCATCTACAACGCCAAAGCTCGATGGGATTTGCTCCCTTAACATCATATAACTCTGACACATCTGTCTATTCATTTCTATTTATTTCTATGTGTCGAAGGATCGATATGTAACTTTGACACAACAAGGTTAGATGAAACGGACCACATTATAATTCATACTTTGACTCTCAAAGAATATCCCCACTTCATTGGGTGACTTACAGAAGCATCGAATTAAGTAATTCGGATCCTCATTGCGAAGGAAAACTTCATGTTGGTCTACTTCTCGGGCCACTAATCACACATCTTATTTTTGCCACCGATAAAGTTAGAGAGGCATTCGACGATTCCCAGCTTGCAAGCTTGTGATATGAAGAAACGATGCGCCGCAACATTATATTCAATTCTTTGAGAAAGATTCAGATCATCCACGTTGAGTTGGGGTTGGCATTGGTTCCTTCACTGCCCCCAAAACGGCGTTGTGCTGATTTGTTAACAAGAATTCTACAGGCAAGCTTCCTTTCTGAAATATCTTTCTTATGGCACATATGGCACTGCGAAAGTTCGAGCGTTAATTGATGAACGTACAAACAACATAAGTACTCTTAGCATAGGCCTTGAAAGCGTATGTTCACGAGTTTACGTATGCCTCCAAATCATCTCTGCAGATTCATGCTAGATTTCGCATCAGCAAGGTTGAACGAAGACAAATTTTCTGAGGGGTATACACTCTCACAATCACCTCAAAATGGCACACATAATATCATGGCTTTGATGAGCATTTTTCAGAAGTAACCGAGATAAGGTAGAGAGATTTGTTATTGTTGCCATTATTACAATGAGTAGAGTGTTTCTTTTTCACTACATTAATATTCCTTGATCCTATTATCTGGATTTTACCAAAGACATATGTGACACCTTCACAATTAATTCTCTTAGATGGCAATCTGATGTCGACAACGCCCGAAGATGCCCCCACAATCATCCATCCTTCGACCACTTGCGACCTTAATTCTCCGCGGCTAGCGTCAAGGTCGGCGCATGTCGCTACTCGTATGAACTTACTCTTGTATACACCTTTCGAACACACCGCCGTGTACCTGCATCAGTCCAAATCTCGTGGGTGATATCTCAGTCATGCTTCTTGTTACAGATTCGAAATTCACGCATTGACGATTAATTGAGATGCATAGTCTACATGACCGCAGGTAAAAATGAAAATGACATTTCGATACTTTGAAACAATTGAGCTTCGAGGAAGCCTTATGTTTAGCTCAGGCCGCGTCTGAGTCTATACAAAGAGGGATGGTACTTGGTATAGGCTCCCACGATACGATGGCATAATTACCTTTGTCGTGTGTTGAGTTGGATACTTGACCAAGAAAGTGCCTTGTATCGCCCCTGATCAAGGCTTCCTGTGAACGACAGCTCATTGAATCTGAGGGAACTTATTCCTCGCCCCTATATTCATCAGCGCCTAGGATTTTAATCCGGGACGAGCATTGTTCATGCAAGGCAAGAACATTGGTGACCAAAGACAATGTCGTGCTGCCATCGTCTAAGCCCTTGAATCTAGACCAATGGCTGAAATGTCTACAATCCGAGAATCATCAGGCCAGTTGGTCTGATGATTGATGTTATTGACATTGGTACCCTGTGGTTGGAACCTTGGGAGAAGCAGACCTTGAAAGTGACTTCGATAAGCAACATATACAGCCCGCAAAGTGGTTGATTTGCCTTGCAAAATTAGATAGCATGATAGCAACAGACTAGAGGATTGCGGGTTTATCCCTTTTGGCTACTGAACGGCCAAGAATTGTCACATGACTGTTGCGAAGGTCTCTAACATCTCGTTTGCTATTCTTGCTGCTATGGATCAGAAAGGCACACCTTTACATCAGGAATGAGTCAATCAATCGTCTTCATACTGTATGTTACAAAGAGGATTCAAAATGTAATTGGCAGATCCACCAGACAGTCGATCATTTCACATGCTTGAAGTGCATGCGATGAGGACGGCGTGATGAAGTGATGGGCACGAATCACTCCAGAAACTTCGTCCTCCTCTCACACAGGTCAATCCCAGTGGATATAGACGGTCGTCCCGTCATCTATTTGCTATCGCGATCCCAAGACATCTCTGGATGAGAAGAGATATGCACAGCTCCAGCTGGTGTTTTGGAACAGCAGAATGCCTAAAGGAAGTACCATCGAGGTCTTCGCAGAGGTCTGCAGTAGCCCACTATCAATCATGAGACAACGCTCCTAGAGTCAAGTCTCAATTGAGCTAACGATCTCTCCTCCCATGATTCGGTACCTATCT